TTAGGATGATGCACCTTTTTTATTCTGAATCGACATTCCTTTTTCAATTGATTGCCGTTTTCCCATAGTGAATCGCTCAACTGTGCACAGCATGGCGGTTAAAAATGTGTCGCAACTCATATTTCCTATTTGCGCCTGACATGGTCGCAAATAGCTCAAGAAGGGAAAGAAAGGGGAAAAGGGAGAAATGAAAATGAGGTGTTGCTGAAGCTTGCAATGTGTGGCAGGGGATGCCAAATGTCGTCACCGACTGCAGGGGTGCCGAATTCAGCGCGGACCTCAAATATCATACGAGATAGCCCGCAAAATTTGGGTTTCCGCCTTCTTTTCACCTTCAGTGCATCACGTGATCAGTTTTTACTTACGTAAATGTGTTGGATAAACGTGCATGTTCGAGTGATTGAGTGCTATGCGTATAGGTTACCTTTTTGAGATCATATTTCATCTTTTCAGGCGTCGCATTTTTTGCCATTTTTAATATGGGGAAACCCATAGACTTATTAGCGACCCTCCCCGGTCGCTAACCGGGAAGAGTTCCCTATTAGCGTTTTTTGCAATGGTCTGCCAAAATGCTCACTACAAATAAGTTAGTGAATATTGGGGCAGAAAATGACTATATTTTAATAGAAAAATGAACGATCTCTCCGAAAATCAAGCCAGTAATACAGTGGCACCCACAGAGCGTGAGCAATGACGGTTCAAATTAAGGGGGTCGCTAATTAGGCACCTTACCCTATATAATCCAGGCTTATTTTTACCAATAAAATGTGCTAAGAACGGTCTGCAAACTTCACCACAATGCGCCAGATTCGCGGACTGCAGAATATTCTGCTGAGCGTTCCAGCGAAATATTATGTCGGCCAAGACGTGACGTCATCCAAACAATGATTCAAATGTCCCAAGCCCGTTAAGTACCCTCCTAACTCACAGAACGCAGCCCCACAGCTGTTACAGTTACGATTACAATTGCCTTGCACATCTCTACCCCTGCACAAGGCCTGCACAAGCACGCAGCCGAGCCGAAAAGCGACTATTGTGGCGCGTCTTATTTCAACACTCGTTTGAGCGTCGAAGTCAAAAGTATTAATTTCAAAACCAATGCCGTGCATCAGTGGGATATCTATTGGTAGGTATATCATAGGAACCTAGGTATAGCAGCCGACAAAGCCAGCTTCAGGAAACACCACCAACTTGTCACACAAGAGAAGGCGCCCACACAACGCGCCACAAATCATCAAAACATGGGTTGCGCGGGCTGAAGCAGGCCGGCGCATGCATGGCCTTGGACCGGCGTATGCAGGCTGCTGCAGGTTCCGCAGAAAAATCCAGAAAGTCCACGTGGTCATCAGCCATGACACATGCGTGATCAAGGCAACCTGCGTATAGCATGTCACCTACCTTGGCGCAGCGAGTTACACGATGCAAAACCTGCGTGATGCGCTTACTCCGTGGGCGCGAGTAACGCCTGCGGCCACAACCCGCTGCGGACGAGTGATTGACCCCGCCAGAGGAGGTTTCATGTATCCGCGCATGACGGGTTGCTGTTTTACCCGAGTATAGCGGGCGTTGACACCCGTGAAGCGGGTGAAAGCTACGATGATAACGGGATGCTCTGCGAAACGCGGGAAGCTAAACGGGTAGTCAGCCTACCCGGCAGCAAAAACTCGCGCAGAGCGGGTAATTTCTTCAAAATACCCGCGATACGCGGGCCAACTCGCAATCCGCGGGTTGAATTGTTTTCAGTGTAGCATCATGGGGCGGAAGCTCGTTTTTCCACCCCGTTTGATCCCTTTGCGCTCGGTGAACTGTATGCTGCGGCCTCCTTTTGTTTTCTGTTTGCGTATACCGTTCGACTGCTCCTGGAAACAGCGCTGGTAGGCCGCGGGCGGTCAAAACTTCAGATCTCACCAAAACTCATGGCCGACCACGCACACTACTCTGATGCGACGCGGCTACCGCGGCAAGTTTGTCTGATCCGCGCGCCAAACAATCGACGATTGTTACTTTTTCTTAGCTCTGTGACTTTTTAACGGATTTTTTATCGGAACTACTTATGATTCGACACGTTTGCTTCGTATAACATTTTAAAAATCGGCTGTAGGTATATGAGAGGCTGGATAAGTGGGTATTGTGGCGGGGCTCGGGTGAGTTTAAAGGGACTATTCCACCTTTAACCCTCGCCCTGGCAGGGCATTTTTCATAACACGACCTGGCAGGGGGGGGGTCGATGCGACCCCCCCCCCTCGCGATTGGCTCCTATGGCACCTAGAAACACCAAATTTGGTAGGTAGGTGGGCCCCCTGGAGTTCTCGCCCCTGTGCAAATTTGGTTGCTCTAGGTCGATATTTAGGGGGGTTTTGGGGGGTATAAATGTAAAAATTTCGCTAAAAACAGGGCAAAAGTTTTTCGCTTATAACTTTTGATCTAATTGAGATAAAGCAAAAAGAGAAGCACAAGTGAACTCAGCACGTCAAGGCGCGTCGAATGACATACTTTTTAGCTGGCTTAAGTGTACTTAAAGTTTTTCTTAAATTTTAAGTAAACTTTAATTAATTGATTAAGTTTAAGTTAACCAAATTGCATCATATCGCATATCATTCGATTCGGCTGATCATCAGGAACACAATGGTACCATTTTTTAAGCTCTAGCGTCATTATGTGCCAAGTTATTAGCAAAAACGTCATTTGACCTCAGTTGACCTCATTTGACCTGACCCATGGATAAGTACACCAAACAAAGAAGCACCAAGTGACCTGCTGTTAAGTACTGTGGTTTGAAAGCACAAAAGTGATAAAACGAAGCGGATATCTCCAGTATTTTCCGAATTTAGTATTTTCCCATAGGCTTAACATTATGACGTAATGACCTCTAACTGACCTCAGGTCAGTGACATCCAAAAAACCGGAATATATGTTATACAACTTGGTGAACTTAGCACATCCTGAAAGTTTGAAGGAAATCGGTCCAAAACTGTGAGTTGGACAGGTGCATAAAGAAAGTTGAAATTTGACCATGACCTTGTACCGGTTTTTCTGACCTGGTGACCTGACCCAAGGTCACCCGGACCTGAAATTTTCAGGTCATGTGTAAAAAGGTTGCCCCATAGGCTGTGCCAAATTTGGCGGCGCTGCGCGCCGCCGTTTTCACGCTATCTTAGAAAAACCTTAGGGGGGGGGGGGGTCGCATCGACCCCCCCCCTGCCAGGGCGAGGGTTAACATGGGATTTGAGTTGAGATAGCCAAGTTTGCGGCGAGGTTCAGAAACCACTATCTATCTAGGTTGCAACCCCCGCGGCCTCTTGGTGTTGAAGAAATTCGTTCCCTTCATTTGAAAATGGGCCTTGTACAAGGCCCTATCTTCAACATGGAGCGACCGTTAGTGTGACGTCACCTCGTTTAGTCATTCTGATTTAAATGGGTTTGTTCGTTGAAAAATCGCTTAAAACTTGGTCTGAACTTTGTTGTGGTGCCTACAGAGTAAAAAGAATCAGCTTTATGACAGTAATGTGGCCTGGGGAAGGAGGTAATTTTGGGCTGTGACGTCACATATTTGAAAGTTTGTGTTTGGAATATGGGAAGCCTAAGATGTTTAATGAAAAATAAATGCCAGAACCGTGTTCCTGGTCATCCAATCTATAAAGTCGGGCACAATTTAACTGGTTTTAACAACATTTTAGAAGGTGGGATAGTCCCTTTAAGAATATGAACAATAAAAGCCGACACTTGAGGACCATGAGGTCTTTGATCGATTGTAGCGGGGCTCGAGTGAGTTTAAGAATATAAACAATAAAAGCTGACCATTGAGGTCTTAAATCGTCCTTTTGAATTATATAAGGTCGAAAGGATTAAATGTGTTATCGTTTTTTTTTTTCGCCAAAATGTGTGAGTTTGACCATATGGCGTTCCAAGCATGTGCATATTCACTGCACATCGGTGCCTCTTCAGTTAAACAAATTCCCCCACACCCGAGTGCCATTGAATGACGCACATCCACCTTCCTCGAAAGCGCATCATCACCCTCAGCCTTGAACATACCCTACGCCCCTCGGCTGCTCCCATTTCCGTTCTGCCCTCCGCGCCTCGGCTGACGGCTCTCCGTCGCGGTTGGTGAGCCTCTCGGCACCAGGTGCACTACGGAGGGATCCCGACCCCCCTCTGCCTCTCTGACTCACAGACATCCGGCAGAGGCGCGCGTTACGCTACTGGGTGTGACGTCATGTTACGCTCCGTGACGCAGGGAGGGGTGGAGCAGGCACGGGGCACAGCTGGGGAGCCGGCACCTCGAGTCGGGCACACAGGTCATCGGCCCCTTACAAAGTGCAGGTAGTTACGGGGCAGTGTGGCCCCTCCGCCGCCCGGCGTGGTCGCTCTGTGTTGGTGTCGTTGTTTGTCGTACGATCGGTCACCAACTGCTGCTGCAGTCACCTCCGGATGCCAAACAAAGATTGCAAGATTGTTGTGGTAGTGAAGCCTGTGGGAACAACACAAAGATAAAAAATGACATGCGTTTTATGCTGAGGATGTCTTTTGCTGGGTGTAAAGGCACGGCACCTCATCCGTGGTTCCTCCGTGTTACTAATGATAACAATTAAATCCCCCAGATCGCGTTATATAGGTAGCCGTTTTAACTGCATACGCTGGAGATAAACGCAATGTTTCAGGCGATTTGATTTATCTTGCGACTTTGTTTAGCCTGGTAGTCTCGGTCATAACCGTACGAATCGCTACAGGTGCCCATACCGTAACAAGAGACCCTTGAGAAAGCCACAAAAACCCACTCATATAGCCACCGCCTTCTCGCTCGGCCCAGTTGTTTTTCTGTGGTCAGTTTCCGGGTAGGGCCGCGCGGTGGCAGCACCGTCGGTTGACCGGTGCAGCTGATCTCCAGGCTACCTGGACGGGGGGAGGGAGGGGAGGGTGGGGAGGAGGGGGTGGATGACGCAGACGGCAGCGGCGTCAGCCTGGCCGGCGGGAGGTCGACCGCGGCGCCGCGCCGGGGTCAGTCGACGGGCCAGCGGCGGGGCAGAGCGGAGCTGCGTGTTGGTTGGAGGAGGGTGCGAGCAATCAGAGGACCGTACAGGAGATGCCCTCCCATTCTCACAGCTATAATGTCAGCGTGAGTACGAACTGGCTGAGGCAGGGGAGGGTGATCAGTGTCCTTGACACGATCAGAAGGTCAGAGAAGGGAGAGTTGGTGGGACCGATAGGCGTCAGGAGCAGTGGTGATCGGGAGAGAGGTGTTTGTTGCACGTCAGAGAGCCCTGCCAACCGACTGCTGACACAGGTTTACGGATCACAAAAACGGCGTACGATCTCGGACAGCAAATGACCTGATGGGATTTTCAGGTAAGGCTGTTCCATTCATTCTGTCTATCGTGGTTTCTTACATTGATGGAGGCATAGATGGAGGGTTTGATTTGCGTCTGCAAGAAACAGACGTGCATAATATAAGATTTATATATAAAACGTACTTTTACATTTTGTACAATATCAATTTTTCCCGTTCTGGCAAGCTTTCAGTTTGTGAATTTCACACGATCATGCTGCACCGATTTACCCGAGCACTGCAGCGCTATAGCCGTGGCGTCACGTCGGCTCCCATTTCCCAAGGCTCGCCAAAGCTCTGCCGTGTCCATCCGGTTCCCGAACTCGCGTGACATAGCACACACGCTCCACTGCTCTGAGTGCCCGAGGCGACATGTATCCAGGGCAGAGGAAAGCCGGTCTCTGTCCCTCGGGACTGCAATAGTTAGCCACGGCTAAAGGGAAGGAACCATGATAGTAGGTATGTAGTTTAGTTGTGGGAATGGCCTTCGTTTGGTGCGGTTCAACGCCCCACATCGCATTATTTATGTTCCTCATGCATGTTTGAAGCCAGGGGATGATACTAAATTGGGACGCTGCACTCGTATGAGTCGGGGCAATAAAATCGTGTTGAATTTATATTCCTAGTAGTGATCAATACTGGTTTGATCACCTAATCCCGGATGTTTGGATTATGTGGTCTGGCTCAGGGACTCAGGGCTCCCAATTAGTTTATTGAGTGGCATTACGGTATACTCGTAGAAGACCGGCACCACGGTGTCGCCCCTGCCATCTGTGGTAAACTTGACGCCGTGGAGGTCCTGGGACCCCTCCCTCTACCGTGGCTGTTTTGGGGCACTTACCTGGAATTTGGGATGCCCTCCGCAAACACGTAAACAGGGTGCTGAAAACACCTATTAAACTGCACTCACGCATCGGAAACTGATAAGCACCGCTATTTCAGGAGCACTCGACTTCTGCCTTATTGCTCTCTGAATGGTTTTGTGCGAGATAAAATTTGAGAGAAGGGCCGCTGAATGAGGACAGGTTACATAATCTTTCTTGAGACATGGGGGTATTATGGAGCATTAAAACGCTCCCCGTTACGCATTCATAAGCAGCATAATATCGCGCATATCAATCGCATTTCATCGATATGTCAAATCCCGAGCGCTTTTCCAGCAGCAGGCATTGTATCCCCTGGCCAACAAACCCATCACCCCATGCAATCACGTTAGCCTTGTCCCTCTCTGGCCGTGCAGACTCTAGCTCACCGCCGCGGTAATATATCCACCTGTTGAATCTTTAATGACCATGCAGCGGTGCTGTTCGGGGTACTACCATCCAGCGCGGCGCCCTGAGTTCGAGCCAGGTGACATGGTCACGCTGGCAGTGCGTGGTGGGTCGGAGGACGGGACTGGCCGTGCCGTTAAGTCCTGTCCGCTTCTGAGGGACGGCGCGGGGACGACAGCGCGCCCTTGACCTCCTAGTGGGGTAGATACGGAGAACGATAGGGGAGAGGGGCGGAGGAGATGAGTTGCTGATTCAGAGGACCTCGGTAGCCTCTGGAGTCAGCTGATGCTGAGATCGGAAATCATAGATTGACGGCGATAAGAGATTGGGTAATGGTTTTGCAAAGGAGTGATGTTTAGATGCTCTATAGGTAGCTGCCAGCTGTTTGATTCTTACTTATGTTCGGGAGCATGAATATCTGTCTAATCGTGAATTGTTGACTTATCAGCCACTTGGCCAATGAATCGTTGATAAAGGATCGTTACGGATAGTTAACGTCATCGGTCATGGTGCAAACATACCAGATTAGCTTTATACCAAGACACGTCCACAGTTGAAGCCAGTAGCCCATTACTATGTTTACGCCTCTCATTCCAAGCGCCGCGGGCCGTTAGGGAGTCGGAATCACAGCGATAGCCAACTCAGGTCGTGAACTCTGACGCCGCTCTGACCTGTAACGGAGAGGTCAGAACGAGTGAGAGCAAAACAGCAATAACAACAGAACTCCTGGGGACCGAGACTCACCACCCGGGTCAGCCCGCTAATAACGACCTCTGAAACAGCTGTTCGGACAACTGGCAGCGTTGCCTATCGGTGTTGTTCTTGTCGCACCTGATTGAAATGCCACCGAAATGGGTCGTAGGTATTGCCTAATCATCTTCGAGGCGCCACAGCCTTTTTCTTCACAGCTACTATCTGACCAATGCTTCCAATCAGTCACTTTTCGCAGTGTCATGGTCCTCTCGTCATTACGTCTCCTCTCTCTTGACTAGTCTCTTACTCAATCTCTCCACCACCTTTGTCCTGTGCTGTGACCTCTAATAGCTCTCTCTCTCTCTCTCTCTCTCTCTCTCTCTCTCTCTCTCTCTCTCTCTCTCTCTCTCTCTCTCTCTCTCTCTCTCTCTCTCTCTCTCTCTCTCTCTCTCTCTCTCTCTCTCTCTCTCTCTCTCTCTCTCTCTCTCTCTCTCTCTCTCTCTCTCTCTCTCCCCTCTCTGTTTTCTCCATTGGTAATCCAACGTCTTCACCTGATGGCCTCTGCACGTCCAGCCACGCGACGCAAACTCCCGCACCAACAGTCACTGTTCGACCTTCTCTTCCCTTGCCGGTAACGACCGACTCAGTCAGCCCAATCACCTCTCGTGACGTCAGCCGGTAACTCTGTGTGAGAAGCAGCAACTGCGCCGGTGTGAGCACCAGCGCAGCTGCGGCGCGATGCTGGCATTTGCGGCTCGTTGGTTGCAGAGTGATTCACGCAGGCAAACTCTCAATGAAGCTACGGTTCGCTGAGCACGCAATACGCACCGTAAAAATACACGGGCATGCGCATTGAATATCCATTCTCTCACTCACTCTTGCAGAAGAGCCGCCACAGCTAACCAGTTTTGACACATCTAGAATTACGCCAGAGCAGTGTCAAGAATGTGGCATCTCTAATCGGCGATTGATTGTCATCCCTAAGAGCCAAACAATTAAGGCTTCATTCATTAGTTTCTTGGAATCCGCTGGGCGGCCGTTAGAACACCTCAAGTCACCTTCCATTAGAGATGGGACTATCGTTTCTAGCCGATCGCAGCCCATCTTATCGCGTTTGCGTCGCCCTGACATCCAAGGTCAACCAAGGTCGGCCGAGGGCTTCAGTAAGCCCGCGCGCCTCGCCCAGTCTCAAGGTTACAGGTGAAGCGTCAAAACAGCACACTGCCGCCGGCGGGACTGGGTGCGTCGTCGCCAGTTTCACGGTGGTTGGTGGGAGCGGAGGGACGTGTAGCTAGTAGGAGCGAGCAGACGAGTGTGTGACGTGTGGTGTTCAGCCTGTGTGCTGGGGAGAGGTGGGCTGAGGTGCGGTGGAAAACGCATTGTGGTGCGGTGGAGATCAGCTATAGGCGCAGCCGTAAATGAGGACCGGTAAACGAAGTTCGACTGAATTGACTTATCATCATTCCGGAAGGTAATGTAAATCGTTCCAGACTATCTTTCTCTCAACAATTAAAACACATCAAACATTGTTTTTCCATTTAAAAATAATCTAGCGATGCTGTTCCGGCCGGACCCACATGAGGATAGTGCCCTGTGCTGCGACGGAGTCTCTGGTGTTAGCCTTATCTCCGCGATGCAGTCTCCAGCGCCTTGTTGACCAGCCGTCTACGCGGCCGCGGCGCCTACATTCTGTGCAAGCTCATGCCACATGTATGACCTGCGCAGGCGATGTGCGCTCACGAAAATGAAAACATGACCATTGTTCTCTTTGCAGTATTGTTCTTGCTAAGCTCAGTCACACGACGCTTCTGTTGCTGCGAGGAGATGTGTCCTCCTTTTCAGAGTATCGCTCTGAGAGGTTTTTATGTTTTTGGAGACCGTCTCGACTTTACCTCGATTAAATATTAATAACCTTGTTTTGAAGGAACTCGCTACTTAGCGGCTTATTCAAACGTCGTATTCATTGCTACTTCCTTTCTTTTCAGGATCCAAGCCAGTTCGTGAGCTACCGTAAGCCAAACGAGCCTCCCCGCATTGGGGAGATGCCCAGAATTGGCGGCGAAATGACGGAAAAGAAGGCGCAAAACGGAGCGAGCGAGCAGAATGGGCAGACGAGTCAAAACGGCCAGGGGGTCCAGAACGGAGCCAAAGCTCCTGGCTCCAACTGGAGGAGCAACTACGTGCCGGCCATCCTGGAGAGCGACAAGGGGGCAAAGGTGAGTCCAAAACGGCGGGATGTGTTTTGGAATACACCAAAATCTTGTTTACATATATGGCCAATCACGTCTTATGCAGTGAAGGATACGCTGCATAATATGTGAATACGACAAACTCAGAGCATAACAAATAGTGCAATCAGGCATCAGCTTCTCTCTCCGTCTCAGCTATCCCATTTCGGTTGCTTCCTTTGTGTCGGAATTGTTATCCCTTGCTGCTTCAAAATGGATTAAGTTTCAGTAGCCTGCGCCACTCTGTGGTCACTTAAAATCCAGCCATTGCATTGTGACGACATAGTGAATCGCTGCATACGCTCAGGTGCTGATGAGCGTACATATTGCAGTTCTGCTAATATGCACACAGCTTGCAACGATTGCTTGTGCCATGCCTCCACGAATTATCACAACAATAACTCCAAACGAAGGGCTCAGCTGCACTCGGGGGCTCCAGCTTGGCCAGCAGGTGAAAGGGTTGTTTATGGTAGTCTCATTAGCGATCATTATGGTAATCGCATTGGTCCTCACTAGGACTGAGGGAGAGTTTCGTAACTAGTGCTGCCTAGTAACTATAAGTGTGGTGCTAACTGCTAGTCCACGCAGTATATTGTTACAGCATGGTGAATAGAAGAGATCTCCATCCGCACTTTTTCTTTCGAAGAAAATCCCTTTCGAGCGTTTGGTCATAAGCTCTACCCCATCATTGTTGTTAGCCATCGTTGCGAAATCGCAAATAAAAGCTCCCGGCCCGATTCTTCATGTCAGGATTATGTTCATCCAGTGAAACATCCTGATACGCGAGCGAAAGTGAAACCTTATCAGTGTTTAGGTGCTGCTCTTGAATGTGTGTACATTGAACGTAATAAGCATAACGGCATGCTTAAACTTATCATAAGACAGCAACGTCAAGCGTAAACGTTTTAAATATCTTTCAAAATATCCCTGGTATATATGTCGCTAGGATAACCCATGCAATCATTGATAATTTCTTAAAGTTGTGGCAGTGCTCCATGGTGCATTTGGTGGTCACCCACTATCGCCACTAGAAGAAAAAGTAAACTTTCCAGCGGTGACCCTGGCGGCTCTGCGTGCTCGTGCCGAGTCGGTGACCGGAATTCGGGGTATCGCAGCCGTGCGGCGTCAGCTGATTACTGCCCTCGGGCGGGCACGTGACCACACGCTCCGCGGCCGAGCTCTGCATTCTGTCATGTCACCGGGAGAAAACTCGAAGGGTTTTGATGTAGTGTGTTAGTGGGAATCTCAGACCGTATATTGTCGATTGGGGCAGCAATTGGCTCCACGCCAGAACCAGTCAGTAAGGACAGTCTCGTATTCAATTGCATGATGGAATAGGAAGCTATGCCCTTACTCTAACGTCCGAAGTGTAGGAACCAATGTTTCTCAGTATTCTACACATTGAATGGCCTTTAGAGCAGCCCTTTGCAGCAGCACAGGACGGTGCAGCGTCACGAGTGGGGGGCTGACAGGTGAAGGATCTCCTTTGTATGTCAAGGACGAGCCTAAAAGTCGCCAGCGAGGCTACGAGTCGCCTAAAAATCGTCACCGTTGGACCTCTGAACCAAGGAACACGGTCATTTGCATGTTTAAACAGCAGGAGTATGGATTTGACTGGGAGCGATCGAGCTAAATAGGGAATCAAAGGTCATTCTCTACATGTGGGAGGTCGTTTCACGGATCGGTACTTAGAAGCCATCCCTCATTCAACAGCTGCAGCGTTCAGTTTGAGTCAGCCCAGGTGCGACGGTTCTGCAGTGGACAGTCACCGAAACCTCGCACATTTGTCCCTCGAAGTCAGCTGCTGCGACAATGACCTCATGCATTAGACATGTGCACGGCGGCGTCTGTGCGATCTCTCCGGGCCCTGCCGGCTGGGATACATACGTAATGACTCGCGCTGCCTGGCACCGCGGCAGAGCCGCCGGCGACGGCCGGGCAGGGACGCTCACAGGGCGGCCTGGCATCCGGCCAACACCGGCCCGGCGCCGGCCGCGGGGCCGCTGCCTTTGGAGCCGGGGCCGCTCAGAACATGGCGCATATGTGTAGTTCGAGCAGAAGGGTCGGGAATATGGGTGGGGTGGGGGTTGGGGAGGGTAGAACTGCGTAGTGCGTATGCTGATGAGAAAGAGAAGTCAGCATGGAACTTTCCAGTAAGAATACTGAAATTTTTAACGGTAAATTTGCGAAATAGGTGTGTTGAAATGTTAATGAAGGGCATGCATCTCCTTTCACACCTTTTCTAGAGTTGTCGACTTATTATCGAGTTTTATCAATACGAATGCTTTGCTGGTCATAATTTTATATTCCATATGGAGACAATAACGATGTAGGGTGTTGCTGACGTCAGAGGTTACAGCGCTAGTAAACTCCACAAATAATCATGAAACTCGCGCTGTGCGTGACTCCTCCGCGTTTAACCCGCGCCCCACTGGGGGGGGGGGCTATTTATAGCCCCCCCTCCCGTTTTTCTGGAAAAACTTCCAAACCGCTTGACGTATCGACGCCAAACTTTCAGTACCTTCGGCTGCATCAATTTGACACCTTGTGTCAAAATTTGAACTTCGTAGCTACCATAGGTCGGCCGGAAATGACGTCAGAGTGACGTCATGTTCGGCCGATTTCGACGCAAAACATCGAACCACGGCAATCGCTCCCAAGGGCTCAGTTTTTAAGCTAGATCCAATTTCTTTGCATGAGAGGACTCAGAATTGACTGCGCTATCAAACTGCTATCTCGGATTTTCGAAATTTTGAAAATTTCGAAAAAATTTTATGTAATAAAATTCAAAATTTACATTTTTACATTTTTTCCAAAAAGTTTTTGACTTTTCGAAAAAACCGGAATATATGTGATAGAACGCGTTATTATGACTAACTCTAGCAAGTTTCAGCTAAATATCTTCAAAAATGGCCAAGTTATACGCATTATTGCAAAAAAATTCACAATTATTAATTTTTCAAATCAATTTTTCACCACGTATTTGACATCGTACGCCAATATAAATAGCACCATCGTGTTCCTGAGCTCAAACTGCATCCAATAGACACCTTTTCTGTTGAAAAATTATAACTTCAAAATTTGACCTTTTTTGACCTGAAAGTGACCTGACCTAAGCTAAATTTGACTCAAAATGACCTCGAATGACACAGACGACATCAAATTCAAAATCTTTGGCCTAAATGGACCATAAAACATGTGTCTTGTGACCGACGCATGATATAATATTTTCGTGACCTGTGATGACCTGACCTTGACCTGAAAATCAAAGTACAAGTTTGGTACCCTCAGGGTATCTAGAGCATCTGTTCACGAGTGTGTGAACCAAAAATGAGCCTGATCTGACTTGTAGGACGGCGGCCAGAGCCCAAAACGTGAACAAACCAAAATGCTAATAATTTTTACTTTGACCTGACCTGTGACGTCATCGGTGACCTCGAGGTCAATGAAATTGGGTTTCGCTCGACAGTTTTTCCGGGGCTATCAGACGCCGTTTGAATTTTGACGATAGGCCCAGTAGTTTCGGAGTTAGGAGGGGGGCTATGAATAGCCCCCCCCCCCCCCCCCCCAGTAGGGCGTGTTATACGCAGACCCCAGTGGGGCGCGGGTTAACTAACCCATCCCTCCGACCACTGCTTACCACTCTAACAGCTCCCATTCTCCATCCCCCAGAGCCCCGCAGATACGGAGAAGGCGCCGGGCGGTCCCGAGGACCCTGTCTCTGAGGACGAGCACCCGGACCGCGGGCAGTGGGGCTCCAAATGGGAGTTCATCTTCTCCTGCGTGGGCCTCTCGGTGGGCATTGGAAACGTGTGGCGGTTCCCGGCTCTGGCCTACGAGAACGGTGGAGGTGAGAACTCGGAACTCTGGCCGCTCCATGAGAGGGAAGCGGGCAAAGCATAACATGTTGCAGGTCCAACACTGTCACCTGTGTCAACCTCAAAGTTCAGAACAAGTCGAACTGTGTATGCCTTGTGCGTAAAATAATGTAATTTGTTCTTGATTCATATCACCACAGTAAAATTATTGCTGAAAATGTCGACCATTTGCCACCACTAACCGCCCGTGTGTTGTCGCTTCCAGGTGCCTTCCTGATTCCGTACATAATCATCCTGGTTCTGGTGGGGAAGCCGATGTACCTGATGGAAACTGCGCTGGGACAGTACAGCCAGCTCGGACCAATGTCCGTCTGGAGCATGGCGCCCATCATGAAAGGTAGGCGTCCATCACATGTGCAGCATGAGCCATGCAGACTTTTAATATGCTATACATCATGATTGTCTAGTAATTGATGCGAGGTGAAAGATCTTATGAACGAGCGGTTCGATGATTGACCATTTGCATCCAAACGACTAAAATTAGCCATGTGTATTTATTTCCTGCGTTTAGACGTTCAGAACGGAGGTCATGACTTCGTCAATCAATGGGCCATCTCGTCGGCGATTCTGTGAAATAAATAAATAGATAAAATTGTAAGCCGACCTGAACCGTATTCTTTTCTCCGTATTTACTCAGGCATCTTGCGGTCTACTTATTGTATAAAAGTGTTATTCACAACGAACATCAAATGCCACTCGTTTCATAGACTTGAACGTTGCCTCCCTCACAGTAAGAAGTTGTCCTCAAGGCACGCTCAGCTTCATTCCATTTCCAGCAGTCAGAGCCGGGCCGGACTCTGCCTAACTCGTCATATCCCTTTCGCAGGTGTTGGAGCGGCCATGGTGATCATCTCCCTCATCGTCTCCATCTACTACAACGTCATCATGTGCTACACGCTCTTCTTCACGTTCGCCTCCTTCCAGAGCGGCAGCATCGCGCCGTGGTCGTGGTGTAACACCGGTGAGTAGCGACGCCTCTGCTGAGTGGTGTCCCTTCTCCTGGCCTCGATATTTGTAGCACTAAAATTGTAGCGCTGAATGAATCTGTTACCACCAGTGAAACTATTCTCTAGTGGGATAACTTCCAACTTCTGCCATAAGGAGTGAATGAATCACAGAGACGGACTGCGAAAACCCAGAGGATCTGTCATGTCCGCATATGACATAACCGACAGAAGCAGAGACACGGACGAAGCTGTTCTATTATAGGCCCTACTCTGATACACAAACTTCCTAACTTGTGCCGTAGCGAAAAAGGAGGGATGTTGAGGAAAGAGGGGCTTGTCAGAGGATACAACAAGACGTAGCTGCGACTCTGGCTGCGACAAGGCTTAAAGGGACTGTCTTCTTCAATGAAAAAATGCGCTCCTTTCCAGAGTTGTTTGCCACGGATAATTGTTACGTCCGGAACGCCTCGTTCCCGACCTGCAAGGCCCTGCAGAAGCTGGTGGAGACCAACAAGACGGACATGCTGCCGGAGATGGGCGTCAACTGCCACAACCGCTCCGAGCTGGCGGCGCAACAGTACTTCGAGTGAGCTCAGGCGATAAACGACATTATTTCCTGTAATAGCAGCGCGAAAGTTCTACAGCTCTGTAAATAACGATTGTATAGTTAGCCCAATTAACTTCCCAACTCTCAAGGTTTAAACATACGGGCTTAAACATAAACATGAAACATCGTAGGTTGACCCGTTTAAAATTTGACATTTGTTGGTTTTACAAATGAGAGGAACTGTCTGTTTTTTGTTAGTTTGCCTTTCAGGCATGATATATATCGTCCCAAAGCGCAAACTCTTCACAAATCAGTTACGGCTGGGCCCATGTGTTGCCTACAACACAAGCCCAAATGTTCCACCATATTACATCGCTGAGTGTTTTTCCGTCGGCAGGAGGTACGTGCTGAAGCTGGGTCCGATGTTGGACGAGCCCGGAGACATTGGCAGTATGAACTGGCAGCTCACCCTCTGTCTGCTCTTCTCTTGGATCATCGTCTTCTTCTGTCTGATGAAGGGCGTTAAAAGCTCCGGCAAGGTAAGAACAAGCTTCGAATGGTCCGTTCGCTGAGAAAATGCCGAAAGATAAGCGTGCTTTGATTGGCTTACCATGTAATTGCATAGAACACAAATCACAATCTAACTAACTTCTGTTCCTCTAAAAAGAGAAAATGGGAATAAGTGACAAACACCTTATGTTTCGTGGGTACCAGTGTAAATCCTGAAAATGAAGGACTACGAGCTTGCTCATTGAAATTCCCTTAGTGTCTGGCTGGAGGTATTGCGACCCGTGAAATACGTTGCGACGATCGTGACAACATTCTCGTCTATTTGTTTGCAGGTTGTGTACGTGACTGCCACCGTTCCGTATATGTTCCTAATTGCCATTCTGGCGTACGGATGCACCCTGGATGGCGCCATCGACGGCATCAAGTTCTTCTTCATTCCCAAGTGGGAGCGTCTCGCCGATGTCACTGTAAGTGAAAAATTATACTTTTACTACCAAATGCATGCAAAAATCACTTCACTCCCCATTGACCTCACATCGAATAAAATCGTTTTTAGAAATAGTCCTAGTTCTTGTCTACCGTTCGAAAATCGCTGTATTTGTGACTGACAACTTTTTGCATACACACAACAGCCTTGCATACTTTTTGGTTCTAGACAATGATTTAACTCTTCAACCAGTCATGAGTCAGGGATCGTTTCCACTTATGCATTATTCATCTTGTCGCTTGCGGCACCTGACTGACAACCGGATCTCCCTGCAGGTTTGGCAGAAGGCCGCCGAGCAGATGTTCTTCTCTCTCAGCGTCTCCTGGGGCGGCCTCATCATGTTCGGCTCCTACAACAAGTTCAACCACAAGGTCCACATCGACGCCATGGTCATCTCCTCCCTGGACTTCTTGACTTCCATCATTGCCTCTGTAGCTGTGTTCAGCATCCTCGGCTCGATGGCGAGATCGGGTGGAGTTGAAGTCGGTGATGTGGTGAAGTCGGGACAGAATCTGGCCTTCATCGCCTTCCCAGAAGCGATTGGAAACGTGCCCGGCTGGCAGCTCTGGTCGGTGCTGTTCTTCTTGATGCTCTACACACTCGGACTGGACTCGGAGGTGAGCTAGACGCATGGAGAAGGATATCTCTTGAGAGACAGTTTGTCGAAAAGAGCTAGTGAGATTAATAAGTTGTACGTGCCACCAATATCAACAGCTCCGATACGTAATTTGTTATCGATTTATTCTGCATCACTGACATACTGTCACCCTTTGTCCCACAGTTTGCGCTGCTGGAGACCTTCACGACAGCCATCTACGATACAATCCCGTCCAGCAGAAACTACAAGGTTCTGATCACATTCGCGGCCTCCAGCAGTTGCTTCCTGCTCGGACTGCCCTGCGTTTCACAGGTAAGGTCATGACGAGGTGCGTTCCTTTCAGAATGTTTTTTTTTTTAGTGTGGTGATGTGCTAGACTTCTTAGACCGAAACTAGCCGATGTCACGTATGTGGTATAAAAGGATTGTTTAGAGCTTTGAAGTCACTCAACAGATTATATGACTCATATAACCTTACAATTAGGAGACGTCGCTTAAAGTAGTCATCACTTCAAAATTCAAACCAGTGCTTGATCGCAGCTGAACGCTAAACCTGTTTGACTTCAGACGACAGGTGCCAGACCGGTCCATGCGTGCTGAAGCTGACCCTGACTGACCTCAGCTGACCCCTGCTGACCCTGGCTGACCTCAGCTGACCCCTACTGACCTCTGACTGACCTTTGACCCCTGTCCACAGGCCGGTCCGTACGTCCTGAAGCTGATGGACACATTCGGAGGACTGGGCGTCATGCTGATAGCCGTGTTCGAGCTAGTCGGTATCATGTGGGTGTACGGAGTGAACCGCTTCTGTGACAACATCCAGTTCATGAACGACTTCAAGCCGAGCATCGTCTTCAAAGTGTGCTGGGTGCTCATCGCGCCATTCATGCTCGGGGTATGTGCTCCGGAGGAAAACGTAACGATGCTTCATACGTTAGGAAGTCTCTCGGGCGTACTGCGCAAGTATCACCATACTAATTGGTATAGTTTGGTATGGAGCCGATGGTCAACACCAGTTGTGGCTCTGTCTTGCCTAACCACCAGGCACCAACCGTGGTTCAGTTTTACAGAACCACTTCCTCGTTCCTGATAGTTCTGCTGTGTTTCGAACTGACCGCTAAACCGCCATTCTCACCGCTCCACTACCTCTCCACAGATTATCTTCGTGTACTCGACGTACCAGTTTGAGCCGCCCACCTACGGTGACGAAGAGTACCCCACGTGGGCTGTCGGGGTTGGCTGGGCTTTGGCCGGAGTCTCCGTCCTACAGATTCCCATCTGGGGATTGTGCGTGCTGGTTTACTACACCTTTAAGGGGGTAAGTCACAGATCTCAGGAGTTCTAGACTCTATATTGGACGTCGGAAATAGTAAGTTTGTTGTTAACTTGATACACGTCATGCCTGTTTTCGAGATACGTGGTTGTAAACCACCACCACCACCAACAACAGAATAATGCCAGAGTCAGATCATGCGAATCACCATAGAGCCATACGTTGAAGGTTGAAGGAATGCTGAAAGAAATGAATGCTTTGCGGTAACGCTGGCACTGTGTGTTTGCAGAATTTCCTCCAGTCGTTCCGTCCCCTGCCCAGCTGGGGTCCCGGCGACAAGGAGGCCAGAAAACGTCTGCTCTCGGTGCGCGGTCAGCTGATGCGCCGCGATGAGCTGCATGGCGCCGACAATGCCGCGCTGGAGGTAGAATAGTGTTCAACCACCGATGGTGAGACAGTATCACGGAGAAGTGTTGGCTGTCAGCGCCTATGAACGGTTACCCTGCCCGAGGTCAAGGAATGTTCCGTCCACCTTTTAAACAAACATTCCAACGAGTGATTTAACTTTTCATGGATGTTTTATCCGTGCGGTTGTCATTTTGAGCCGTAGAAACATTCCGTCCTCCAGGAAAGACGTTACAGTCCGTCCCATACAAGTGTGGTGCTGTACAATCGGTGCGCGGAAACTGCACGGAAACTGTGCGTGATTTCCAGCATTTTTGAAATAGCCACACCAGCGTATGCTGTAGAAATGTGCGATGGTTTTACAGCTTCAACCCATACAAACTAGACAAGCATTATAAAATTGATCCTTCCAAATATAACCACGTTTTCTCGACTTTTCGTCCTGTTGCTTGTGCTCAAACTCTTCAGAACATTTGGTACTGGTTTCGGACGATGAATAGCGCGCAGCATGATGTATTTTGTTCGATCAGCATCGGATGAGGCTACGTGCGCTGTCTGTTTTAACTGTATTACAGTGGTGACAAGAGTGTCCTCGAGGTGCTGTTTTTATGTAGCATGGGGGGGGGGGGTAAAACATGTCATACTTTTACGGAACCTGCGTCAGTAACTATTTGAATGTAATGTCTAAACATCTGTAACATTATCAGTGTATCTTATGTTAACTCTTTTGGAAGCCAGTATGCCCGTTACCTTTGCTCTGATGTAGATTGTGAAGTTTTCTTTGACGATCATGCCTCACTTTTACCACCTGAGTGAGAGATCAGAGCAATACGATGTCATGTAATTGAGCGAGCTGTGTGATGTGCAACAATGAAATGTATAAAACTGTGGACAGAATGTCGCCATGGTGTTGTTTATTTAGTGAGCGTACCTTGTAAGGAGAGCTTTGTGACCAACGGTGTTTGTGCTTCCAACGAGGAATATGAGTGTCCGGGTATTTGATAAATATATGATTACCGGAAAACACAGTCTATCCAGTCGGGAAATATTTAGACCGTTTTCTGTTTATATGTATCTGTTTACAATTTCCATTTTGCAAATATTGTGTCAGTGAACGCCGATCAATCTTATGCTCTAGCATGAGTCTATAGTTACGAGCGAGCGAGCGCAGCGAGCGAAGTGAGTCTTTTCAATACCAGTATAGCGCCTTTTGGGGCGACTAACGGAGCGAGCGAGAGGGTGAGCCTTGCACGTGCGAAATTTCGAGGGGGTACCTCCAACTGACTTGTGCACGGCACCCTACTAACCGGTCTCTAGCGATGTGCCAAATTTGAGCACAATCGGCCCAGCCGTTCTCGAGATCTGGAAGCGGCACCCTGCACGTGCGCACGTGCAAAATGGGTCCCAACTGACTTGTGCACGGCACCCTACTAACTGGTCCCTAGCCATGTACCAAATTTGAGCGCTTTCGGTCCAGCCGTTCTCGAGATCTGGAAACGACCCCTGCACGTGCGCACGTGCAGCAACACCCCAACTCTGGCACATGGATATGCAGTGCCTAGTGGGTGCCTACCTACATGCCAACTTTCAGCGCAATCGGCCAAGTAGTTACCGAGATATTGCAACAATGACAAAAGTGACACCTCTTCATTTTGCGCGTGGCACGTGCATAAGGGGTCACCCACATGCATCGGGAATAGTCCAATACTTGGTAGAAGGAATGAAGCTACCCTACAAAAATTACCCCGTGTAAATCGGTCAAGTGGTTGCTGAGATATAAGCCTCGCAAAAGCGTCCGCACGGCCGGCCGGCCGGCCGGCCGGCCGGCCGCTCATACTCAGAAATTTCCGTTAATCTAAGGAAAGACTACGCTCGCTTCGCTCGCTCCGTAATAACGGAAAAATCTCAGTATGAGCGGCCCGGCCCGGCCCGGCCCGGCCCGGCCTGTAACGCTTTTGAGAGGCTTATATCTCAGCAACCGCTGGACCGATTGGCCTGCGGTCTTTTTTGTTGGGTAGCCCCATCCCTTCTACCCCGTAATTGACTACTTTTGATACATCTCAGTGACCGTCGTGGCACGTGCCACGTGAATAGTCAAGGGTGTTCAAGCTGTTTTGCAAAAGTAGTGATTTTGAGAGGCTCATATCTCAGCAGCCGCTTGGGCGATTGACTTGCGGTAATTTTTGTAGGGTAGCAGCATCCCTTCTACCCAATATAGGATACTCTCGATGTATGTGGGTCACCCCCAGTGCACGTGCAAAACACAACAATAAGAGGTGCCAAATTTGTTCCCATTTCAGTAACTCGGTAATTACTGGGGCGATTTCGCTGAAACTTGGCATACAGGTAGGCACCCACCAGGCAATGCATTCCCATGTGTTGCGGTTAGGGTGCTACTGCACGTGCGCACGTGCAGGGGGCGTTTCCAGATCTCGAGAACGGCTGGGCCGATTGCGCTCAAATTTGGTACATGGTTGGAGACCAGTTAGTAGGGTGCCGTGCAAAAGTCATTTTGGACCCCGTTTGCACGTGCGCACGTGCAGAATGCCGCTTCCAGATCTCAGGAACGGTTGGGCCGATTGCGTTCAAATTTGGCACACCGCTAGCGACCGGTTAGAAGGGTGCTTTGCACAAGCCGGTTGGAAGTACCATCTCGCCCTTCCGCACGTGCAGGGCTCACTATCTCGCTCGCTCGTTCTTCGCCCAAAAGGCGTTTTACTGGTTATACATTTACGTCTTTTTTCGTCACTACAACTACAAAGGTGGACATAAATGTTCTGATTTCCTGATGTCATGAGACGATGCCTGTAGAGGATGAGTACCTAATCCATATTCGGCAGGTTACTAACATGCCATGATGAGGCATTAAACACGTTCTAACTTCATGGTGCTGTGACTTGTCGCTAGATAAACAAAGCTGCGAGACAAAAAGCTACATTACTTATACAAGCAAAAGCAATGTAACCAAAGCTTAAAAAAAGTAGCTTACATCAAACACTCAATGTAGTCATGTTAACTTCTGTCGTATTTGTACTAAGGTGCGCTGCATCGTGCATACTGCATGGCCACAACTACGCATATGTAGCTTAGCTAAATACCGAACCCAGCCGTAGCTGAAGCGCGTATGTGCGAGCGTTTACCTACTGAAGTCCACAGACACTGCTGTGTTGTGCTGCACTACTATCGGCGCTCTGACCAGCCTCTGCGCCAGAATTGTCGCCGACGTCTGCCGCTGCGTCGTTTATGCCTCTGCCGACAGCTGGGTCGTACACCGACTCGACGAAAAATGTCTCCATCATGCCCTTGCCTTTGATCTCGGTGATGCCACGAGACTCTAGGGCATACGGCGAGCCCTCGGCCTCCAGCCTCCTGGGAAAAGAGCAGGCGTGTTAGCAACACCGATCCCACCGTTTGCGGATCTCACCATTTACAGTCGCTACTGTACACTATCCCACCGGTTGCAGTCTCCGCTGAACACTATCTCACAGTTTACAATCACCGCTATATTTACACTATCTCAGCGTTTCAGTCACCTGTGTTGTACCTCGCCATCTTCAGTGATCAGTCACTACCTTAACTCACCGTTTGCAGTCTTTCTTGTTTGCTATATCACCGTTAATAGTCGCCGCTGGTATCTCACCGTTTACAGTCGCCGCTGTACATGCTATATCTCACCGTTTACAGTCGCCGCAGTACTGTATCTCACCGTTTACAGTCGCCGTTGTATGTACTATATCTCACCGTTTACAATCGCCGCTGTATGTACTATATCTCACCTTTTACAGTCGCCGCTCAGGTGGATCCTGCCGGGCACTCCGTGCGACTCCATCCTGCTGGCCACGTTCACTGTGTCGCCGAACAGGCAGTAGCGGGGCATCTTCTGACCGACCACCCCCGCCACCGCGGGGCCCGTGTGCAGGCCCACGCGAATCTGACCGGGGAGTGACCAGCAGTTCATACAGAGAAGTTTCAAACAAAAGAGTCGATACCAACGGCTTTATACGGTACCAGAGCTACGGTACCACGGTTCGCATCATGTGTCTGAGCAAATACCCGTTCAACAATGAAACTGAACGTTTATCTGCCAAGATCCCACCCATTCGATGATTTCAACTATTTTAATCACCAGTGACCTGACCTGGTAGCGGCATCACCGTGTAGTGACATGGTAATATAATGCCGTACTAATCGACACTCGACAGTGACCAGTCACTCATGCTCTGCCTAACCACCAGTGGTCTGACTCATCTAACCAAAAGTGCGCTGACCGCCGGTGCGCTGACCTGGACGGGCGCTCCTGTGATGGGGTGCGCCACCTGCCTGGCCAGCCGGACCATGTCAATCGCCTGGCTAGTGACTCGGGTGGCGTGGTCCCGCACCCGGCCCGGGATCCCACCGACCACCATGTAGGCGTCGCCGATCGTCTCCACCTGAAACGGGCCGACGGGATATGTATGTGTCTGGAGGGTGGTAGCGAGAGGACGGCCGACCCGGGGCTCTAGGCTCCAATAGACCGACAGGGGACGTGACCGGAAAGAGGTAAAAAGAGAGTGACTTTCTGACCTTAGAATAGGCCCAAAAACAACGAAGACTTGGAAAGCACATCATTTTCCTGAGCCTGCGCTACAAAAAAAAAAAAACATTCACACGGCTGGGCATTGAACTGGTCTTGTGCAGATCACACTTCAAAAGTACTGTAATTACCATGCACATAAACCAGTGTTCGCCACGGGCCGCAAAATCTTAGTCTAGCCCAGCCCAGGCCCATGGGCTTACAGCCCGGCCCAGCCCGAGCCCATTCATGGTAAAAGCGTCAAAGCCCAGCCCGGCCCAGCCCGTCAAAAATGAATGGGTTAAAAATTATTGACACCGCACAGGTACCCAAAGGTAGCAAAGAAACAATATTTTGCGAGCCGCATGCACAATGCACATTGCATGCGTGCTTTATTGACTCGTTTTTTAGTCTTGCACAGTAATAAGCTATGTAGTTATAGTTTTTGTCTCAGTTGCGAGCCCCTGACTCCACTTAACGGTTCCTGGCCCAGCCCATCCACAGCCCATCGATCCTTCGTATTTGAGGGCCCAGCCCAGCCCGTAGCCCAGCCCAGCCCATGGCCCATTGGGCTGGCCCGGCCCATGGCGAACACTGACATAAACTACACAATTACACACTGTGTTGTAGCTTATAGATCCAAAGCACGCCGCACTGACCTTGTAGACGCCGTTACTCTCGGTCGCATCATCGAAGCGCGTATACATCTCGTTCAGCAGCTGAACAATCTGACGCGGTTCGCAATGGGAGGCGATCACGGTGAACGTCACGATATCGCTGAACAGAACTGGAAACACGTCAGTCAGTGACGTTAGCCAGTGACGTCAGAACTCGGCCGGTAATTGGTGTAGTGGTGTGGACACAGCGCTAAGCAATGACATGCTACTGACGCACCGTGGGTGTAACGCACGTGGGCCTACTAATGTATACTGTAAAGTACGTGGAGGTACGGAGTATGACGTCAAATCCATAACATAAAGGGATCTCCCCGTTTTCCAGATAGCTTATTGTAAAAAAGATAAAATAATGTTCACTGGGTCGATTGAAGACAAATCAACCCATAGTCGTATGTATGTATACGTACGATACACATGTTATAGCAATTAGCCAATTCAGGTATGCACCCATGGTAATGGGGATATAAGCGATGCTCTATGATACATCAACTCTAATTTCTTATTCCTCTTTCATATCCCGCGTTATCAACTACCCTCGTCCTCCATCACTCACTAGTGGCGCTATCGAAGTTCTCCTGAACTTTGTCTCCGCTCTTGAGCTTGTGCGCCACCTCCGGGGGTAGCATACTGTGCAGCAGCCGGTCTGTCTTCTCCTTCTCCTTCTCTAGGGCAGCGGCTGTGCGCTTCAGCTCCGCCGTGGTGGCCTCCAGACGCTGCCTGAGTGACGTCAGCAAATGACGTATGACGTAATGGCAAATAACGTCAATGTATACTATACATTGTATAGCCAACTATACATTGCACGGTATACACACTTATAAATGTAAGAGCAATGTACTCGTAACTCACTCGTTGCAATAATTAAGACGATGTTTGACGTTTTCGTTTGTGGTGAGTTATCAGCCGTCTTGCTTTTCTGACAAATGCGAGGGCAAACTCCGTGTTTCATCGCCTAACATGAGGTTAAACTCCATGCTCTGCTTTGACATTGTCAATTCTGCTCTACACTGTATGAGATTTAATGCAGGAGATAAGTCCGAGTCAGCTGTCTTACATGAGATCAAACTCGGTGCTGCGCTGGTGTTTGAGGAGGATCAGCTCCCGTGTCGAGTCCGAACGGGGAATGTCGGATATCTTCAGCGATTTCTCGGCCAGCTCCTTCAAACTGGTCACCATCGGGTTTCCGAGGAACAGAACCCGGTTGTCACCGAGAAAAATCAGCTCGCCTGAAAACGTTAAATTCGTAAATTATTATTCAAGTGTATAAGTTTAGAACATTAAATGCAAACAGCCCATTCAACATTCAGTTGTGCTTATCAGTCATCACCTTCTTTCTGTCACATGGTAAAATAAACTCACCTTGGCACCTAAACGTTTAAATCATGTTATCTGTCATATATTCCTAACAACCTTTCCAAATTCCGAACTCTGCGAGCAATTCTAAATTTTCAATTATAGTAACGATCATCGATCACTTTTCCGACTTTTTGCTTCAAAACCATTGGTCTTATTCTTACCTCTGAGAACGGTGCCCACCGTCTTCTCTGTGCCTTTAGTGACGGCAAATTGGAACACCAGGTTCTTGAAGCGCTCCACGTTCTCAAAGTTAAAGGTGGTGTAGGGCCAAACGAGCTCCAGCAGCTCGTCCACGGCCGGAAATGACGTCACTTCCGGGCATAGCACGCCGATACCGAAACCGTACTGTTGCACTCTCAGCCCCCTGGGAATAGAATTGGCCGTATATGCTGACCTCGTAATAAAAATGGCACTTTAAATGTGAGATAATAGCATGTTTAATCCGTTTATATTTTGAAGCGTAGTCTGACTGTAAATCTTTTGAAAGATAAATTTAGGGCAATTTATTGACCACCTCAGTAGCGTTGCACTAGAGCAATAGCGGCATCGGCTATCCAGGTAATACTTCTGAGAAAGCAGGGATCACTTTATAGCGTTACATTTGACCAGTCACCATCAGCCGAGCCACTGCTCACTGGTTGAAGATGAAGTGGTAGGGGTGTATCGCCGAAAACTCAGCCGTGTTGACAAAGTTGACCTCAGCTGGAGCCAACGTATCTGCCGCGGGGGCCAGGGAGAGGGCAGAGCGAGGACGGTCCCCGGAGGGCACAGGTAGAGTCGGGGTCGTCAGCTGACCTAGCTGGGTCACCCTGGCGGGAGGAGGGCGGCTGTCAGACTGATAACATATTTCGTGTAAAAGGAATGGCATCGGATGTGCCGTTGCGTCGTTATTGACGATCTTCACACATGCTTCGTTAAAAGTTTGCAGTTTCAGTGGTTTAATTTACATAACAACATAACCTCACGATTTTCCTTCTTGCATTCCACTGTTGGTTTACCTCAGTCGCACGTGGTGGACCACCTCCTCTTCGTTGATCCTCTCCTCCCTGGTCCACATTACCTCGAACTGGACGGCCAGGTTGTAGAAGTTCTTGGCGCAGCCCTTCAGGGCACCTACGAAAGGGAAAAGGATACAAGCCTTCAGGGCATAGCTGGTGGCATCCGTCGTAGTGCTGCTTCACGAGAGCCCCTCGCTAGCTTTCATGTATTCATAGCAACTTATTAAAAAAAAAAAATGGTAGATACAACTTACTGACATATATTGTTTAATTACAGTCTCCAGAATTGTAAGCCAGCCTTAGGATTGTGTTATTGTTTATATTACCGCACCTATGGCCAGCGTCTGGAGCCCCTGTCGTCGGGAGTAGTAGTCGACATACAGCACGTCCGGACGGTCAGCGTCCTCGGTGCAGGCAAACGACGGCATCACGATCCCCGGGAAGGCCGTGGTCATCAGGTAGCTGAAACGGGTGGACGTGTTGAATGTGCTGAATGAGGCACGCCTCGACAAAACCGGGATCATTTCGTCCGACCGTTTTCTAAAAACGTTCGGAATACTTTAATGGATGCAGCATATAAAACATGTGCATGAAAAACGCATATACAGTCTTGTGACAGGCGAGAAGAACGCGTTAATCCATCGTGTAAAACGAGCTTATGCGTGTCACCCCACGTAATAAGATGCGGGTCTCACCAGTGAAGATAGTCGAGGTTATCCAGAAACGCGTGGAAGGTTCTTCCTAGAGTGTGCAGCATCTCGCCGTAGCCTTTCTCGATGGTGAAGTCGACAAAATGCATACCGACCCCCTCCAGAAAGTATTCGAGGCTGATCTCTGTGGCAGCAGTAGCCGGAATGTTAAGAAGGAAATGAAACTCATTTTTGATCACTGAATTCATTTCAATCACTGGAATTTTAGCAGGTAAGGTTCCGGCCTCCGATAGAATGGGCTAGGTTAGGTCGCATGCATACCCATGGACTTGGAGCATGTACTCGTCGTCCCCTTTCAAATCCCCGCCTTCATATCATCTGTGTGCGCTAGGATATCGGAGAAATAGAACTAAAGTATTTATCGATAATATAAGTCAACTAAAAGTGGCTAAATATTTCATCGCCGTCTTAAAAAAGCAATTGAGAATCCTGTACTCTCAACAAGTCGCTGTCCGCTTCCCTTACCCAAATGTTTGACGACGATGCCTATGAAGTCCAGGGTGGCCTGGTCGGGGTAGCACTGGAAGTTGAGGAACGTCTGCTCGTCGTCCGCTCCCGATATTGCCCTGGCGATCAGACCGGGGGAATAGAAAAATAAACAGCATTTCTTGTTAACCCTCGCCGGCACAGGGGGGGGGGGGTTGATGCAACCCCCCCCCCCTAAGGTTTTTCGCGAATAACTCGCGTAAAAAGCGGCCGATCGCAACGAAACTTTCAGTACCCTCGCATTGATCAATTTTACACCTACCCTGAAAATTTCATGACCCTGACCCAAATGACCTTTGACCTGTGACCTCTTTTCCGAGACCATGTTTGGCCGGAATCGCGATTCGGCGTATGTCGGCTAACATTAGCCGCGCGTTTGCAAGCTTTTTGTGGTTTCAAACGTTCAAACATGTGATTTGATGTCGCTCTCATGCATTAGGGTGGGTGTCAAGGTCACCTGAAAGTCAGGTCAGGTCATTGACCTTTGGTGACCTCGGGTGACCTCGGTTCACTTTTTCGAGTTTTACATGTTTCTAGGCTAGTTTTTGCAGCTGAATTCGAATTTGGCAACCATTTGAACATTTACGAAGTAGTTTTGGTGCCTTCGTAACATGTTACGAAGCTGTCAGAGGCGGTTGACACGTATTACGAATACCCGTCACAACCCCTACCGGTTGACTTGACCTGACCTGACCCGACCTGGTCTAAATGCTTAAAGACATCATTTCTGATCAAAACTAACACGATATTCGTGATCAGCACCCTGGAAAACCACACAGCAGCCACAATTTACGACTTTCTAACAGGTCCCGATTTTCCCAGTTTTCGGGTCATTGACCTGACCTGGAAGGTCACCCGATGACCTAGGACCTTAAAATTGGGTATCATCGGCTTCGTCTCGTGACGGGCAACACGCTCGTTTTTTCCGCGAAGCTCTAGCTTGATCAGGGGCCAAACGCGAGGGGGGTCGTACCAATCCCCCCCTTGTGCCGTCGAAGGACGCAAAATGGCCTGTGCCGGCGAGGGTTAAGGAAATTGATCAGGAAAAAATAGGACAATAACAAACACAACCATATTTATTGTTCTTGCTCAGCATAAATAACAATCACATGGGCACAAATACAGCGAAGTTTCAAGAACAACGAGATGCAAACGTTATACTTACAATATTTCCATCCATTTCTCCTTCCCATAGTTGTTCATCACCCATTCTTTGACACAGCTATGGATGAGTCCATACTGAAACGGCAAGAGCAGGTTGTTTGATTCGCAATCCGGCGATTATCGCCGTTCATTAACCACGCAAAGAAATGCATGTAGAGAACAAACACTAATATAACGAACTTCCTTTTGATAAAGACTACAATGAACTGCCATTTGGAAACCAGTCCTGCTCCAAACAGCCTACCTACATTTACTAAGACATATTATCAGTAACAGGGCTGACGCACGACATATCTAGAAATTATAAAGCGATTACTACATTTATTTCATTGTGCAATGAACAATTTTTCGAACGTTTTAAACCACCGTTTATTCTTAAATGCAGTTTCTTGAGAAAAAAAACTGTCAACGCACGGTTTATTTTCCGTTTTAAAGTACAATACTTACCATTTTGTTTGAATGCAGCGCTGTGCAGTTAGATGACTAAATCAGAGAACCGATTCTTTGTCATCCACTCAGTACAATGAGTACCGAAGCTCAACACCATGACCTATAAGAGGATAGACGAGTTAATAAAAAACTGACGAATAACGGAAGAACGTTTAAGAACGAACGGTCGTGGGTTCCTCTATCTCTGTCTTTCTCTCTCTCTCTCTCTCTCTCTCTCTCTCTCTCTCTCTCTCTCTCTCTCTCTCTCTCTCTCTCTCTCTCTCTCTCTCTCTCTCTCTCTCTCTCTTTCTTTCACTCTCTCTATCACTTCTGTCCCCTCCACTCATTCTTGTTGTTTTCCTTTCTGCCTTCCTCCGACGGCCCTTTGTCTATTTCGCTCTCTTGGGTTAACAAACGCATACATTAACACCTATACCCACACGCATAAACATAAATAAATTGTGGTCACGAACATATACGACATCACAAAACGCAAACTTACTTGTCATGCCAGCCTCATCTTCCGATGCTCTCGTTTGTCTATCCAATGTCGCCTTTCCCATGGACAGGGCAGAAGAGATCCACCTGTTTCCGCGGCCAGGACCACACTGAGCTGATCCCGTGACCCTCACCGATCATGACTTCCTCTAATTGATCGCCGTTGTCTGAGAACGACCATAATTTCCTCATCGGACCGGGAGGGTTATATCACACGCGTCATGCTAGGGGCAGACGCATGTCATCTGAGGGTATCATCACCCACTGATGGTGACATGATCGACTTTGGCCGGACCGGATATTACCGATTGGTCTTTGACAGCTGCAGACGTTTGTACCCGCCTTTGTCAATTCGGCGGTAGTCTTGATGTACATTTTATCGTTCCCAGAAAGTCCACTTTTTGTATGAATTCTGTATGCCTTCATCGGTGCTGATACAGATGGTCTTCTTCTCGTATTCGTCAACTAAACATGGTGCATTTTATGCATCTAATTCTCGTCTCTTCGTTACGTTCTTCGTTATGTCCTTCGACCTTCGTTATGCTAGGCGAAGCTCCTCTTTCTTCTTTCATTCGTCAAACAACGATGGGTTAAATGTCGAAATGACCCATTAATTTGGAGATCTTCACCGTTTGTCTTTGTTTCTACGTAGATGATAATGAGGATTCAATTCAACCAAGAAGAAGTGCCATTTCAAGAACGTCACGATGTGTCCGCAGATCCGTTTGCCGGCCACGCTGTATGCGCTTGGTATGCGCCGCAAATATCGTAAATATGACGCAGTTTTGGTTAAAGCTAGGGCAAAATGGGACAAGTTTTGTATTGTTTTGAACGTTCACTGCAAGTTCTTTTGTAAATGGTGGTCGTCACATTATCGAGATCATCACTTGGTTAGCTATTCTTGTGAAAGACATCAACGTGCGTGTATCAAAGGTGCTGCTTAAAAATTCACATCTTAAGTACCTACATAGTGCTTCTCAAAGACATTTGAAAGCTGCAAATGAATTGTTGAAGGGACAATAACTGTTCTAATCTACACCAACATACCGGGTGAGTGACAAATCAGATGTGCCCGTGTCATAAGGCCTAAATCTTGTCCGACAGCTCCGAGGCAGCCATGCCAAATGTGGTGATTAAGTAGACATGTTTGATATAGTTTTCCATTTCCTCATTTCAGGAACATGTCGAAGCACACCTACTTGTCATCTAGATCCATTGGATTGATCAAACGTGGATCAGTCACCGCCAGAGAATCTGACAGTAAGCCATTGCTGGATACTTTCGAGAACTGGTGCACGTTTACGTGACTCGCTTCACTGTCCAGATGCGGAAAATTAATAATTCAGAAATATGCACCACTCAAAGCATAAGTCATAACTTGTGTTGCTGCTTCTTTACTCCCTCTCTTTTCTTCCAGAGCATTGTCTATATTGTCCCTCTCCATAATTGTCCATATTATTAGTCCTCCCTATCATTATAACTTCTCTTCTTCAGCCCCACTTCCTTCTCTCCATTTGTCTTTCCCTCAGCCTCTCAGCTGCAAGAACCAGAGCTAACACTCACTGGATTCGAGATATCGCAGAAGGCACTCATGCCGCCAAGGTTAGTTGAAACTTTTCTGCATACCGCCCTTAGCGTTGACATGCATTTGTTCAAAGAAAAAATAATTCTAAAAATCGACATACGCTTCGTAGAATGTGGCTCATTTTCTCGGAAGATAGATCGCATACGATCGCAACGGCCTTTCTGAACGTCTGACTGTGCTGTTTGTGTCTAGAGCAGCGGCGCTACTCCAGTCCTCCAAGCTGTCTGTGGGCGCTAACCCATAGATAACCCATGTGATTCATGCTATCTATGGCTAACCAAATTGTCTGTTCGCCGACTGTTACAGATATGCCAGCGGATGTTATTCGATACGGTTTGCTCCCGGAGGTGGCGCACTGGTCGGGGGGTTCGGTAATGGAGCCGTCCTGGTAAGTCTGCAACCACCTTGACCAGATCAGCTTGAAGATAATCGAGCCGACCGTGGCTAGAGCCAGGCTCGAGCGCCTCGGCGCTAGCTGTTTGCTTCTGGCAGATATTTATTGTTATTAGTACCTAACAAGGGTCATGGCCATACGACTTTGCTATAAGCATAAAAGCTTGTAAATCGCTATTATTAGACATGCTGCCTGCCTTATGTTGTTTCTCTTTTTACTGATGAAGCGCGCTTTCCGTCATTTGTCATTTCAGATGTATGAAAAAGACGCTCAGGGCCTTTTCACACAGCAGAGCACGCTGCGTAAGGGCTCCCGCTATGCAGACGATACTATTATGGCCGTCCGCTTCCACCCAAAGCAAAGCAAGGTACGTACGTTGATAGCATTTATTTCATTTGAAACCAGCCGGGCAACGTGAATAACTGTCAGCTTTGACTTGAACCGTCCAGTTACATCACAGAGTCGTGTGAATATATCCCGGCACGTGACCTGTGATGCACGGTTGTTACAGATTCTCTACTCGTGCGCAATATTTGGAACAATTTTCCGACACAACTTGACGGGAAAGCCAGACGAGAAATGCGAGAAGTTTGCCGAAGGTAAGGCAAACACAGATTCCTCGATCACAATAATCGAATGCCAGAGGAACTTACATAAGTAAGTCGCTCCACAATGTTCAGTAGTCCACACTAACCTTTCCAATTCCTACTTCTTAGCTACATTGCATTTGTAGGTATTTGTCGTTTGATATTGCGTTTAGTGCCAGCCAGCACTAGTTCTGCCGCCATGATTACCTCATTTGTTACCGATCGATGTCATCACTAATTATCGTCACCGTGGCTGTAACTGTTGACAACAGAGAACAACAACCGCATCAACGCCATTGATCTGAACATGGCCGGCGAGCTGCTGGCGTCTGGTGGGAAGGACCTCAGTCTGCGCATCTATGACACTCAGACCAAGGAGGTCAGTGTGGTCTCAGGTCGGATGAAAGAGCGATTTTGTCACTTCAGACTAATGGCACACACTGTCACACCCACAGTACTTACTGAAAGTTGAGACAGATGATTTTAGGAGGTGGTGACACCATACCATTCGTATAATACATATTGCGGCACAGCATTAATTCAGGCGTTTATATGTGCTGCCATCTATGGTCAGGAATGTAAAACACACTTTAACCCGGTATTGAGCGATCCGTGTTGTTTTGTGACAACTGACAGCTCTGAGCTACAGAAAGAAATTAAAGTTAGTCAGTTGCGGCTGCACAAGAGTTCACAGTTCACTCCCTCTATGAGACTGCAGAAAACTGACCAAACTCATTCTGTTCCCGTGCAGTTGATCCAGGAGTACAAAGGCTATCACCCGAGTACGCCGCAAAAGGAAAGTGGCGGCCACGCGCTGAGCGTGTTCTGCATCAAGTTCCACCCGGACCAGCGAGATGTGCTGCTCACCGGCGGATGGGACGACACCATCAAAGCAAGTTCTTTCCCTGTAACCATCATACTGTCCCACACGTCAATGTTTCATGTTTGTCTGTCGGTGTCCACTTGGCTCACATAGTGCGCAACTCATAAGCCAAGGCACACATTGTTCCACCATCAAAATGAGTTTTCTTCCCCAGCTGGTGTCTTATTAACCTCAATACTTCGCCCTGCCGGCAGTAAGACAGATGTTTATAGAGGCGGACGTCGAACGCTTGCGATACCGCCTGAATACGCATTGCGGCACAGCATAAGTTCAGGCGTTTGTGCGTGCTGCCATCTATCGTAAGAGATGCGAAACACTTGCACTCTCAGTCAAGTCTGGATTCGGAAGGCTTGGCAAACGGCCAATCTTCTTCCAGCAGGAAATGTTTTAGGATTGACATTTGAAAACGAAACGTCAGCTCGTATTCAACCCCATTCGTCATGAAATTCATTGGATTCAATCGACACTCGGCAGTCACCAAAACTTCCTAAAGTTTCAATTACTAACAACCTCACAGCTAAAACTCCCGAGATGACGTTGGTGGCCGGTGGTCACGACTCACGAGTCATGTTATTTTGTGCACAGATCTGGGACATGCGCACAGACGCCGGTATGATCGGATCTTTGGGAGGACCGCACATCTGTGGAGAGGCCATCGATATCAAGGTCAGTCCGTACGACGGTAGCCGAAACAGGGCAGAGGGGAAAACGACCGCATCAATGCACCTCTATGACAGGATAAATGATATATTAAATGTATTTTTTCATTATTAGTATGTATACGGATGCTAGGCTAGAGGAGTCTAACCTTTCAGGAGCATCATGATGAATAGGTAGGCAATGTACAAGAGGGATGACATATTTGACTTTTTCCTGAAAACAAGTTAACAACCCTGATTGGAGGGGATTTGGGTCGAAATGCCATGCTTAGTAGAGCTTGTTGTTCAATTCGCCATGGGATTTCTGTTGTGTACGGTATGATTAACCTCCGTTCCCGGCCTTATTAGGGTGAGACGGTTGTGACGGGCTCGTGGAAGGCCGACCAGGCCATCCAGCTCTGGGACCTCAGACAGAGGCTGCCCATCAAGTCACTGGCCACGTTCCGAAAAACGCACGTGGAGGGAGACAACATCTACGCTGTTCAGGTCAGCTAATCGTGCCATTATATTGTTCTTTTTGGAGAAGGAAATCATGTAAGAAGTGTACTGAGCGTACTTAAGCATTCCCCATTCTCATGTCTCTCAGTGCCATGATATTTCTAGCTAGATAAAACCTTGTTTGTTTCCATAATGAAGCATTACCGAGCAGTTAACTACCACTAAGCAGGTTTTAACGACAGGCGGAAGTATTGTTCCTAGCGGATCAATATTGAAGAGGAGAGCTAATACGCACGTCGGTTGTCGCATATTAACCCGCGCCCCACTGGGGTCTGTGTATAACACGCCCTACTGGGGGGGGGGGGGGGCTATTCATAGCCCCCCTCCTAACTCCGAAACTACTGGGCCGATCGTCAAAATTCAAACGGCGTCTGATAGCCCCGGAAAAACTGTCGAGCGAAACCTAATTTCATTGACCTCGAGGTCACCGATGACGTCACAGGTCAGGTCAAAGTAAAAATTATTAGCACTTTGGCTTGTTCACATTTTGGGCTCTGGCCGCCGTCTTACAAGTCAGATCAGGCTCATTTTTGGTTTCCACACTCGTGAACAGATGCTCTAGATACCTTGAGGGTACCAAACTTGTACTTTGATTTTCAGGTCAGGGTCAGGTCATCACAGATCACGAAAATATTATATCATGCGTCGGTCACGTGACACGTTTTATGGTCCATTTAGGCCATAGATTTCGAATTTGATGTCCTCTATGTCATTCGAGGTCATTTTGAGTCGAATTTAGCTTAGGTCAGGTCACTTTCAGGTCAAAAAAGGTCAAATTTTGAAGTTGAAATTTTTCAACAAAAAAGGTGTCTATTGGATGCAGTTGGAGCTCAGGAACACGATGGTGCCATTTATATTGGTGTACGATGCCAAATACGTACTGAAAAATTGATTTGAAAAATTAATAATTGTGAATTTTTTGCAATAATGCGTATAACTTGGCCATTTTTGAAGATATTTAGCTAAAACTTGCTAGAGTTAGTCATTATTATGCGTTCTGTCACATATATTCCGGTTTTTTCGAAAAGTAAAAAAAAAATTGAAAAAAATATAAAAATATAAATTTTGAATATTATTATATGAAATTTTCGAAATTTTCAAAATTTTGAAAATCCGAGATAGCAGTTTGATAGCGCGGTCAATTCTGAGTTCTTTCATGCAAAGAAATTGGATCTAGCTTAAAAACTGAGCTCTTGGGAGCGATTGCCGTGGTTCAATGTTTTGCGTCGAAATCGGACGAACATGACGTCACTCTGACGTCATTTCCGGCCGACCTATGGTAGCTACGAAGTTCAAATTTTGACAGAAGGTGTCAAATTGATGCAGCCGAAGGTACTGAAAGTTTGGCGTCGATCCGTCAAGCGGTTTGGAAGTTATTGCAGAAAAACGGGAGGGGGGGCTATAAATAGCCCCCCCAGTGGGGCGCGGGTTAATCAGTAGTTGGTTGGGCGAATATTCAGACAGACCCCTGTTGTCTGATCAGTGTGGATGGCTCAGTGGGACCTCCGTTGATCAGTGGGATAGCTCAGGCGATCAGTGGGAATATCTCAGGCAGACCTCTGCCATGTTTTCTGAACTAAGACGGACCTCTGTTGATTAGTGCGGACAGCTCAGACGGACCTCTGTCTGTTGATCAGTGAGGATATCTCTGATGTTTTCTGAGCTCACAATGACCTCTGTATTTGGCAGTTTGCTCGCTCCGACCCGGACGGCCACCACCTACTGACGGCTGGATCAGGAACCAACAGCTTCCAGTACATCAACCACATGACGGAAAAGGTCACTAACCAGCCGACTGGCGATAAATTATTGAATGGCACATTTGATTTCAGCATTGCACAAAAAAGTCACATTAATGAGTAGGTACCTAAACAAAGCATTCAATTATATCGGGCCCACAAAATGGGCTTTTCGAACAGCCCCAACCGACCTCTAAGCGGCTTGTGGCAAATAAAAGCGTACCGCGGGGCGCTCATTATCCCATGAGCGACAGAAAGACGCAACCATTTACCTATGGATTGGCCTGGGACATTCGGCGCCTATCAACACGCCTATCCCGTCGAATTCTTTTCCCGAAACCGCATTCGTACTCAAGAACTAATGCTCACATTAACGACATGTCCGATCAGCTTTACGTTGACGTACACTGCGTAGTTACGGTGATCTTTCTCAAACAAATGCATCGTAGTTTTGCCGTGAATCGTCTCAGAATACACCCAGTAAGCCGATCGTGCCCAATTGAATCCCTCAAATTGGCGTCCCCCGTGAATTCCCCCACTAACAAGGCGGTCGGCCGCTCGCGGAATTCCGTTCCCTGGATTATATTGATCGCTATCTGTGGCAGGTAATTGGCACGGGAGCGACTCAGAAGCCCTTCTCCACCGTGGACAGCACCGGCCAGGTGCTGGCGGCGGCCGGTGGGGACGGCTGGATCCGCCTGCTGCACGTGCCCGGCCGACGTCACTGATGGAGGCAGGCTGAGACTGCGGAGATGACAGACCCAAGGGAGAGAGAAGGGAGATGCAGGACTGAGATACAGGACTGGAGGGAACGAGAGAGACGGTATGGACTCCGAGGGAGAGCTGAGACGTGAACTACGGGAGGTAATGCAGAGAAGTGTGAGAATGTAGGATGATGAGAGGAATGTGAGAGCCAATGTGAGGAATTTTGAGAGCCAATATCGCATCCCACGACTGGTGTGTGAGTTGGAATCCGGATTTTCGTTGTATCGATGTTGTGCGTTGCAGTGGTTGTGCTGTTGTTGAGCTGGTTAGTGTAATTATGTGACATATTCTGTGTTCTTTGCAATTTCCAACTATCCAACAAGTCCAACGAATGACGCAAGCTGGATACTGGATACTTTCTACATTCGCAGATGACTGCACCACTAGTGACGTACGTGATTACTGAACCCTGTCTCTCTTATCGACCCGTGTGTCGGGGGGAGGTCGGAAAGTCTGTTATTACACGTGATGCCATCAATAGTTTGTGCTGCGTTTGGCAGGGAATATCCAAGGACGGTAATAGCTGACACGTGACACATGTCCCACCGTCCGTCTCTGTCAATAGTTTACGCTGCGCCCGGTAGGGACAGCTCACGGACGGTTAAGTGGCTGTCACGTGACATGCCTCCGTTCGCTGGAACCTGTGCTTCGTTTGACAGGGGCTGTCTAGGGACGGTAATGGCAGCCTGTCCTCGGCTCTGTTCAACCATAGCCCGTCAGAGGGACGGCTGTGTGAGACATGCGATCGGACTGACCGGGCACGCCCTGTGGGCTGAGAGTCGGTAACAACTGGGGCCGGGCCAAATGGGAGGGAAGGGAGGGGAGGGGAGGGGAGCGGAGGGGAGGAAAGGATGAGTATTGAGTAGTAGTCGCGACATGGTATTCAGTCAACGCCTAGGATACTTGTAAGGAAAACTATTTTAAAAGGTGTTGAACATCTATTCTCAATATCGGCGTTTAGCGCAGCTAGGAGCTTTTTCCAATCGTATACGAGCGAAAAATTTTGTGGTACCATGACTTCTCTGTTTGGCCCTCTAGGGGCAATGAACCAGCGCGCGGCCGCTGCGCAGCCAAGACGTCCGTCGCGGTCACGTGACTTAGGCTAGGGGACGCGCGCCCGCGATAACGTTGTGTCCCATTTCTGCCTGGTCTGTCTGGCGACACACGCGTTGGCGCTCCGCTCTTACAACCAACTGGCGTTACAAGGTACGCATATATCTTTCGCACACAGTTGCCGTTCGGCTTCCCGGTTTTTATATGTGCTCGATTTGGTGGTGATCAATTTAGAGCGGTGTGCTGTGCATGTGTTGTTGTGTTATACTGATGAGTGGTGTTTCCGGGCAATGCTCATCATGCGAGCTAGGGCCGGGCTAGCGTCCCCATCACGCCAGCTTTGTGTGAGACAGTGTTTTCGAGGCTGCAAGTGGTTCCTGTCGGCAATCTTGGGGATGATGTGTCGCCTCTAGGCTTCGTAATGTATGCCTTGGTCCTCCATACCGGGTAGAGGTGCAAGGTTTCCTTAATACGTTGCCGGCTGGCCGGTAATTTTACATTACGCCAATAGCGATATGGTAGTGGTTCTTCCTGCCGGCAGCTTGCCGGTCATGTGCATGGGTTATATTTGGATACAAGTAATACTTCTTGTTATAAATTGTCCTACAAACAGCATAAACGAGATATTTGTTCATCACGCTGGTAATATGCCGGCATTAGTGGTTGAACTGTGGTGTTGTGCCGGTGATCCTTGTGCTGGCCGTGGTGTGGAACGGTGCCGGTTGTGGCTTTTGGAGGAAAGTTAGCATCTCTAATACCGGGCTCCGGCTGCGTTTGTGCACTGGGAGACGAGCAGCAGCGTGGACTTTGTCTCGGCCGATCCGGCCGGCCCAGTCGCCGCGCCGCGGGTGTCATGTGTCTAGCCGCGCCGGCACGTCCTCCGCTGCTCGCCCGCCCGGCCAGGGTGTCATGTGTCAACAACTCAGTTCCGGCCGGCCGTCGGCGGCGGCTTCGGCTTTGGGTTGGCACACCTCTGTTCCCGGCCGTCGGCGGCGGCTTCGGCTTTGGGTTTGAGGTTTTCCTCACCGTCGTGCCACGGAATCGCGGTTGGAGTTGGAATCAGTGCCTCGATAGTCTAGCGGTTAGAACACCCGGCTTTCACGCGTGGGTACCGAGTTAGCATCTCGGGGAGGCAGGAATTGTTTGGCTGGAGTCGGTAGTTTTGGGCGGAGTGGGCTCGGCAACGAAATCGGAGTCGATTATTGTTCCCCAATTGGATTAGAGCTGGAAGCGACGCATTTATATAGTTATATGGATTAAATATGCATATACATATTTTTTCGAACCTGGGTCGGAGTCGTAAACACTGGATCGGCTCGGCAGCACTGAATGAGTTTTTTTTAAACGCTTCGTAATATGTAAACGTCTGCCCAGTGGTGTGGGCCCCTGTGTTCAGTCTGTGGTGGCCTCTTGGCCTGTCGTGGCGCCGGGCCGCTGTGCCCTGGATGTGTTGGCCTCTTGGTCAGTTTTGGCGCCGGGCCGCTGTGCCCAGAATGTGTTGGCCTCTTGGTCAGTTTTGGCGCCGGGCCGCTGTGCCCAGAATGTGTTGGCCTCTTGGTCAGTTTTGGCGCCGGGCCGCTGTGCCCAGAATGTGTTGGCTTCTTGGTCAGTTTTGGCGCCGGGTCGCTGTGCCCAGCGGTGTGGGTCCCTGTGCTCAGTATGTGTTGGTCTCTTGGCCAGTTTTGGCGCCGGGTTGCTGTGTCCAGTGATATTGACCCCTGTAGTGATATGACCCCATAAAAGCACAACAGTTACAACCAGTATAACGCCTTTTGGGGCGACTAACGGAGCGAGCGAGAGGGGTGACCCTTGCACGTGCGAAATTTCGAGGGGTACCTCCAGCTGACTTGTGCACGGCACCCTACTAACCGGTCTCTAGCGATGTGCCAAATTTGGGCACAATCGGCCCAGCCGTTCTCGAGATCTGGAAGCGGCACCCTGCACGTGCGCACGTGCAAAATGGGTCCCAACTGACTAGTGCACGGCACCCTACTAACCGGTCCCTAACTGTGTACCAAATTTGAGCGCAATCGGTCGAGCCGTTCTCGAGATCTGGAAACGACCCCTGCACGTGCGCACGTGCAGCAGCACCCCAACCCTGGCACATGGATATGCAGTGCCTAGTGGGTGCCTACCTACATGCCAACTTTCAGCGCAATCGGCCAAGTAGTTACCGAGATATTGCAACAATTACAAAACTGACACCTCTTCGTTTTGCACGTGGCACGTGCATAAGGGGTCACCCACATGCATCGGGAATAGTCCAATACTTGGTAGAAGGAATGAAGCTACCCTACAAAATTTACCGCATGTAAATCGGTCAAGTGGTTGCTGAGATATAAGCCTCGCAAAAGCGTGACCACGGCCGGCCGGCCGGCCGGCCGGCCGGCCGCTCATACTCAGAAATTTCCGTTAATCTAAGGAAAGACTACGCTCGCTTCGCTCGCTCCGTAATCACGAATGAGATCACGAACTTATTATGACATAAGCAGACCGAACTACATACATGTTATACACTTGAGCTGCTCGAGATCCATCTGCTGAACGCAGATTGTGCAGTTCTCCCGGGCAGAGAACAGGACAGGCCAACAGTGAACTTGGTGAGCGACAAGACAGTCCACACAAGACATCGCAGCGGTGGACGTTTGACCGAGCAGGCTCACGAGTAACGATCTAGTCATCAGACCAGTTTATATCTTGTACTCGCATCACAGAAGTGCCATATTTCCTACCTGCGCTGCAAATGACAAACGCTCAAGCCTATGACACTACGACATATTATTTTATTATACATTTTATACAGCGAACGATGCATGTACTTATAAAGCGCTGGGAATCCAACATGTGACACACGCACCGCCATCAATAAACAAAGGTCGATTGTCTCGAACATTTCCTCCCATGGCGCCGTTCAACACAGCTCCGGCGCCCGGTGTCCGTTCATTTTTGAGGTGGCTTTTCGTCATCCTGGGCGTGCCGCGACCAGTATTTAGCTGCTGAGGTTGCTGTAACGAAAAGGGACAAATCAATCGGAAAGAAGATCGTATTAATCTTTGATACACGTCAAACATGATCAACCACGACAAAATAAAAATCCCAGTGCAAAAAAGATACCGACCAAAAAATACATGACAAGAAAAATACAAATTTATGAAGCGCACGACGATAATAGTTTGAAATCGATTAATAGCAAGTGAGCTAACTAAGAAAGAAATCATAATGCGGACATAGCGCATACTGTCATGCCATGACGATCAACTGGGATGAGCCAGGGAGGGATTTTATCTGAAACTTTCATGAACCAGAGGCTATCCTCGGACCGAAGCACTATGGAATCTTTGAAAGCACAGAGTGTGAGAGACTCACGAGTCCGTGTCGGTCTCCTCGTCCGAGGACCCCTCCAGCTTGTCCCTGAACCAGTGCCAGAACTGGCCTGCAACAGACAGCAGCGAGTGTGTGCAACGTCGATTTAAGGACGTCTCGGGTCGGTTCAGCGCAGCTCAGACCCGAGAGAATCGGAAATGTTTAAACCAGGAATTTAGTAAGAAAGTGATAGAAAGGCGTGCCAGGTTTAGTTTGATGTGATTTTCGGAAAGAAATGACGGACCTTTTCACGATGGAAACAGTATGGCCATTTCAAAGTTGGCGGTCTCATATGAATCAAACGTGAATGTATGACGGAGGCGGCAATGCACTGGGAGAGATTGTAGGAGTGTCCCTCCATGGCTCATCCCAGCTGAAAAAACGCATTTGGCACGATGTATTAAAACAGCTGTTGTGATTCCCACACTTAACAGAAAGAGTACGAAATGCCAACAGCATTGCTATGCTCCCTAATTCCCGCTGCCGCACTCAAATTCTGGTACTCTATAATTCTATTATAGCAATTATTATTCAGACCACCCCACCTCCCTTTCAAAAGAGACACTAATTCCCCTTGTCCACGCCGGGGTCGGCACTCACCAGCCTGGCGTTTCTCGTCCGCCTTTGTGACCTTGCTGGGTCGCCGTATCTGGCTGCTGGGGCCGCCCGTGCCGGTCGTACCCAGCGGGAACGGTGTGCGGCGCACCACGGAGAGGCGCGGCGGCGATTTTCCCGCCTGCTCCACCGCCAACCGCGCCTCGGCCAGCTCAGCGGCCGCTGCCGCGCGGCGGAGGTATCGGTTTATGCTAGCGCGCCGCGCAGGCCGGACCGGCTCATCAATTGTGGGAGGTGGTGGTGGGATGGACGGAATTGATGTGAGGAGGCTTGATGGGGTGTGGGAGGAATAGGTTGACGAAAATTTCAGGGGTTAGGGGGTGAGTGGGTGTGAGGGCGGAAGAGAAATGTCATAGGCTCGGGAAATGCGTGTGAGAAGAGGCCGGGGCGTAGTCTTTGAAGTTGTAGGTATATGAGATGTAGGAATTCTTTGAGGAAAGACTGAGTTTGCGAGGGTGGGTGGGGTGGGGTGGGGGATATGACGTCCGGCTGTCAGTTATAGCCATTGTGTGAAGGGTGGTAGAGGACCGACATTAGTTATCGACATCGACGTCGATAACAGCTGTACGTGTAACTCGATATCTCATCCCACGTCTGACAACACTATAAACATTTTAAGAGTGCAAAGGCATTGAATAAGTGCTTCATGAAATATATACGTTTAAATGCTGCTGTTATATCTGACAACCGTTTCCTTCATAGCATCCACAACGTCCTAACTTATAATCAACCGCATAGGTACTGAAATCACCACGTCACTCTGGTGCCCGTATACATTGACCTATCTACCGCTACTATTCCCTCCCCGCGTCTCTAACCCATACATCCCACGGGCCTGGCCATACCATACACCCATACAAGCCCACTCCTCGCGGTTTCCACCCTCCCATACCTGAGAGTGAGTGCGGGGATGGCGGGGGCGGCGGCGGCGGCGGCGGCTGGGCCTCCGGTTCCGGTTCATCATCTTTAGCCGGCTCGAAGAGCACCTTGATGATGGCGCGCGGGTCGTCCACGGGGAGTACTTGCTGGTCATCGTCCTCTTCCTCGACGTCTGGCAGGCCGGGACGGTTGATACGACGCATCCCCTGCAGTCCTGCAAAGAGGAAGGGGGGCTCTGGGTTAGACCGACTAGAGTGGAGTGAGGAATTAGGGCAATATACGAGCCGCCGCGAATTGTTGATATTCAAGTAGAGGGCCTGACATCAGTAAGATATCCATCGATACCTAGATATCCGGTGGGTAGCTGATATTCTGCTTCAGGTTATATTCAGGATATATTCAGAACTCTGACTCACGCGTGGCGGCCTCGTCGATGAGCTGCAGCAGCATGACCTTATCCTGTCCCTCCAGCACTAGCTGTCCGCGCAGCAGGACAATCATCTCCTGACGGGCCAGCGCCAGAGAGCGCAGGTAGTAGGCCACAACACTGGGGGAACGGGAGGGGGAGGGAAGGGATGGGAAAGTCAGGGTACGCCACCACAATAGGGGGACGAGCTGTGTTCTGAGCGACATGAACGTAAAGTCGAGTCGATAAAGGGCTATGCCGGCTGCTGTCAATCTCGCGTGAACAAATAAATACGTACGTTTCATCGTAAATATATCCGATTTACCTTGAAAAGGAAATGGTAGATTGGAGGTTGAAAAGGAAAGTGGGACAATAATTGTTTCACTGACCTGAAGATGAGCAGCCACACGGCCACCACGCCCGGTCGGCTAGAGTACATACAGCACCTCTGTCTATTAGCCTGTCTGTTTGTGTTTGTGTCTGTGTCTATATGTGTGTGGAGGGTTGGTCTGACCTGAAGATGAGCAGCCACACAGCCACCACGCCCGGTCGGCTAGAGTACATAGCCATGGTGTAGGGCGCCGTGTGACCCTCGTCCTTCCATCTGCAAACACCGTGCGAGTCATTACAGTGATCAACCGATCGAGAGGCAGCACAAGCAAACCTGCGCACACATCTTAAAGCAAAACATTTAAATTAGAGATTCCTTCAAATGAACAAAATCCTCAGATCGTGAAAACTTCCGTACATAAGTTGAGGAAAAGGGGACTATCTTATCTTTCGACGTTTCTGATTCCGAAAGAAGGCGCGGCACCATAGCTACAACGTTTCACGGAGCCACCGGTGACCGACCTTGTGAAAGTATCGTTGACGACTACGGAGGGCAGTGATTTCTGCTGGAACGGACCGCAGGTAGCCGACGGACGCACACTGCGGGGAGAGGAAAAGGTCGGACCGGTTAGCTCTGCAGATGAATCCAACGAAACTGTTCTTCGGTAACAAGCAAAATAGCAGGCCGCAACAAACTCCCACCATCACCAGTATTTGCATTTCTGGATGCACTTTGACTATGACTATGACTATAATTCAGGGTTGCTATAGGCGATAGTTTCGATATATTCGACGGGCAATATATTCGCTCAATGATGCATGCACGGATAAGGAATAGGAGTTATTTGTGGAGTCTAGCGAAGATCATGACACCAGCGAAGTGAGATCACTCAATGACGAGCGGATTTATGCCTCACGACTTCACATTCAACATATCTTACTCCCTGACTCCACATGACTCCCTAACTGACATGACTCCGTATGCGACTCACCACGACTCCCTATACGACTCACTTGGTGACGATGTAGCCGGTGAAGCAGGCGGCCAGAAAGCACACGATGAAGGCCACCATTCTGAACAGGGTCTGCGTCTGGGAGGCCCTCACGGAGCGCGACTGGGGCGTGCAGTGACGGAACATGGACCACTGTGGGAGACGTGACGGACGCCGGTCATATCGCATTGGGAGGAACAAGTGCCAGACTGGTGAAAGATATAGGTTTACTCCCGCTGCGAGGTGTAAATGAGCGAGCTGCGTAACGGGATACTGCGCAGATATAAAAACCGGACTTATCCGTCTGAAAATATGTGTCGAGAGTAATACCAGTTATTCCAGCGGCTATCAGGTTAACTGCTCTATTCTTCACCGTTGTCTTGTATTAATGTTAATGAGGATTCCTTTCCTCACCAATGCTTTCTGAAAAACATCGGATCTACAGACACGGAACTAAATTCACCGATATGCACAGAACTACAAACGTCCTCACCTTTCGAACGTAGAACATGATGGCGAGTTTGGCGGATCCCACGAGCGACAGCAGCGGACTGAAGTAGGCGCCCGTCCACACCAGTGTCTGACTGTAGATCAGGAACATGGTGTTCCGTGGGATGTCAAAGTGCGGCTCCTCCACCCAGAGACCGTGCCTGAGGAGAGCGGGGAGGGTTGTTACAGAGGGAGGCTGCAGGGCTGCGGAGTCGGAGTCGGAGTCGACAGTTGTGACTGGAGTCGGAGTCAGAGTCGATTTCGGAAATCCGAGCCGGAGTCGGTACTCACTCGTGTGCCACTTTTCTGGCGAACTCGAGTCCCAGCTCGAAGACGAACATGAAGAACAGGTCGACGATCATCAGCTGGTACAGCTCCGATCCCACCTCATTCTCCCAACACTGCCGGAATAGATGACAAAGTCAAGACCAACCGGACTCTTTACCTGAAGTCATTTATGAATGCATTTCAACCCTCGCCCGCACATGCCATTTTCCCATCCTAGAACCGCGCACATGGGGGGGGGGGTTGGCACCCCCCCCCCCGCGCCATTTCGTTCCTGTTGGAGATAGAGCTTAGCGGTAAGTGACCAAAAAGATTCTTTGGGAAGAGATGAATCCAATGATACCCAGTTTTGCCTTCTCAGGTCAGTCATTGACCTTCCAGGTCAGGTCAAACTAAAAAATGTTGCTGTTTTGGGTCACCGTTGGATATCAAGTGCGCTGCTTATCATATACCGATGACGATGCCGTTTTCTGGTGCCAAGCCAGCTAGAACCTCTTTGTCACACTATCCGACCAGGTTTTTGCTGCTGAGGTCATTTCAGGTCAAGTTAGGTCAAGGTCAATTATATGTGTTTGTATGTCTGTGTGTGTCTGTGTGTATACTGATGTGTGCACCGATTGTTTATGTGTCCATATTACATGAAATCATGATCTGGGAAGCTTTTACCAAAAAAGCAGTAAAAAAAATCACAAAAAGTAAATTCCGCTTGCCTAAAACGCAATTATCTTAGATGACCTAGGTTGACCTTGACCTTGACCTTGACATCTGTACATCGTCAAACAACATGTTCCATGATAGGTCGGAGGTAAAACTGACAAAAAAGGCCGAAATCAAGGTGTCAAAAGCTCACAAGGCCCATAGCCAACGCAAGATGTTGAGAATTGGCCATTTGGGTCATGACATGACCTTAAAAACAAGGTCATATCTCCGAAACCGAAAACCGCAGAAACTTGAAATTTTCAGTGGACATCAAGAAAGGATAGAGGAGCAGCTATACGAAAAATCAGCCTTCTAGCTCTAAAAATGTTGATTGCAGAGCAGAAAGACTACCTGGGGTGGGGTGGGGTGGCACCCCCCCCCCCCATGTGCGGGCGAGGGTCAATCATGAGCGATCCATATCATATGGCGTGGCGATTAAGTCGTAGCTTTAACTCGTCTGCATCTTGCCTGCATTTTGTTTTGTAAGCCAAGTATCGAAAATATGTATGCCGATTGCTCAATTATTTTTGGAGCTTCGTCAGCTGGACCCAATCGGACGTTTCGTTTCAGCCCTGGGCCTGTAACCCCCTCAGCCACAACCCACGAGCATTACAGTGAACTGCCTCCCCAATCAGCGAATTCGCTGCAGTACAGGCACCCACCTCGTCCCGGGCGCCCGAGTCAGTATCGGTGGAGCGGTTGTTGACCTGCTGCACCCAGTAGATCACGATGGTGCCCAGGATGATGATGGCCATCACCACCATCCTACGGGGAGTGTAGGTCAGATCAGGGTGAGGGTCTGGTCAGGATCAGGTCAGGGTTAGGTAAGATAGGGGTCAAGGTCTGAGTCGGGTGAGGTCAGAGTCAAATCAGCGTCAGCTGGTCAGTCACGTTAGGATATTCAGGTCAGTCAGGTCATGATTGATTCAGGGTCGGCCCAGGCTCAGGTCCGAGTCACGTCACGCTACTTCTTCTCATCTAATTAACTTTTATACCACCCATCCCTGTTAGCCTTCCACGGCCCTGTCTTCCCACCTGATCAACGTGATGAACATGAGCGCTCGGGGGTGTTTGAAGTTCTCCAGCATGCCGAGGAACTGGAAGAGCATTGGGAAGAGCGCCATGGAGGCGCTGATCATGATGGCGGAGCCCAGGAGGGAGATGAAGCTGCCGTCCGGGCCCAGCGTCTGTGGAAGCGGATGGGGATCGCGTCAGGTCAGGACGGGACAGGGCATGTCGAATGGGGTTGGACGGGATAGAGCAGGGTAGAAAAGGTTAGATGGAAAGGCCACGAGGACTAGGGACAGGGCGGTGCAAAAGAGCCAAGGACTGAGCACGAGACAGAGTGGCAGAGAAAAGTCGCGAAGAATGACAACGGAAAATGGAATAGCGAGAGACGGCGCAGAGTAGTACCAGGACAGCGAGGAATAAAAAGCGGGAGCAGGAGAGCGCCTGAACTAGTCCGCAAAACCCATCATTGTCTGTCCGTAGGTTACCCTCTGTCTCACCTCAACACTCTTTCCCATATGATCCCCCTCTCCCCTTCCCCGGACGTACCGCGTCCATGCCCATGACGTTCCAGGTGAGCACGGCCACGGCGCCCAGCACGGCCACCACCAGCAGGTTGCTGGCCAGCCGGCCCAGCACCGTGTACAGCTGAGCACGCCGGCGCTGGGCGGCCGCCGCCGGGTCTTCCCCGGCCGCAGCAGCCTGCTCGGCCGCGTGCAGCTCCTCCTTCTTCTTGAGCTTCCGCTGAGGGATAGAGGAGTGGAAGGGAAGAATGAGGAAAGGGCGAAAGGAATGATGACAGACACAATGGTAGCGTAATGATTGAATGAGGAACGTGATGACACGATTAGGAAGGATACTTAAGCTACAACTGTTCTGAAGGAAGCCAGTCGACAAGGGTGGAAAACGAGCATTAAGTCGTTTTGCAAAGGAAATTGTTTGATGCCAACAAATAACAAGAGGACTTTGTCGGGGATAGACGTAGTTTCTCTGAACCCCATACTAAGCTCCACTCACAGACCAGTGACTCCGGTCTCCCCTCCCGCCTCCCCGCAACAGCCGAACCTCACCTGGAATGCCTGGTAGAGTCCGGTGCGTTTCAGCTCGGCCAGCTCCTGGGATGTGACGCGAGCGTCCCACCCGGCGAAGATCAGGTTGGCCACGTTGCCGCTGGTGTCGGTGGACACGTCGATAAAGTTCTTACGGTAGGAGCGCGCCGTGCTAGGGGTAGCGGAGGGATGAATGGATTACTCGGCACAGGCTCGTCTGACACAAATGCTAATGGCCGGTACATTAGTGCCACGATCGGGAAATAGGCACTGCCAACATTGGGCCACATGCAAAGCTGAAGTGAAATGGTATCATTTCTTAATTGAGACCGAGGTGTCATTGCCCCGCTAATCAATTTCTTCTTCAGATCACACCAACTGTCCCTACCAAAAAAGACAGGACGTGACTACTAGTCAAGAGAACGACTACAGTGAAGTTGGACGCCTGGGTCGCAAGGCCACGCGTCCTATTCCAACAACAACAACTGCCCCTACTCCCTATATTAGTGTGTGACAGTACCGCAGCTACGCTGCCGCCACTGACCTGGTGGCCAGCTTCATCAGCTGGTAGGTGATGCAGAAGGTGGTGATGGCTAGGTAGGCGGACGGCATGTGGTAGTGCGTGTAGGACGACGTCCGGATCGAGTCGCGGTAGTAGTAGCCGTAGTACATGGGCGTCGAGTACAGCCACCCCTGCCGAGCAAAGGCAGTACTGAGCTTAGGGTAGAGAACATAGGAACCGAGTATGTGCAGACAAACCTGCCGCACAGAATCGTCACAAACTGCGATGATAGAAAGCGTCATATCTATTTAGCCAAAGACCCGACTAATGTCCCGGTGAAAAGGTTACTCTACTGTGCAAAGAAAAGCGATTACGTTAGATCAGAGGTCATTACGTCAGGTCAAAGGTCATCCGAACGTAATCATCTTTACCTTAGCACAGCAGTATTCTGAACAGTCCCTGAGTTCCTATCGCTCAGCAGATAGATTATTTCTCGTCCTCTCCAATCACAGGTGAGTGGGTAAATGTGAGCTGAGCAGTCCCCAAGCTGCTAGCTCACCTGTCCGGTAAGCAGGTTACTCAGGAAGAAGTGCAGGTTCGGTATCGTTCTGTTCTCCATCTCCATTCGCGCATGGATCGGATCCGGGACTGGCAAAAAAACTCGAGAGGTCATTATGTAACGATCCTGCTCTACGATTTGTAATGGTGCAAAACTATTCGATTTTAACAAAACACATGCTAGAAAAAGCATCACATGCCTTTTTTGCTGAACAGCATTTCGTCGATAAGCACCATTACATAAACGCTGAAAATAACTACCGACTCTCAAGCTCGATTCCCTATTCATCTTCAATGGCCACTAATGACGACTTAGTAGAGTATTACGCCTTCATGAGCTGAAGTAGGCGAAAGGCAGTGGTTAATGAGCACGGTAGGTTAGGTTGTGATGTCTTACGTCCGAGAGCGCTGCGACGGGCGGCCTCGGGATCGTAGATGGTCATCACCAGCTGGGGCACCACCAGGAACAGGAAACTGGCGGGGGGAGAAGGGAGGAGGATTATAGGAATGGGCGGCGGAGACACGGATAGGAAGGGACAAACAAGAAATCAAACTGATGTAGAAGAACGCGTGATTCAAAAAAGAAATGGGCTACAACATAGACCTCGACGTCTTCTTCTAGAGTCCAAACAACCTTGATTCTTGATTGATTCTTGAGTGACAGCAGCAGACGATCGTTTACTTAGCCACAAAGGGATACTCCTGGCGCAGTTACAAAGGCCGTGTGGAAATACAGCTAACCCATTCATAAATTTAATTCGGTATCATTTAGGGCGTGTTCGCAGTCCCCTCGGACGAAGAACGTTCTACGTTGTCCGGCCAATCCCGTTCGATAACCGCAGCTCAGCCCCCGCCTACATTGAACGGCATTGGCCGGACGACGTAGAATCTTCGTCTGGGAGACTCCGAATCCGGGGTTAGAAACGTATTCATCTCTTGCCGAAATCATCACATTAAAACAATTCGAGAGAATCAATTACGCATGAAACCAGATTAATGAGCTGCATTGGGCGCTCATAACAACTACAATAACAACAATAGCTGCACGTTACGCTATCTGACATCCACGACTCCGGCACATTCACTCACTGACCTGATGAGGAGGACCTCCATGTTGACGATCAGCAGCCAGCGCATGAAGCGGAAGTAGAGGCCGACGTTCTGGCCAAAGTTGCCCTCGATCGTCTTCATCTGCTCGTGCCAGATGTGAACGAGACCGTGGGCCTCGGCCATGTACCGTTTGGTCTGTCGGACGACGGAGTAAGACAGTGAACACTGAACAGCACCGGCATACAGCCATCAATCCGAAATGAGACTCGGCCGACTCCGAACAGAGCTTCTGATGTTTGAGCACAATTAATAAGATTTGGTTCCGAATCATACGCTACAACTATGCCACGACGAGCAGTAATCAACTGGGCTTCCCGTTTCAAAAGCGCCGCAGTTTTGCTATCATCTCAATATTCACTAGACACGCAAACAAAACTGTTAATAAAACGTTCAAAGACATACCGCTGATGGGCCTTCCTAACACCACCAACTACCGCATCAAACCCCAGTCCCATCTTTCGACTTCAATCCCTCACCAGCACGAGGGCGCGGCCGGCGTCTGCGCTCCAGCGCATCAGTCGCGTCTGCTTGACGAGCGCCTTCCGTTCCATCAGGTTAGTCTCCAGCCGCTGGCGGACCTTGCGCTTCACCGTCAGACTGACGGGGAGCTCCCGCAGCCGCGTGCTGGGGGACGGGGAGGGAACGTTAGGAGAGGGGAATTGAGGGTAGTGGAGGTAAGGTCATGTCATGGGACGACAGATAAAGTGAAAGAGAGAGAGAGAGAGAGAGAGAGAGAGAGAGAGAGAGAGAGAGAGAGAGAGAGAGAGAGAGAGAGAGAGAGAGAGAGAGAGAGAGAGAGAGAGAGAGAGAGAGAGAGAGAGAGAGAGAGAGGAAACGGGGGAGCTGTTAAGTTGGTAGAGAAGGGAAGGACTGGAGAAGGTATTGGACTTCAAAGCACGGCATGATCGGGCCAGGCAGGAGGGAAAGCAGGCGGTGCCAGGTCGGGTCAGAAACAGAGCAGGCAGGCGTTGATACTTGAGAGGCTGCGGTACGAGGGCTGACAGCCGGTGGACTGGAGAGACGGGATAACGGGAAGATATGATTAGACGGAGCCGCGCAATAGTGACTCACATTTTCCGGTCCTCGATGAACATTGAGTTCTTCTGCGCCCTCACTTCCGCCTCAATGATTTCGGCGAGCCTCGCCACGTCCTTCTCGTACCTGTGAGTGGACGAAAAGTGCTAGGAACTGTTATGTTTGAATTCGGTTATCTGGTTCTTGGAGGTTAAAACGATGATACGCGGGTGGAACACGGCTTTATTCGCAACACACGCGGCTCGATACCACTCGACTGCCCCGTTCGTTCCATTACAGCAGGCGGGCCGCTTGGACCTCGCCTCAGGGCAGGTCGGGCAGGGGCGGCGCCAGGCGCCGGGCGCCGTGGTGCCGCAGAGGCGGTCCAAATAAGGGAGGGGCATATAAAGCACGAGCATATCAGGAACCATCCTTAACTTGAGCAAAGGAGGGGGAGGGGGAGATTTCCGCCGAGTTGGGGGGTGCCCAAGCTCTCCAAATTCCACGCCGGTTCGGCCGCCTTGGCTTTGGTTGGAGCCGCAACAGACGGCGCAGGTCAAGGTCACCGCTAGGGCGGCGGCGGATTAGCTGCGCCCGGGCACCCCCGACTCGGCAGATATCGACACCCATGGGCCACAACAACGAGACACAAGCCCGAGATATCCAACAAGTCCTGAATATATTGCACTTGGTGATCTGTTAAATCTGCTATATCTGACACGCGTACTGAGTTGATAAGTCCATCAAACCGAACGAGTCTGTAAGCATCCTTTCTTCTGACATATCCTACCAATTACCATTCCATGAATACCTATACCATATCTGCCCGCCTGCCCGGCCGATAAACTCGTCACATCTTACGAGCTATAGACCATGTCTCTCACGAGTTCCTGAACCTTCCGCACCCACCTGATGAGGGAGGGTGTGGCGCGGAAGAAGCTGGTGGACGATGTGCCCAGGCCGGCTCCTGTCATGGTAACGTCCGGCGCCGAGCGGCCGTACCCCAGGTTGGCTGACGATACACAAGAGGGGGTAGTCGGTAGTGGGGTGGGGATGTGGGGAGGGGAGGGAACAGCGCGGCGGTGGGAAGGGGAGGTGATAAAGTGGGGAAGGGGAGGGGACGGGAGGGAAGCTTGGCGGGTAAGAGGGAGGGCGGAGAAACGCCGAGGAAGCAGAGTAGCAATAGTAGGGACGGTGCTACCGTCACGGTAAATAGGACGGACAGTGATTGCCGGAGTCCGGACAGATTCCCCGATGCCGACGGCATGGCCGTGGTCGCATGGAGGTGTGAGCAGCGGGAAGGGACGCTGGAAAAGTAGCAAATAATGGTAAATCATTTAGCAGTTATTCCTGGAGTAAGAAATAAGAAAGCCGGCATGACAGAATACACGGTTTCATAACTCCGATGAGCAGTCACGCAAAATAAACCAATCAAGGCGATGCCTACCACCTGATCATACAGACCATCGCGATAACACCGTCCCGCACCGGTCCTCTCTCAGCTAGTAGCCATTCCATCGCTTTTCAGCGTACTCGGACACTCATCACAACGAGGGCGCTCGGCCACATACCGATACCGCTGGCGGACAGGGCCATTTTGGAGGGCATCTGTTTCATCATGGCGCGGGCGAAGCCGCAGTTCTCTATACTGGGCCGGGAGCGACTGGGTAGTCTCATCTGGCTAGAGTCAGCGGCCGGCACGCCGTCCCGGGCCAGCTGCACGCCGCTGCCTGGAACACACGACGGGTTACCCGGTGCTAGTAAGTATGGGAGGCAATGGTCAGCTGGACGTCACGATCCCTAGTCGGCCTACACAGCATGTGTCGTGAAACGAACAAAGCGACGGCGAGCGTCACGCTGTACTTTTTAGCTACGGGCCGGTCACTGCAACACGGAGGTGACGTGAAGTGAAGCTTACAAACGGCCGGTATGTCACCCTATACATTCTAAGACGCAAGGCCTAAGTGGCATAACTAGTTAGATGAGCATGGTGTGAAAATTACTATTCCGTCTTCTCGCCAACATACCGCGGAGCGGCGGCGGCGTTTCTGCGCGATCATTGTCCGTCTCCAAGTTATCGCAGCGAACACTGGGGCAGGGGCCGCCGCTGGAAGGAGAGAAGTTCGCGTTATTCATAATCATATCTGCTACACCTACACTGTGGTTGGCGTCAGGACAGGCAACGCACACTGACACGACACGCCCATGGTTCGGTCCGATTGCGTCCAAATGCAGCCGGCATCGAGACACAGCGTGAAGGCTGCTACAGTTGAAACCAGGGATGCGGTGCCGAAGCCGGAGCCGGAACCGGAGCTGTCTGAAATTTCCACGGTTCTGCATCCCTGCGCAGTGCGCATAGGGGATGTACTGAGTCGGAGCCGAAGCCGGAGCCCGAGCCGCCGGAGCCGGACCATTTTACTCGGAGCCGGAGCCGGAGCTGCCATGACATTTCACCCGGAGCCGGAGCCGGAGTGGAGCCGATTTTTTCTCCGGAGCCGGAGCCGGAGCCGCCGAGTCGTCTGAAATTTTCACGGCTCCGCATCCCCATGGTTGAAACGAACGATGATCAATCATTTGTTTGACCGCCGAGCGCCGATCATTTGTAGGAGACGTGCGCGAGTCTCGACCGCCCTGTCGAGTTTGACCTTGACTCGGTTACGTGAGGAGGACTCGATACCTCGTCAAGCAATACCAGTGTTGTCCAATGCCCACTTTTATGACCCACTCCACCCTGACCCGTTTCAGTCTCGGTCTCACCTCGGCCGTGCAGTCCTGCCCACTTCTCGGGTGATGCGCCTTCGATCAACATTTGCTGCTGCTTGTGGCGTTGTAGGTTCGGAATTACCAGTAGTATTCACCATTTTTCCCTAATTTTGGTGCTTTACTGTCCACCTTGGTTAGGTACTCATTCCGAAAACAGTCACGGTAAAGTCCAAGGCCAGAAAGTCTGTGGAAAACATAAGATATATAGAGATATCATACCCACGGTCCCATATATCCCATATATGGTCCGAAATCAAAATATCCGCGCCGTCCGCAGCGACCGTTCTGCTGTTAAAATGAGCTACCAGATTAGCTTCTAAATAAACTAAAGGCATCTAAAAGCTTTGTTTCTTTGATATACTTGAAACGACTTCGAATTTCGCGCATAAGCTATGAGTTTCAAATATAAATGTAAATTATGTTTTATAATTCGAATAGTTAACATTCAAACGAACAAATACAAAAATTTATAGTACGGGTTTTAGTTTTCCTGGTTTTTTCTTCTACTTTTCCAGCTAAATATGGTGTAAAAAGTGTGAAAATACAACGGCGCAGCTGTGACATTTTGAATGTTCTATTCATGAGAATTATGTTTGCTGACGGATTAAGTTTTCAGCGAGCTCCAATGACTTTGCCTGTACATCATATTTCCGTGGCAATTAATGCTCAAACTCCTTTATGCAGCATTACAGATTAATACTGAACATTATTGATCACAGCATGATGTGAAAAAAACGGCGTGGGTTTCTATTATATGCTGCATGCATCGACATTTATGATTGGTATTCCAGTTAATAGGTAAATTGAAATATCATAATTTTGACTTGACAGCTTGTCATGTTATAGCGTGTTGGTTATTATATTTAGCTCACCGGAACCAGGAACCTGCAAACTGCTTACTGCACAGATAACACTGAACCTGCACAGTGAAGCCTGCAAATTGCAAAGTTCAGTGCGATATCAATATTGATATGCCATTCATGATATTGACATACCTACCTAAGTCTTCCAGTTATCCATCATGCAAGATGCCTCTGTGCCACCTTAGAGCCATTTCAGATTCACCCAATAGCATGTCCAGTCTCCAGAGGGCTGTTCACGGGCCGTCTCCAAGCTCCGCCCACTGCGTCCGTACGTCAGCCTTCCGTCACCGCACACAGCGACCGCTGTGGCCGGTAGGGACCGGCCACAGCGGACAGTCCACCGCATGCAGCCGTGACGTCAGAACCGCCTACCCATCCCCTACCCCCACGCCTGCTGGACACACCGCACACACCCCTCAGTAGAAAGGCTATGTATGTACAAGCTCGTATCTCAGGTGTTTCCTAACCATGTTCACACTTTGTTTGGAAGCTTTGCAGTGGACGTTCAGGGAGAAAAATAGAGGGCATGTATTTTGAGACTACAGCACAAGTTGTGGCAATTAAAAAAAAAATCAAATTCTTACAGGCTGTATATTAGCAGTGTGCTGACGGCTGCTAAGACAGTGGGTCTAAGTCAACTGATTTGTGGATCTTAGCTTGATAAAAGCTGTTTCCTGAATTCTCCTACTAGTGATTTGTAATGGCATTAACACTAAGTAAACAGCAGCAAAAGTGGGGTTATGCATGACTTCAGTTATAGTTGAATAGGGTCTAAGTCATAAAATGTGTGCAAAAAAAATGTGATCAATATTTATTTAGCTTGAAATATTTTTAAGGTTGGATCATTTTCCATAGTATTTCTTTGCAATTGAAGCTGTTTAATTCTTCTTACTAGTGCTGTCATCACTGGCGAATCCAGTTGTTTGCAAAGTGAGGGGCCAACCGCCAAAGGTGGCCAAAAGGTCAGGTATCTGAAGATTGTCAACAACAAAATTTCCCACTTTTGAGATACTTTAGCTAAGTGGGGATCAGAAATGAGGTTTTATTAGCTTATCTTGCATGCATGTCATCATTTTTGTGAATTGTCCAAAGGAGATTTTAAACGAGAATTTGATTTGAAAAGGGGGTGGGGCCAAATCATGTTTTGGCCGCCCCTAGTCTTGACTTTGGCCCAGTTTGGCCCAGTTGCCCCTGCCCCCCCCCCCCCCCCGCCCATTGGATCCACCAGTGGATGCCACAATATTACTCATTTTGGCTCTTTGAGGGTGTTCTAATCTGTAATCTGGGGACAAGGTTAGTGAACTGATAGATCAGCTGAACAATTGACTTCAATGGCGTGCCAGATTTGAATTGCAGACTGCACTGCAATAGTGCAGATTGTCTAAGATAAGCATCCAGCTGCTCCAGCCCAGCTCCTAGCAATTCCAGAGAAACCAGGCTCAATTCTCAAATGATCCTGATGTAGTCTAGTGGAGTACATTTACCCTCCACAGACACTGTGGATTGGAACACATGGCTGACACTGGTGACCTGTGTGGTGCACTGGTCTGACAGACCCCCCCCCTCCTCCCCCCAGAATGACACCATGGACACACACGTGACACAAGTGGCCCATGTTCTGGGCTGATTGATCCATATCCCTCCCCCCCAGACACAATGAAGCACACAGGCGACCTGTGTTCTGGTCTGACAAAACTCCTCCCCTCCCCCAGACACCATGGAACACACGGGCGATCCCTGTACCGGTCTGATGGAACTCGATGACATCGAGGACCTGATTGGTGACGGCGAACGACCCCGCCGGGTGCGCACTGGTCCGGTAGTGCGCGCCCGTCGTAAGAAGACCGAGACCGCCGCTGCCGAGCCGCTGCCCGACCCGCCTGTGTGTGACAGTGTGGTGCCGGGGACTCAGCGGGTGCATGTGCGCACCTGGGGCTGCACCCACAACAGCTCTGACAGCGAGTACATGGCCGGACAGCTGGCTGCGTATGGATACATCGTCACAGGTGAGGTAGCTGGGGAGGTCGTCTATCTGGTAGCTGCCAGCTGGGCGGTGTGATCGAAACATGCCCAACGGTCTTGTGGCAACCTGTAAGTTTTTATTGTCATTGATTTTTTGATTCATTTGTTCAATCGCTCATTCTTACATCAATTTAGATACATTTAGGAAATTATGAAGTGATACTCCCAGCTCGAACTTCATGCACATACATTTCCCACTGTGAAGTACTGTGCCATGATATTCCAGATTAATCGAACTAATATGCTCCAGTATGGGTATGTATTTGCCATGCTGAGCCAGAAGACATATGATCGGCACTTAAATGGATTGTCTTTTTACGTTTTTGTTCCAGATGATGCCGATTCTGCGGACCTGTGGCTCTTAAATAGCTGCACCGTCAAATCTCCAGCGGAGAGCCATTTTAGAAATGAGGTAAACGCAATAGCAATCTATTACCCATTCTTTGATCAAATTTGTTGCGAACCATTTTGCTAAATTAAATCATTTCTTCCGGCGGTAGAGTTGATCTATTCTTGGTAAGTTGTCTGAGGTGAACATTTCAATCTGAGCTTTTTGGGAGCTTATTGACTGATTTTTTTTCGAGATTCCGCTATTCTGATCAATGCGCCCAACAAAGGTTGGCGTAAAATGTCAGCCATATTTGGTATATTGCTCAAGTTGGCGTTTCATGTTATTGGGATATTTTGCTCCTTTCTTGACTCGCCCCAAATGAAGAAGTCTAGAAATTCATTTTGATTGGCTTTAAATGTTATATATTGGGTCGATATGTTCAGTATTTGTGAAAAGTACCGATGGCAAATCCTAGCTCGTAAGTCCGGTGTTGGTGCGAGGTATATATTGAACGCTTTGACCCCGATCACGGTGCTTGTCTCAGATGTCGGTAGCAACATGATTGATCATAATTATGTTTGTTGCCTGTATCTCACCCAGCATGTAAGCCCATTGGCAATTAGTGTAGTGTTATGCAGCTACTGCCTACTTCACCCTTGCATACCCCATGAGCAAAGAATGATCTCACCATCGACGTGCCTCTAAAATCCCCACAATCAACCACCCCACCCCCTTCTGTATCATAGGTGGAGCGCGGCCGTCGGGCCGGTAAGCACGTAGTGGTGGCCGGCTGTGTGCCTCAGGGCGCTCCTCGCTCCGACTACCTGCAGGGGCTCAGCGTCATCGGCGTGCAGCAGATCGACAGAGTCGTAGAGGTGGTCGAGGAGACGCTCAAAGGTGGGGACGATGGGGGATGGGGACGGGTGGGGGATTTGGGGGATCGGGATGGCGACTGTCTGGTTACTGGGGAGACGGGCCGTGGTAGAGAGATACATTATTATTCCTTATTGTGAATGTTATGCTTCTCGTATTTGCCATTTGCGGCATCCCACGAGGGAAAATTGTTTGCTGTTAAATGTCAATCGTGTCACACGATACGGCTGTATCGGTACCTCCTTCCCTCTGGTTCGTCGTCCAAGTAGTTTCGTTAACCTTCGGGCTCTTTCAGGGCACGCAGTATACAGTCGTGTCGTTACTCCCTTTCTTTCAGGTCACACAGTACGTCTGTACGGTCAGAAGAAGGACGCCGGTAAGAAGCTGGGAGGCGCGCCGCTCCTGCTGCCCAAGATCAGGAAGAACCCGCTGATTGAGATCATTCCGATCAACACTGGATGTCTGAACCAGTGCACCTACTGTAAGACCAAGCACGCAAGAGGAGAGCTGGGAAGCTATCCTATCGGTAAGCCATTGGAAGGTGGTTGGGAAGGAAGAATCACATTTGCACCTCTTATGCTAAGCGCTTGGATCTACATTGAATGGACCGTCTGCCTGTTTTCTTTCTTGAGCTACAAAAATCGGAGGTTCTGTTTGTTGCTGCTGTTCAGCTCGGTGCTTGGTGATGAGCAATTTGTGAAGATTGTGGCAATTCCAGGGCATTTAGCTCGCTTGACGTTCCCCGAGCAGCTAATTTATAATCACCCCCCTTTTACAGAGGAGATCGTGTCCCGCGCGTCGGCCGCCTTCTCCGAGGGCGTGTGCGAGGTATGGCTCACCTCTGAGGACACGGGCGCCTACGGTATCGACCTGGGCGTGACGCTGCCGCAGCTACTCTGGAGGCTGGTCGAGGTGGTCCCCGAGGGCGGCATGCTCAGGGTCGGCATGACCAACCCGCCCTACATCCTCGACCACCTGGAGGTGAGAGACCGGGCCACCGGGGTAGCTCTACAGATATGTTTCAACAACATATTTTCAGTACCTTAACATAATTTTATTGTCAATGACGTCCTAAGTGTCCGATTTTTTCACGTCAAAATCAGTCTACAAAAGTTTGATGCTCCTATATTTGCTTCTGCCATGATGTTTTGAATCAAGTAACTGAATCCCCTACCTCATTTAAGATAATTTACTAATCTTTACCAGCGGAAAGCCTAATAGTGTCTGTTGGTTTTTTCCCTGGCCCCGATGGTGCTTCTTCCAAACGAGTTTTCAGCGCGTTACCCCATGGCATTGTGACACCCACTATCCCCTACCCCTTTTCTGTCCGCCACGCTCAGGAAATCAGTCGAGTACTGCGCCACCCGCGGGTCTACTCCTTCCTACACGTGCCGGTCCAGTCCGGCAGCGACTCCGTCCTAGAGGACATGAAACGAGAGTACTTCGTCAAGGACTTCCGCCGCGTGGTCGACTTCCTCAAGGAGAGGTAGGCAAGATGGATCGATGCTAGCCTTCATTATTTGTGTAAGATTTATACGGCATTACACGGGCTGATGTGTACACATTTTATTAGTGTTCATTTAATTGAGCTCTTTTGATGATGCTTCTAGTTCATTGTTTATAGGAAGGATGGATAGGTACAGTTGAGCGAAATGTTTTTATATAGCTGTGTCTCAACTTCTTTAACATTATTAATGTTCGTTTCTATTAACCTTTTTATATTTCGCTTGTGATCAGAGAACCTCAATCAGACGATGGGCTCCTTTAGTTTATTACGTCTGTTCCCGACACATTCATTACTTTTTCAGAGTTCCTGACGTGACCATCTGCACAGACATAATCTGCGGCTTCCCCACGGAGACTGAGAAGGACTTTGAGCGCACGCTGGAGCTCTGCGCCGAGTACAAGTTCCCCAGCCTGTTCATCAATCAGTTCTACCCACGGCCCGGCACACCGGCCGCCAAGATGCAGCGGGTGCCCACACAGGAGGTATGTAACTAAGAGTAGGTGGGGGGGGGGGGAGCGGGATTGGATGTCTCACAACTGTCTCATGACGTCAGTTGCTGACGTCATGAGGGATAAACAAAAACATTGTTCCATTTGTGATCGGATAATGACGAAATTCGTCTATTATCTGGAATGTGGATGCATTCATTTTGGTAGGTTGTTTGATATCACGAACAGAATATCTCCAGTTTCTTTTTTTTTCAAAGCGTTCATACCTGACATTTTATCGTATGCGTATTTATTGGTAGCTTTATCATTCCTTTTCCAGACCCCCAGACCCTCTATAACAGACCCTCACTTCCCCTACTCTCCCCCCAGGTGAAGCGTCGGACCCGCGCGCTGACGGAACTCTTCCACTCGTACCGGCCGTACGACCACCTGGTGGGGAGACGACAGAGGGTACTGGTCACCGAGATATCGCACGACAGACAGTACTTTGTCGGACACAACAAGGCCTACCAGCAGGTCAGTGGGTAGTGGACGATTAGGGGGGAGGGAGGGAGGAGGGGGTGGCTAATGTGTGTCGTCGGTGTTGATCATGTTGACGAAGGCTATCAAAGATTAGCCGTACTGTGAGGGAAATACGTTATTCCACTTTTGGACTGAGCTGTTTTGTCCTAACTGAATAACTTCAACAGCTATGTGGTATGCAATGACACTGCCATCCATTGGTATCATTAATGAGTCACTTGTTTTCATGTCATTGCCTAGGCTGGTATAATTATGGAGGTGGCGGAAAGCTTTGCTTATCCTTTCTTCCACATCATTCATCAGCTCTCCATCCATCCAGCGTGGCTATACCCTCGTCCTTGAAGCACGTCTCACCTCCCTCCACCCCCGCCTTCCACAGGTGCTGGTGCCGATGGATGCCGACTTCATGGGGCAGTTGGTGACAGTCGAGATCGTCTCCGCCTCAAAGTTCTCCATGATCTCTCGAGTGGTGGGCTCGGAGGGTACTGCGGTGCGCGCCCCGGCGCCGGCTCAACTGGTGAGCTCTGGTCGGTCCCTGCCCCTGCCCCTGGTGGCGACCTTTGTGGCGGCGGTGGCGTACCTGGTGCTGAGGTTGATAAGTGTGTGGTAGGAGCGGTCTCGGCGGGAGGGTGGGGCGGTGTTGATGTGTCATTCGCTTCATCGGAGTATAAGTCAGAACATGAACGGCATTCTGAGTAAGTGTTAGAAGTGATTTGTGAGAGGGAATGTGATGTGTGTTTGCGGTGTGATTTGCTTGAATGGCCTCAAAAAGTGTTGTAAATTAGTAGTTGTTTGTCGAAGATGCCGGAATTGAGCGACGGTCTTCTTCGAGAATGCTGTTCTCACTGTGCACTTTGCTTGAATGCTTGAGTGGCTTGAGTGCACTTTCGTATCGTTGTGGTATGTAAGTCCAGTTGTATTGTGAAATGAGGCTTGTGGTTTATAAACTCGTGACACACTGACACATGACACTTCTTTGACAGATTTTGTGGTTGATAGTTGAATTATAATTGCATTTTCAATACTGAATTCACTAAACTACATGCTGCAGTTTCCTCTTACAGTTCACGCGTGAAGCTGCTGCTTGCCACACAGAACCTGTCTGAAATTCTTTGATATATGGCTTCAGAACTTATCGTTCTGTAAGTAAAATCGGATATTGTCAGACAGATCATAGCGTATTGCACATTGACGGTCACCGTTGCACGGTGTTGCCGAATACCAGATTAGCGCGAATTTAATCAAAAACCCGACTTTCAATAACCTGTTATTTATACCTATCAATGGGTAGGAAATTGTCCAAAGTTATCGGATAGAACCTTATTTTTAAGCCGCTTTATCATTTGAGGACTTATATCCCTGCCGAAAGTAGACCCACGCTCCGGTTCCTGAAATCGGGCTATGGTACTGAGAAATATGTCCAGTTTTCAATGTAAATTTTACGGAAGCTTCGAGAAGATATATGAGAAAATAGCATATCACCGGATAGCACAATTCATGATGAAGCTGTTTCTGCTATCATGGTAGCTTTTCAATGAATGGTTTCTGAGTTTAATGAGTTAGAACAGGAGCCTTGCATGTGTATCGTTCTCACGATAGTATTTCATAAAGAAGTTGGAAAATGTCAAAATGGATAAAAATGGATATGACGAATAGGGCATGGCTGAACTCTCCGCACATTTCTGAACATAAGCGAGCAAGTTTCAGCTGCCACTTTTTGCCTATTTGCCGTCAATTCAGCTTTGAACATGTCTAGTCGGCCGCCCGGCGTGACCTGACCAAGGTCGGGGGCGGCGCGGCCGAACAGGCTCCAGCCTAATTATCTATCTCAAGCACACGGAATCGTGATTTCATGCACTCCTTGCAAGGTCCGATGCTTCACTTTTGCATTATTGACCTTACGTGACGTCATTTATGACGTCACTAGGGTAATAAGAGTTTTTCGTCAATAACTCCCGATCAAATTGAGCTAGCGAGTCGGGAAAGCCACCAATGGACTCAGGAAGACCTGCCGAATCGAATGATATGCAACATGACCTCCTTCGACCAACTTCGTGATCTGGGGGGCTCTAACCTGACCTTGACCCGAGGTCAACACCTTAAGTTGACTTCAGCCGAACAAAAAGTATACCATTCGACGCACCTGAGCGAGGCGAACACGATGATGCCAAAATTGCGGCTCTGCGGCATTTTTTCGCGAAGTTATTAATAAAAAACGAATCCGTGCCTTGGGCCACTTGATCTGACCTCAGAGGTCACAGGTTAACCAGAGACCTTAAAATTGGATACCAGTTGCTGCGTCTCGTAACGGCACACACGCTCGTTTTTTTCCCGCGAGGCTCTAGTTTCATCAGGGGCAAAACAGCGGCGGGGGTCGTACCCCCCCCCCCCTCCCCTCCTTCGGCCGGCGCGTATTTTGAAAACCAATAGGTCCGGCGAGGGGTAAATGTCAGTTTTGAAACCAGAGAACCATTTTCAGTGAATCCGAGCGGCGCTGGGATTAAATTCGCGCTAAACTGGTCTTCGGCCACACTGTGCGTTGACGCAGCTCGCTTGGGCGCGAGCTCGGCACCATTAGTATAGTATCGACATGAAGAGAACGGTAGAAGTACACATCACATCACACAGGTCAAATTCTACCTCGAGACGCCAGCGCGTGTCAGAACTCAGAAGTGATTGTCTTCTGCTATTGCCGGATGATTATGATCATATTTCCAAGCTCAGTAGATATTCTCGGACTATTATTTGCTCGTAGTGGTGATTGGGTGATCACCTTACACGCCTACCGCCATGATTTGGTTGGGATCCGGCTGACGGATTGACTACGTGCCCGTCGGTCTTGCGGCACATCCATCCTGCTCTTCCCCTGCCCGTTCTTGGTTTCCCTCCCTCTGGAGGCCCCCGTCTGTCCCTTCCTGTCGTCTCTCCCCCGACCCACCGTCGCTGGCACCGACTGCTGCCTCCTCCCTCCTCCTTTCGGGGTCTGTTTGGTCGCCTGCCGGCCCCGCTCGCGGCTCGGTGGTGTGGTGCTCTTCTTAGGAGGGGTTCTGGTGGGCTGCCGACCTCCGGGAGGGGTACGGGTGGATTGAATCTTCCCCGGCAATGCCCGCTTGGCTGGAGTTTTGGTTGTCGGTGGTGTACGCGACTGTTGACCTCTCGTAGGGGTCTTCCCTTGTCGTGTGCCGGGCGTGGTTTTATTTTGCCGTGACCCCGGAGGAGTCTTGTTCTGTCTCCCTGGTGGAGTTCTATTCTGGCGTCCCTGTGGAGGGGTCCTCTTCCCCCTGCTGTCGGTTCCTCCTGGTTTCCTGTCCCGTGCCGCGGGCGGGGTCCGTCCGGTGGATCCCTGCTGGGTCCCGGGCGGGGTCCTGCGGCGCGGACCCAGGTCAGAGTGGGAACGCCGCGGTGCCGGCGGCGGCTGTGGGGTCGGAGCTAGCTGGTCGGTCAGTGACCCACGCCGCCGGGAGTGGAGCTCCGTCTGGATACGACCGCCGCGCGATCGGCCCGCGCGGCTGCCCGTGGTGCCCGGAGGGGTAGTGGTCGAACCGCGGCTAGCCGGACCGGGCGGGGTAGTGGTCGACGTCCGGCCGGCCCTCGCCAGTCCTGGAAACAAACAGTGGGCGCCGAGCGGTCAGGTGGGCATCAGTCGAGGAGTATTTCACTTGTTCATTTAGGTACGATCGAGTCAACGACTCAAACTCAGACTCAGACATTTATTGAAGTGTTCCACTTGGGGTACCTCTCGTCATAAAGTATAAAAATGGGGCTGGTCGTTCGCAGTGGTCGAACCAACGAGGGCCGCGGCCGACCTGGAGGCCAACTTCTCCAATCTGGAAGCCTAGGACCAGCGCAGCTTTATCGATTACCCTCTGACTTAGGTTATTGTCTTCGGCGATTTTAATTATGAGTTTCTTTAAGCCGCACAATAACCCGGAAAGGCGTGCTCTAACCGACTTTTTGTCTTCGCATTCGTTGACACAGTCCGCTAGGTCTCCGACATTTGTATCAGGTTCTTTATTAGACGTTTTTATAACTGTCGCGATGTCGTAAGGAAGTGTACTGCGGTGTTTTGCCATTTTAGCAAAACACCGCAGCTTTTTTCAGGTGGCACAGTGTACAGTGATTTCCCGCAGGACCCGTCTTGGCAGCCGCGGAGAAACGAGAGTTCACGACTACCTCCATTCTGATGTGGTTCTTGCTAGACCTAATTTGGGTCCTTTGTATTTGTCCCGACAGTGGCGGGGTAACTAGCTAGTAGCTACCTATCTCATGATATCGTTCCTCTCATCACACTGCTCGCAACCCGTCACTCCCCCGGGGACTCCCCATTCCGGAGGCCGCTCACCAAGCGATTCCCCCCTCTCCTCTGACTCCGTCAAAGACTGTCACCCTGCTGATTCCTCCCCTCCCCAATAGAGAAGGCCGTGTCTCACCGTGCGGGTTCCTGCAGTTGGCCTTACAGTCCTCCATCAGGTGTTGTCGGAAGCCATCCTCGTACGGCGCCGTGTTCTGGTGGCACAGCGGACAGTGGTTGCCCGCCGGACCCGTCTTGGCCGCTGCGGAAGGAGAACACGACGTGGTGTCATATTATTACGACAATATATGTAAGTACGACAATAAATACGGCAATGTAATGTCGCTCTGACAGCACGGGCTGCGCAAAAAGGACATCCTGAGGCAGAAAATGGAAAATATGCGACGTATGTGATGAAAGTGGGAATGTGGATTGTAACACCCCTACACTTTATCAGCATTTTGCTTTCTCAATCGTTTGCGATATGTTGAATTACAGAGCTGTGCGTCATTTGCCTAAAAAAGGGCACACCCTGCCAGGTACTAATAACGTTATATAAGTCGCCATAAATATAAAAATCCTCGAGGAATGTTTGATTGGAGCTGAGATACAGCTTTGTGTTGGTCATTCTTTACGGTCGGACCCATTATTATCCGGGCTATTCACGATGCTCTGAGCCATTGTCAAGGATCATTGATAGTTCAGTTATTGCTTGCAGGCGGCTTTATAGATATTCGAAATCGGATGTTATTCGCAATCATTTTACGGAAAAGCATTGCCATCAGCCCCATCATCGCATGCCTCGTCCATTCAGCTAATACAGACACGGTCTTCTTTATCAAGTGAACGTATTACATCAGCCTGTCTAAAGGCTGAAACAGACTCTTTCCGCAGTCAGGAAATCGCATGCGAGAGCCTATTCAAATACATGGAAGCACGCTCGCATCAATCGCACGCACCTCCCGGATGCGATTGATGCGGGAAGAATTATCATGTATTTGAATAGGCTCTCGCATGCGATTTCCTGACTGCGGAAAGAGTCTGTTTCAGCCTTAACACTTGTCCAAGTGCTGCACAAGGGCGTCTGTTTGTAATAAGTATAGAAATGCACTGACGTGGGTGTGCTTACGTCATGCATTTTCAATAGAATGTGTCTACTGTCTGCCCACCTACGCCCGATGTGAGCAGGAGCGCACACGGCAGTCCTAACGGTGATAGGTGTAGTCAAAATGAGGCTAACATGGCGAGGGTTAATGTCTTCACCGGGGCCGGGGATGTCCCGTTGCTGTCTGGGGCGTTCACTGAGGGCACATACCAGGAATTTTTATCGCGTATCCCCTTCAGTTTGTGAGAGTGTTCATTCATGCAGTTGGCCAATCCCTACTTGAGTATGCACAGTTATATCCTAGGTGAGGGTGTGGATACTTATCCCTACAAGTATGACGAACAATTGCACACTTATCGTAAAGGCCAGATTCGCATTGACTGGTGTCTACTCATATAACTAGCTGCGGAAGTCAGCAATGCCGCTGAATCGTGGCACTATCCTGTGACGAAGCTGGCATGACCAGACATCTTCCGCGTCTGATTCTGAGCTCAACCATGGCCAATGGCCTCATATTGTGAAATCCAACTTGATGATTAGGCATTACGGGAAATTTATAGCACTTTGGATGACTTCATTCAGGTATCAGGTCATTTCAGGTCGAGACCAAAACACCGAGGAAAAAATGGTTCATTTCGTCGATCGTAATTAACTCATTTCATCTCGAAACGCATGTCAGTTAGTTATTTTGATTCATTCCTGTCCTGAAAGTTCCTCATTAGGCGTCGAAAGTAGGTACCTATCCAAACCAGATCTGGAATAGCCTCAGGTGGAAGATTCCGTTGATACCACTTTGTTTAACGATGTGGTCAGGGCCGCCGTTAGCGTTCAGTCGTCCCTGTAAGCTCCCTGACGAGCCAGTGGCTCCGCTCGGCGGACGGATGGCGTGGGATCTTCTCGGCGGTTCCGCGAGACGCTCCCGATCTGCGCGCTCGTGGGCGGCTCTTCTCCGGCGCTCCGAGAGGCCGTCGGCGCCGACGGCAGACGGTCCGTCGCCGCCGTCGGGACAGCACCGATGGACGTCCTGTCTGGTGAGTGCCGCGCTCTGACGCACGAGCTGCTCCGCTGTCAGGAGCGGTTCGGCGCCGACAACACCTCCCGACCGGTGTGTGCGCTCAGAGAGACAGATACCGGCGCTGCAGACACGGCCTCCGTGCACCGCACGTTCCTGGCCGTGATCGGCGTCACGGTCACCCTGGCGATCGTGCTGAACCTGATGGTGATTCTCACCATTGGACTGAACCGGGAGCTGCACACGCTGGTCAACTATCTCACCTCGCTACTCTGCTTCAACCAACTGGTGTGGACCATCTTCCCCGTCATGGAGATCAAGATGGACGGGTTTCTGATCGAAGGTCTGTGCGCGCTTCGGCATTATGTTCTGCAGACGACCACTTCGGCTAACTTTGGTTTGATTGTTACCATAACCCTGCTCCGATATCTGATGGTCGTTCGAAATCATAGCTATCCGCCGAACGCACAAAACATGGCGCTGTTTACCATCATCGCCATCTTGCCGTGTGTTTGTCGCGTACTGCTGTTCGATCAGGCCGACAATGGTTTGTGTGGTCATTTTATCGCCGAGACACCGGACGGCTACATAATTAACACCATACCAGAGCGAAAGAGGCAGCTACGGACTTTTATCATTCTGATCACCGAGCACATCATTGGTCTGGGAGCGATAGCGTTCTGCTATGCCAGGATTCTCGTCAAGACGTTTGCCAGCGGCAAGCGTATGATTATTCACGCTAACGAGAAACTCGAGTCGGGTCATCCAAGTCAGCCGACTCCCATGGAGTTGGCGGCTCGAGTTCGCGTCGCCGAGGCATCATCTGCGGCTGCGGAGTCTCGCGCTGAGAACGGTCAGTTACCGGAGCCCAGTCCGACTTCTCACCGGGCTCCACCGTCCAGAGACGACTCAAAAACGTCTCCTTCGGCCCCTCTCCGGCCCGAGCCGGGCCTCTCCGCCGGTGTCGTGCTCTCTGTGGAGGAGCTACGTCCGCCGCCCTCCGCCTCCTCACCATCACCAGCGCCCAGCTCGCATGGTCAGTCAGGCACCTCTCAAAGAAGGGCTGGCCCGCGGCGCGGCGCACGGACGGACGTGGTGGCCACAATGGCCATGGTGGCCTTCCTGGTGACCTTCGTCGTGTCGTTCACGCCGTACGTGGCGCTGATCTACTACGAGAAGGAGCGTGGTCAGCAGTGCCTGATGATGCCGGACACGAGGATGTACCTGATGATGGTGGTAATTGTCAGCGGTGGCATCACGGCCGTGTTTAACCCGCTCGTCTGTGTCGTGTTCAGTCGAGACTTCAGGAAGAGTTTCCGACATCTGCGTAGGAAATTGGTGGGCTGGAAATCGTAGGAACTCGAACCGTGGGACTATTTGCGGACGATGTCGCGGTGTTTTGGCATTGAACGTCTGTGTGCTGTGCATTTAATACAGGTGTTATGTGTATACTACATTTGTGTTTATGTAAATTTAGACGTTTAATGGAGGAGACGATGGCCAAGAACATAGGGAGGGAGAGACACTGGTGGATCCAAGGGGGACATTTTGGATATTTGAGCCTCCCGCCACGTCCAAAATTGGCGCACACACTTGATCCGGAAGCAGTTGCTGGACCACTCCTGTAGGATAGAAACAGGCGTGGTCCTTAGCAAACATTACTCAGTCGCTGAAACGGTCACCCCAATAACTCCCAATTGAATTGGGTTAGAAACTTGGGAAAGCCAACAATTGGCTCAGAAAGCCTTGTCGAATCGAATGATATGCACTGCGGTATGACCTCATTCAACCAACGTCTAAATCTGAGCGGCATCGACCTGACCTTGACCTGATGTCAACACCTAACATCATATCATTTTTAAACAAAAGAATATTATTTGACGTGGTTGAACGTTGAGCATGGTAAACACGATCGATTGTAAACGATGACCGCAAAAAGGGGCTTCATGATAACTTTTTGGCGAAACTATTTACAAAAAACGGGACCCCCGCCGTGGGAGCCTTGACCTGACCTGAGGAGGTTACCGCTGTTCTTCACCGCCGCTGTTTGATTATTACATGGAGCTCATGCAATTAACGACAGAACACAGGTACTGATTAATGTTACATTCCGTGTTAGAAGGCATTTATGTTTTTCGGGTAGTCATCTCTGGTGCGCCACCCACACGCTAGGTGACCGACCAAGTAAAGGCTGCAAAAAGATATATCCAACATTATTATCATTCCGGAGACGACGATACGCGTCCCAGCCCACGCATGACAAGACATTCCTCAAATCCTCTGCGCCACCGATTATTGGCAATTTATGGAGTCAGAGCCCGATTGTCGTGTAAGCTGGTGGTGCCCCGGGCTATGTGACGTATATTTAGAAACATTAGCCGTACACACACATACTAACGTATGTATAGTCGACTACAGAATGATGTTCCACTCCTCAGAAGCTATCAGTTGACCGGAGCGCTAAGTTGTGCCGTTTATCACGCAATTAAGCGTGTCGATTGTGAGCATTGGGACAAAGCTATAATTTGTTAACTCAGCCCGTGTGATGCGGCACAGCCTACCACTCCAGGCAAATAATTGCCTGTGAAAAGTGGAACATCATTCTGTGGTCGACTATACCACCGTTAGCTGATGGCGCGGGATCGCGCGCGTCATGGAATCTACCAAACATGATTGGGCAACACAAAACTTATATTGACTGGTATGCAATGGTGGAGTGCAGGCTTCAGGGAGCATATTAAAAAAAAAAATGTTACAACTCACAATATAACTATGTATTACCGCTCTAAGTCATATGTCTGAGTCTGTTTCAAAGGTCAATCGTCGGTACTTGGATAAGACAGCGGATTGACCTGGTGCTTATCTCTCAGCTAGAGCAGGAAGAGGATGCGATTCAGTCAGCGGTAGCTAATCACGGCTAGGTACTTGATGTGATTGGGTTAGGAACACGCGGAGCGGGTGTGGTCGTCGGCTCGAGTCCCCGCTTGTCTGGGCGACCGGAGTTACAGGGGAGTTTGGATATTGGGTCATTGCGGTAATACGGTCGAGGTCGGGGCCCATACAGAGAACTGCAGGTAATTTCGGACCCCATACGGCGTCTGTTACGCACTATGGTCAGCTGGGGACCTGTCAATATTATCAAAACAGTGGTCAGGTCACTCAGGTCAGAGAGCGCTGACGCCATAGGAAGACATATCAAAGTAATCAGCCTTTCATACTGTAATGTTCTCAATATTTACTGTTCGAGAAAGTGTTATCGCCTTTCCTAATTTCTAAAGGTCTAGGTGGAGTTTATGGTTACCTCGATTGCTGTAAGGTGGCTTCCAGAAGTGAGCATGCTCTATTGTGGCATTGGCTACATGAATTATTATGGTTATTCAATTATATCAGACAATTGAATGGATTGCGTACTGCTTAAGTTTCGTAAGTATATTAGAAGTTAGAACGTGTATTCGGATAATATTACCTATTGCATGGGTACTGAAAATCAATCCGGCTAAGTAGTTTCAAAAAGCGGGTGCCCGTTGAAAATACCACAAAACGGAAATGTCATTTGTCAATACCATAATAGCTTGTTCGCTGTTACAATGTAAAAACAATGCAACCCATTACCCAACTCAACCTTTGTTTCGTTGAGCCGGCCGTGGAACACATAGCTACAATGTATTGTCTATTTTACCAATTGAATCGATCAGCGAAATGAAGCCAATGCCAGTGGGTGGGTAACATTAGTGGCTATAGATATAATGCTGTTGCGCATATGTATTTACAAGTATTGTAACGCTATAGGCATGATACTTATAAACTTTCTTCAGACGATATCTACACGGCTGATCGTGAAAATTACTGTCGGCGCTCCCTAAATACCCAATTAACTAGCTTCAGACGATGCGTGGAAATGTCAATGCTCATGTTCCTCACTTACCAATCGTTGATGTTTCTAGTCGCAGAATAATTGTACAATACCGTTCTCATGCTGGTATTCTACTAGAGGGAATTATCACAGACTGATGAACATTGTAAAAGCGTATTCTTGCGCATTCACTTGGCGGCCAACGGCCAATACAAAATCCTTTCCCCATTCAATAATGCAGGTAGTTAAAAATGGACGCCTGAACCAGAAATGGTCGTTAACTCATTGAATACTGAACAAAAATATTGCAGCTCTAAACATTTATCTGAGAACATAATAACATAGAAGATTCAAATGCAAGCGTGATATTGTCATAAAAACATAAAAAAAAAACTTTCTTCAATCATGACACGCCAGCAATCTACAGTCTATAACGTACCTAGCTAATTAGGATGGTGTCAAACACTTCTCATCGTCCCGAGTTAAACTTACGGATACATTGGTAGGACCGGACGTGGTAGTCGTAGTCGCCCTTCGGAATCGCCTCCTGACATCGTTTGCAGCACCGGTAGTTCTTGTGCTCCCTACAGTCACCTGGAAAGGGTTGGAGCGTTTTGACACATGACTCATATAACTTACAGAGTGGATGTTTGGTGCAACTAACAAAGTTGATGTTTGGCATAGCTCACTCATTGAGTTTATGCTCGGTTTAACCCTATTCCTGGCGGGCTCCGCCGGGACAAGAAACTGGCGGGGGGGGGCCGATTCGGCCCCCCTTCAGATCTCAAAAACTACACATCGCAGCGACAAACGGTAAACGGCATCGGATACGCACGGTCAAGATCTACAATTTTTACTAAGGTCATTTTCAGGTCAGGTCAAAGATGACGTCACAGGGGTCGAAAAAGTCAAAATGGCGGCGCTAGATATGGAGAGGGTTTTTCTCGAATAACTTTCGAATTAGTCAAGATAGGAACCAACTAAGGGCATCATCGTGATCCTCTCGTCAATCTGCATCGAATGATATATATGTTGACCTCGAAAGGTCAAGGTCAAAGGTTGACCTCAGGTCACGTGACCTCGAGGTCATCATGTATATCATTCGATGCGTCTTGACGAGCTGAACACAATGAGACCATCCACGCGTCTGTATCTTGTTCCTGTACGGAGTTATTGGCCAAAAACCTTTGGTGACCTTTGATGACGTCACATGACCTCACAGCTGCCCAACAGCAAAACAGACCTCAAGGTAGTGAAGGTTGATCGTATATGAAGTCATGTATGGTATATGGGGCCATTCCGACCCGTTTTAGTGGTAAAAACAGGGAGTTGGTTTTTCCCCCATTGACTTATAATGGGGAGGTCGCGAAACTGACCTGACCTTAGGTCACCGATATCAAAATTCCGAGATAAACAAATTGCACATACTGGTACCCTAACTAAATCCTGAAGAGAAGAAATTGATCGGTTAAAAACTCTAGCTCTGGCGTGATTGCAAACTTTTCTGAGGTAGGGTCACCAAACCGCCTCTGGTGACCTGACCTGAGGTCAGATCAACTCAAAATTTTCAGACATGTTGCGTAGAAGCCTTTTAGGAAAAGTCAGAAAATTTGAGCTTCCTAGCTCAACGCGTTTGGGAGAAATAACCAAAAAACCTCAGGGGGGCTCCTGAGGCCCCCCCCCCGCCAGGAATAGGGTTAAGTCACGGTCTTTGCGCTCACTTAACTCGCCGAGTTTGTGCTCAGTATCACTCACGGAGCTTGTGTTCGGTTTGTAACTCACGGAGTTTGTGCTCGGTGTACTCGGACACCTCCACGGCCTGTTTGCAATCCTTGCAGCGGGTGAGCAGCGGACAGCTCTTCCAGAAGTGGTATTCCATGCCCTCCTCCGTCTCGAATCGGTCGTCGGTGGCACCGCAAAACACGCACGTGCTGAGGAGAACGAGACGTTGGCGGGTCGTGAACGTGGTCGTGACTTGGTCGTGACACAGATCAGCAACGGAACGGCGGACCCTGCTTTTATTTGCCATGACCTTGCTAATTCGAGTCTGTTGCTATGTTTGGGACCATTTTGAATGTCCTAGATATGGCGGCACACACCATTCCTCAACTACGAATGTTGTTTTTATAACTTTTCTGCAGATCTATGTTCAAGATCTCATTAACGCCTAACTAATTACCGATATTTTGATATTATTACGTGCAAAGTCTGACTGGAAATGATGAAGCTTTAGACGCTATGAACATGACACTTTGACGTTCCAGGTACCTAATATCACTGCAACAAATATCATTCAGGGCAAATGGGATTACGGTTGGTGAATTTTCGTAGTAGAATAGTCAGGTTTCATATAACCCCAAACTATTTTCCTTGTATATAACGTAGCAGATGTCAATGTGATTTGTTTAATTTATATCATCTACCAGAAGACTGCCTTTGTTAGATAGCAGTATCAAATTCACTTTGTATTAAAGCTTTAATGAGATCCGTACTCACGAATGTAAAGCAAGTGCAAGAAGGTATAACTCACAAGTAGCTTTAGCGCAAAATTACTCATTATCAGTGAACGACATAAGTTGGTTTACTGCGCTGTTTTATAAGAAACGTTTACCAGTAACTACCACAGTTAACATTCTATTTGCCAATCCAATATCCATTCTCATCATTGCTGAGGGTTTTGACACGTATCTGACCTCATCTGTTCTGAATTGCTGACGATCTCTGTGGTGAAAAATGCTATCACTATATGGTCTCTGGAACTGAACCGGTTGTGGATGTCATATTTTATCCTCCCACTGTCCCAAACTCCACAGTTCTCATCCCTCCCCCCCCGTGGGATCCTGTATCACTGGGTTCCTTCTTCCCAGTCCCACCTATTGTATCCCTCCTCCAGTAGGCATCTACTTGCTATTTCCACCCACCCATACCACATTCGTCCTCTCCTTTGGGTACCCACCTGCCATTCTCCTCAGACGATGTATGTCCAAGCATGGCTCCCATCGTTTTGGAGCGCAACGATCGGCTGAGAGTGGGGTTCTCTGCTGCCAGCGGCCGGGGTTTCTCCTGCTCCTGGTGCCGCTCCTGTTGTCTCTCCTGCTCCTGTTCCCTCTGCTCCTGCTCGGCCTCTGCCCTGAGCGCACGCTGGTACTGGTCCTCCTCCTCACTGTCCTCGTCCTCCTCCTCCTCATACTCTTCCTCGTCGTCCTCGGGCACAGCGCGGAGCTCAGCGGGCGAGTCGAGTCGCAGAGACGGCACGCCTCGCTGAAACCAGCCCGCCCCGATACCGTATCGGTGATATCAGCCGCCCTGGCTAATCAGTCACTGATTGGTAGACGACTGGTAAATGACTGGTAAGTGACTGGTAAGTGGTTAGTGACTGACTGAAACCGACTGATAACTGAATACTGACTGGATGCTTATCGGTTGCCGTCTAGAAGTAGCCAACTAACAACTGACTTGTAACATACTGAGAAACTGCGGCAAGTCATTTTTGATTACCCACAGGTATATACCGTATGGCGGGTGATTGACTAAAAGTTAAAGGGACTCTCCCACCTTCAAAAAAGTTAATGAATTGGCATGAAAGTGATGTCGCTCGGTTCAGAAAGAGCAAAAACGAATATCTACCAAATTTCATCGAAAAATATTCACCGGTTTTCAAGATATTAGACTTTTACTTTTGTTTACTTTTTGGGATCTCTGCTGTTCCTAGCGACTTTATTTGAAAGTGCGGCATTTGTTGCGCGCAAAGCAGCATATACCACCGCGTGCTACAAAACGTTTTAGTCAAACATTTAACGGACGTTCGAAAGCCTGATGACGTCATCAGATTCCCGTAATGGTTAAGAGATAGGGACCACGCTGGTCCCACCCTGCAAGTAAAGGGAAGAAATTTCTTGAACACCATAAAGCTGCGGGGGTTGCGACCAGGATAAATGGTTGTTTCTGAGCCTGGCCGCAAACTTGGCTATCTCAACTCAAAACTAATGTTAAGGTGGGAGGGTCCCTTTAAGAGTCCCATGTTTTTCAGTAGCTGTTAGCGTCAGTAAAGTCTCGTTGGCTGACAAATGAATCGTGTAAGTATCATAAGAACTGCCTGATATTTTCTTATATCGGTCTACCGGTTACGGTCTGCCCATATAGAACAACCTGAACACGAACTGGTGTCAGATGATCTGACCACACAGTGATCTGACCGCGCTCCATCTGAGGGGCGGCTGATTGACTGCGTGCCACCGCCCCTAACCGGCGACCACAACAGATTCGGAATTCCTGAGTGGCCAGGTCAGTGGGAACTGGGAGCGCACGCTGAGTGACCGGTGATGAGCATTCCGTAGTTACCAAGTGGTCGATAATATGTCTTCAGCCGTCAATAGTACCCACGCATTTGCATGCGTGTCAGTGGCGGCGCCTGAGAATGGAGCGTGAAAGAACGAAGTATAAAACATAATTTCGCTGTTGTAGGGTTTACAGCACTTGGTATTCGTGATTTGTTTGCAGTTGGTAGCTCCTGTAGCATAAGTAAATGTCTCAGTAGGTATGGAAATGATGTGTGTTCACTGTTGCATGTCGATTAATTAGTTCTTTACCACAAATTCAATATCAAATGCAACAGATTGAGTGATTAGTTTTCATCCAAACTTTCTGTATAATGATTTTTGTTCTAAACAGTTCAGCGGTGCCGGTATGTTCTATTAATCGTGATTTTGCCACCTTTGCTTCCATTATTTGACACGTAACCTGATGTTATTATGTTTTTTAACGAAAACGGTTACAGCAGTTCTTTATGGCATAGTTTTGCTGTTGTTTTGTAAACGTTTCGCTGAACTCATGCTTGCATTTTTCGGTCAGTGATGTGCCAGTGCACCAACGCAAACAAAAATAAAAGATGAAGCTATGACTAAAAAATAAGTTAAAACTCGTCATCGATTTCTATTTCCGACCAACAGACAGCAGATTTTTATTGTTATTTTGTATTTAGCCACTAGATGAAACAAAATAAACGACGTGCCAACAATCGCTAATGGTGAATCATAGGGTGAATTGCTGGCGTTCACAAACGAACTACCACAACATCGAATGGAGCCGCTTTCGTGATCAAATCTGGAAAGCAAATGGCAGCAAAATCAGCGCAGCCGCACTCTCATATACCCAGAAGCGTAAAGCCTGAAGGTATAGTGGCCTGAAGGATCAATTGGTATGCAAATCTACTTCTGGCAGGCTATCGTCTGCGGCTGAACGGCTTTGTCGCACTCCGATGACTTCCCGGGAATATTCACCGGATGAAATTAATCCTTTTTTCTGTGCAACGTGTTCAGAACTCAGATAATTGTTTGTCAGAGCAAGGCTGGTCGCCAAATACGATTGATCGGCAAAACCTTAAATGCTGATATGAGACATTGAACAAGCTGAAAGCTGTAATGAAATTGAATGCACATTGCACGTACAGAAACCATAGGTATACCTAAGCTACTGAGAAACTTCAGCTTGCCGATCTGCTGTAGCTATAAAGTGGTTTTGCGCTGTTGTTCTCTTGGCAATAAATGGTTTCCATCAGATGTGGTCACGAAAACAGTCCGTTTTGCCTTCAAAGTGTCTGTCTACGTCAGACACAGGCTTACAAGAAATCTTGAAACGGTCGCTATTTCCCCAGAAGTACAGCAAATAACAATATTTTATATAGCAAAGGCATTCCACGACGATGAAACGTAAAGATAATTTCTTGCAATTTATTCCAGCTCTGGTAATTCACCTTTTCAGTTTGTGCAAAGGCCGAGCCATTTTGACTAAGCCATTCGGTTATTCCTGCTGCAAAAAGGCATTTAAATAGCGAATGGAGGAGCCCTATTATTCATGACTTTTTCCAAGTTGTGGGGTGATGAAATGGTGATTACTTATTTAGTTTAATTTATCTCTGAATATGCATTGTTTCGAACGGAAAACATCTTGAATTTACAAATGCACTCATAAATGTTTACTTTTGGAGTAAGACCCATATATGACATCAAACATGACGTCACGGAGGCCTTTTGAGATCATCGGAGTTTTGCATCAATAGCCCCGATCACATTAAGTTAGGGAGACGAAAAAGGCACCAATGGGCTACAGAATAATCGGCGCAAGATTTTACCGAAATCAGTGGCTTACCAACACCCAAAACCCGACCATGGGGTCATTGACCTGACCTCATAGGTCATAGAGCTCTGTATACATACAGTGTACAGATGTCTATGTATAGGTCAGAAAAGCTCCAGCTCAATTAGAAGCGAATTAGTCCACTCGAATTGCATCCACTTCTCTGTCTCGGCTGGACGTGTGAATGAGACCGATAGGTCCCGTGAGGGCTAAACATTGATAGTTTTAAATAACTTAAATGGACGTATGGACGTAGACACGGAAAAAAGAAAACGTTCAATCGTCGTGGAATGCGCTTACCAATAAACTACATCATTCACCACAAAAGAGCAAAAAAAGACCCGCATTCATGCCACAATTACTCAAGCGCAAACAAAAATGTACGTTTATACTAGACAACTACATATATATGATAGATGAAAGTACAATCGCATACCTAGCTATGCAAGATGCACAATGCACATCGCTCACTGCAAGTGGTGTCACTGGCGGATTAAACCCGGTGAAATTCTGAGATAACCGCTCATGACCGACAGGACTGTCGGTCGAAACAGTAGAGCTGCTGAGCGGAGCAGGACGGGTAGCCGTTAGTCGTTAGCCAGCATTACATTTTATTGCACCATGAAGGGATCCTCCGTGATGTCTTGACTATTGAACGTCTTTTTTAGGAACATGAGGCAAACGGGTTGTGAATCCGCCAGTGCGTGAGCTAAGAGCACACAAAGACATACAGCCAACATCTAGAAGAGTGCAGTTTCAAAAGCCGTTTAGCAAAAATGCAAGACACAAATCTCATTTTTTACTTCTATCAATCTAGAACAAAGGTACAGATCTAACCTAACACGCACCATGGTGAGAATTTCAAGCAGCCAATTATTTTTTCAACGCTCCTTCAATGCTATTAATTACAAATATTTTAAAAAGAGCAACACTCTGTATGTCGCCGGCCCTGGCATTATTTGTATTGTGATGTTACTGTGACCTATGTAAACTGTAACTCGAGGCTCGAACGACTAGCTTAATCAAATTTCATATGATATGCAAAAGTAGGTACGTGTCGCGATGGTCATAAGAGAAGGTACCTATGTCTCCTCCGATTTGCCACTCTGTGTCTGATTGGGATTTGGACCGGGTTGAGCCACGACTCTCCATGGCTGGAAGGCTCAAGTGTGACAACAAGCTACCTTAAAGTTAAAGTTTGATTGCAATTCTAGCCATATTCAGAGACGATGTTCTGTTTTGATCTCCTTGTGTCATACTACTCCGGTCCGTTTCAGAGTCGCCGTCCATGGTTATTTCGCTCCGCAGCCCTCACGCCCCTCACCTTTCCGTCAATACGGTCGAGCTCTGCCAGCAGAGAGCGGTAGCTCGAGTTCTTAACCTGGCCGCTAGATGGCAGCATGCTGCGCACCAGCCTCTTGTGCTCCGGGTAGATGAGCACGAGCAGTCGTGAGCCGGCCGCCCGCACCTGGTCGCTGGGCTGGTCCAACGCGGAGATGGCGAACTCGGCTACGTGACTCGAAAAATGTGGACTGAAAATGGCAGAAAGGGGACGATTGGTTTATAAGATGAATGAACAAAAGGCTTTAGTTAGCCCCATCCCTCCCACACACAAACCTAACTTTCCTATCCTTAACTCAGCCCTGAGCCCTGTTCACTGTCATCTTAACCTTCGCCCCAGTGGGGGGGGGGGGGCATATGTTACCACCCTGTCGCGTTTTTTGCGTGTGAATAAAAAACCGCGGCGCGTAGCGCCGCGCCGCTTGGGGTAGCTTTTGGTTTGGTACATCAATTTTGGACGATGTGTGAAATTTTTGACCCCAGGTCATGTCAGGTCAGGTCACCAGGTCAAGTTAACTGACCAAGCCTAAAAAAGTTTGCAATCATGTCTAGCCTGCAGTGTTTGTCAGAAAGGTTTTAAACTTGGTGGATTGCATGCTGTTATGGGCGCCTACAGTTTGTATACCTATCTCGGATTTTTTATATCTGTGACCTAAGGTCAGGTCAGTGGCGTGACCTTTGCATTACAAGTCAATTGAGAAAATGAAAATACCTCTAGATCCGTGTGTACGCATCGGAACAGTCCAAATATTTCAGAATCACAATGATTTAGTCCACTCGTGATGACCAAGGTGTCATTTTTGCTGATAGCCTCTAGACAGGTCATCCGAGGTCACTTGAGGCTACAAACAGTTTTTTGCCAATAACTCGCGATTGGAAAGAGCTAGAACGCTGGGGATGGTCTCATTGTGTTTGTCTTGTTGAGACGTATCGACTGATATGCAACATGACCTTTTCCGGTAAGGTCATGACCTTGACCTGAGGTCAAGTTTTCAAGTTGACCTTTCAAGGTCAAATTATAGTTCATTCGACGCGTCTCGGCGAGGGGAACACGATTCTGGCCATAGAAATGTCGTGGCTTTTTGTAGTCGAAAGTTATTGTCGAAAAACGCTTTTCGTAAAAACAGCTATTTTTGGAGTTTTTGCCCTCTGGAGGCTAAACCGTTGACCTGAGGTCAATATTGATAAATGACCTTTTCAAAAGAAGAGTTCAAAAGCTATCGTTTGCTCTTCCATGCGTTTTTCTAGCTACCATAGTTCCTGAGATAGCGGCATGTTTTCTGAAAAAAAAATATTGTGACAATTGGCAAATTTTGACCTTTGATGACCTCTGGTGACCCCAATATTGCTCTAAGGTGAAAAATGACCGAAGTACTTTCAAACGTACGCATTGAGAGCTATCGACTGCTTTTTACCGCGTCTTTCTAGCCCTCTTAGTTTTTGAGTTAGAGGTGGGTGGTAACATATGCCCCCCCCCCCCCCCACTAGGGCGAAGTTGGCTGAGACCGCCACTGGGGCGCGGGTTAAACCATTCGTTCAACCCGATCTATCCGTGATCTTTCCCCATGACACCCACTGCCTTGCCCTCTGCTGACTTCTCATGTCACCCATTGCCCCTTCCGACCTCTACTTGTGCCACCTCCTCTCGTCCCTCGACGTCGCTCTCCGTGCCACTTAGCCCTCCCCTCTGATCTCTCCCCATGCCAGCTCCCCTCCTCTAATGGCCCTCCGTGTGCCACCTACCCCGACTCGCTGACACCATGTTTGACGACAATCCTCTCCAGCGTGTCGATTCTGGCCAGGGCCAGCCGGGCATACTCGGACCCCCGGAGCGGGACAGCGAGGGCGTCACAGACGGCCGGCAGACCGCGGCCTGCCGCCGTGTTGGCCAGTTGCAGCAGACTCTCAGAGGCCAGTGCCTGCACGCGCGTGGCGTTTTCACCCAGCTTCTGAATCAGCTCAGGCACTGTGGCTTCCAGCGTGTTGCTCAGCTCGCGTTTGGAGGTCCTGTTGGAATAGTGCTCGTATAAGGTAAACCATTATGTACCGTGTTTTGTAATCAGAAACTTCACTTCTTATTCAGAAGAATCGGCACGAAAACACGGTCATTTGAGCCTACTGAAGATCATGTGCTAAATATCGATACAAACTGATTTATAACCATAAGCTGTTCATACGTAACCTAATCGCATAACAATCACTGATGAGCTCAGAGCAGTACCCCCATTCTGACTATTGTTCTTACCTGTGTTTGTTAGCGAACGGGCCGGTGAGATAAGCCAGCGCCTCGACCGCCTGCTGGCAGACGGTGTACATCTTGTCCTTCAGTCCGCGCACCAGGAGGAAAGTGGCTGCGCGCGTCTTCTTATCCGCCCGGATGTCGTCCTCAGTTCGGAGGCTGGTCATCAGGTTACGGAAACCCTCCTCCTTCTGAATGAAACTCTTCGAGTAGAAACTTTCCACCTGAGCGTCATGGGTAAAAAATAGGTGAAACAAGATATCGAATTTGTTTAGCCTAATTCCGTGCAGTGTTGAATATGTTGAATTTTATAAGGTATCAAAAGGTAGATTCAATTACTTGCAACTCATCGATTATTGGCAATTTTGTTACGCCCATTACGGTATTAAGTGCAAGTCAACAAATGGGTTTCGCAGGCAACAGTTTACAGTACCAAGGTATTGAATCCATCTTTCATTGTATTTGTGAATAAGTGTACGTGCATTCTTCATATCTAAAAAAGGTTAATCTGATGTGTTGTTGCATAAGGCGTATAAACATAGTAACAGCCCAAGCAGTGCTGACCAAATTCGGCATCGCCTTACCATTGGTTCTCCGAAGACCTCGATAGGAAGGGCGGCGGCCTTACGGTCGGCATCGGTCAGAATTGAGGACATCTGACGCGGGTTGGAGCCACCCACGTCACCCACCATCAAACCGGCCATCAGCTTACGTCTGAAAAGGAACGTCAGCTGACTTTACACAGTGTGCAGGCCATCAGGTTCATGTCTGAAAAGGGACGTCACCTGACGTGATATAGTCTACAGGCCATCAGGTTATGACTGAAAAGGGATGTCACCTGACGTGATATTACACTGTACACTGTACAGGCCATCAGCTTAGGTTGTACGTCTGAAAAGGAACGTCGCTTGATGTAACACCGACCATATTCAGTTTATGGCTGAAACAGGACGTCGCCACATTACGGCATACTTACATACAGCTTACGCCTGAAACGGTGACGTCATCTGATCTAATACCATTGCAATAACTCACTATGGACGGGGACAAGGTCACACTGTTAGCACTGAATGCGCAGGCATGGAAACGGAATGTCATATCATATTGGTCACCACCTTCGTCTGACAGCATGAAATCAAAGCCGCCCTGGCCTGTATGCTTTGCATTAGCGATCAATAGCTAGGATGCATGTGCATGTGCGCATGGGCTACACTCACCCTCAGGAACAAAAAGGTTTCGATCGATAAAAAAGCGTGAAAACTCTATCTCAAACTTGGTTATTTGATCAGAAAACAAAAACAAACCTAATGCACGGCAATAGCAGTACTAGTCAAACTCGAGGTCGGAAGAAACAATGCGGCGAACAGCGAACTTCGAAGAACTTTTACCGTGAGCAGCAGCTCGAACGTGTGCTTCTGCACTTCAATGAAACTCCGCTGAAAGCTCCTAAAGTTGTCGAGGTAAGTCTAAAAGGTGCTTCGCCTTCTCAGTTGGCTCGGTTCTTTGCAATATCATTCCAATAAACTATATCAATTTAGCACCATAAACCAATATCGCGATTACTTGAAAAGTGCGTGCAAGCAAAGGCGTCATTTTCACCCACAATTATCTCATTTCTTACCTGGATATAGGCTCCTGGTAGAGCCGCGGTGAGCGGATTCGAGGGGGCGGCAGCGGTGAAGGTGCGACGGGGGCTGGCTGGTAGCTGGGGGCCGGGGGAGGGGACCGGCCCCGTGGGGAGGGGATGGGTGCCGGGGCGGGTACAGGGGCCGGAGCAGGAGGTGGAGCCGGAGCCGGGGCGGGAGCAGGAGCCGGGGCCGGAGGGCTGACAATCGGCGGAGGCGGCGTCATCGGTTTCTTGGTGGACTGTGACGAGTTCTGGCGGTGGTCGGGGGTGCGAGGGATGGGCGGCAGTGGGTCGGACTTGGGTCGGGGCGGCGGTGACGGCTCGGGGGGCGGCGTCGGAGGTCGCTTCTTCTTCCCCGGCGGCGGCGGAAGCTCCAGGTTCAGAGTCTTGTTGTTCTTTGGATCCACCTGGAGAGCGTGCGCATAATTTTAAGCGAAGCAGTCAATGTGTTTCATCGGCCAATCTATCGTTGAATTATCGTGATAAAAGGCCAAGCGAAGGGCTTAATACATTGTTGTTGTATTTTTTGCCTAATACATTGTTTACCTTGACCGATATTGTTCCTAAAAATCCGTGCCACAGAATCTGTAAGAACATTTTGCTAATTCAAGGTATACCTACCTCACCGGACTAGCTTTTATAATCAATCATCACTGTGACAGCATTAAACACGCGAAACACACGTAGCCCAACAAACATGTTCCTAACACGCACGCTTCTCATTACCTACTACAAACCAACTTCTATGAATACCGAATACTGTGGCTACCCTACCTGGTACATTATGTTACCAATGGCTACGAGCGTCAAACTTACTGCCAAGAGTACCGCCTCACCCCGTCTGATTCCAGAAGCTGGTCGACCCTCAGCGCCTCCATCACCGCCTCTTTATACTCCTCGGCGTGGTCCTTCTTCAATTTAGCCTTGTCGTAGCTTTCCTCTTCGATGGCCATTCGCTTTTCGATGTGGTACTTTCCAAGACGTAGTCCGGCTTTATGAAGCAGGCCCACCGCGTCTCGGCAGTTCTTGGCATACTCGAATCGTTCATCTGACAAAATCGGAAAGGTTTTATATGTTTGCATGCGTAAGCACCAACTTACTCTGACTCCAACCCTTCACACTCGATAGACAAGAGATCCATGATCAACACTTCCAAGACTGCGAGCCACGTTTTCGCGTTTCTGCAAAAGAAAAAAGGTACATAATTGTTGTCAGTAACTTGACTGATGCACCAAGGTAGCGCGCTTTGAATAATTCACGATCACTCGGTGGATAAAATCGTACAAATAGTACTGTCACTTTCAATCTGAATTCGTGAGTGTGCACCATTTACCAGAGAGTAGATGTTGAGAACATCGGTGTCACTTTCACAATTCCGAGACACTTGAAAGGCTAGCGGCTCGCACAAGTCGCTGAAATAATGTGCGTATTTGTTGCATTGATAATTCAAGTGGAACATGGCTCCAGCTATTTCAAAAGCACATACAGAAAAAGAAATGGTGGCCACATCAAACAGATAGTCGAAGCCCTCAGACCAAGGCCGGATGGTAAAAAAAAAACATATTCATTCATAACTTCCCGCAAATCCCAAGTCACGCTGGCTCTGGTGTTCGTTGATATGAAACCATCCATTTAAAGCCTTTCAATCCATGTAAACTGATGAAGAAGCAGTGTGATCGATGAGAAAACTGGGAGATAGGTTTGACAGGCGCGCCACCCAGCGCCTGTCAAACAGGCAACAACGAGAAAACCAATATATGTGTTCTGAGGCAACTCACGGGCCGGGGGATAAACATTTAGTACGGGACTATAAGCTTCATTACCTAGCTGAGTAAATGCCCAGGGCCCATACGTGTCTTCCAACTATAGTGAACCACCTTCGAATTAAGGCGATGTTAGTCGCGGAAAACCACGGAGTCAACTGGACTGAGACTCGCGTCTGCTCCTTACGTTTATCTCCCTAGCCACAGCCAAACAGACCGTTAGACACAATACCCTCTGAATTATTCAGCAGCACTTGCAAAACACACGACGGTGTGAACTCTCCTCCTGTGGCTCTCTTCGGTGACAGAACTCCATCGCGTTAACTTTAGCTCGTGTGAGCATACCTCGGCGTTCCGACATAGATAGTGCGTTCAGCCCGCCCCCCACCCCGTCCCTCCTCACAGCGTTCCGCAATGGGGACGCGGGGCGCGCTGGTTATAGGTTGCCATGCCGAGAGCACTAGGGCGTGACGTCACTGGCCGGTGCAGCTATGGATCGTACTGTAACTGTTGTGGCAACGTTACGGGCCGACCGGCTAGCGCTGCCCCGCGCAGTCCGCTGGCAAACCGACAGTTCATAGCATCGATCACGGAACGCTCAAGGTCCGGACCTTCACTGGTATCGCCGCGGGCCATGCCATCCGAGTTCAACTGGCACTGAGTGGCCAGTCACTCAGCGGAGCTTAGCACTTAGAATATGTGTGACACATGCAGACAGTCCTAAGGATGTTTTCTTTCTAAGCTTTATGGTAAAGGGATATTATTTATCAATCAAGTCTATGTGGCCAAATACGTAATTCATACGCGAAACAGTCGAGATCTACCAAAGTGCCTGCAGAGGCATCACCAAGAAAAGAGGACATCACACAATATCTTATTTGCTCCCAAGGCCGTCCTGCCAGCCGTGGTATTACATATTTAATATCCACCGTCTGGCGGGTATTCTTACAGCTGCAACCGGCTGGCTGGACACCTTAGATTAGCAGATAACCAGGGGTGAGACTAATCCGCGAAACTGCGAAACGATCTTTCATATCTAATGTGCACCTTCCTGTGCCATTTCGTTACAAACCTTATTTTCCATCCAGTCATGTACGGGACCTTGCTGCGTGATTGATACCAGACAGCTCCTAATGATGATGACGGAAAGGGCCCGTGAGTACCGACTACTATATTGTTTTGTTAGGGTTTTGTCATTTATACCTAACTACTAATTAGAACTTTTATGTTATTAGATGTAGTAATTTAGCTAGAAATTTTTGGTAGATGTATATTTCAGATGGATGAATTTGCACTAGTACGCAGAGGTCCAAGTGTCCACATCCAAGAGAAGCGACGCACGCGACCGCCCTGACAGTGCGAGTTTTAGAAAAGCACAAAGTTGCCCCGACAGTAAGAGATCATGCTGTGCGAGCTCTCTAGCAGCATTCTGACACTTTGACCAATTATATCAGCGCGCACTGACGCACAATTTTCTCATATGAACGGCGAGAGTCGACAGAATAACGCGTGTCGCTTTATAGTTCCCGCGCCAGCCCAGAGATGGCTCTGTAGTCGCATGCCTGAATAGTATGCTGTGCCGCCGTACACGTGTTGCCGTATGCTGCACTGCGCCGTGCGGCTCGGCGTTTAGGAACCCGAATACAGACGTGATTTGTCCATCATGTGCTTGGCAATATTGCGCGATGTCTGTAAAGTCTATCAGAGGTATCCTTACACACATTAGTGATTACAACAAAGGTCCTTAGTGTTCAACTGTTCAGTGTTTTCCTTTGCAGTGTGTAGGCACACTGTGGCTGTATGGCAACCAGTAAGATGAAGCCTTACGGATCACAGCGCTATTCAAAATTTGTATTTCTGTGGATGAAATATTGTAGATGAAAAAAACTGTGTGCTTATCTACATTAAGTTTTAGCAATGTATATTATATAGTGATTGGACAAATAAATGGCCCATTTACCTCGAGTTGAAATACGTCATGTTATTTTTTCTAGACTAAACAATAATAAATGATTTGTATAAACTTACTTCTTGCTGCAACTGCCTTCCGTGCATCCAGCTTCTGCATGTACTTGACGCAGTCGTGGTCAACGTACATGTTGAACGTCAAATCCTCGTAGTTCGGTAGACTGGGATCAGATGCACCAGAGGTCTCCTTCGCGACCGTGTTGTTGTTAGTTTCTTTTTCTTCGCCGAGGAAGTTAATTCCCATTATACTCACCTAAGGGAATAAGGCGCTGGGCGGAAATTCTACATTGACGGCGTGGTAAAATGTATCGCCGGCCCATATAAGACCGCCGGGATCCCGGCGTCCCCGTTTGGCTGCAATAAGTTTGTTTACCATTCCACACTCTGGAGCGGAGGAATAATTTTCTCATTTGGGGTTGAGACCAACGGGATGTTGCACGCTACGACTCGTTTGGACTACAGATTACATCATTACACTGAAGTAATCCAATCATGGTTACAATCAACACTACTAGCATGTACGATATGTATCATTACTTGATGAAAATACACGATTGTCCTTCACATGAAAATGGATTTATTGCATTGAACTGGGAAGTAGCTAACGTAGAAGGGAAATGTGTTTTATTTCAGCAATATGTTACAACAGGCACCCACCCTTCCAACAGCTATATAAAGCCATGGACTCACCTGGTTAAATCTATTGCTCTTGTTTAGGTGATTTTTATAAATGACCAGTTTGACGAAGAGACCCTCGCAGTCGACATTCACAGCCGTGACCTCTCTGGCTTTGTGTCCCGACTCTTCATTGGTAGACGGCGTGACGCTGCCTAGTGGTGTAAACTTGGCGTTGGCATAGCTCTCATCCTTGCCTCGCTCCACGTCTCCAATGTGGAACTCGATTTTCTCGGCTGGAATGTGGTTATGCGGCCTCACAATCAACAGAAACGAGGCACATGGGAGGTACAGAGTCCGCCTGCTTTGTGCCACTGCTGTGGGACGTGCAGCGGGGGGCTGCATGTTGACTGAGTTTGCATGCAATGATGTTGCTGTCAGCAGCATGGAAGTCATGTTCCCTTGCGACAAATACAGGGTCTTTCATAATGAATGCTATTTTTGAAATAGCCATAGCTCAGGTGATATACATCACAAAGTTATTGTCAATACCCGAATGAAATAACAAATCATGGGAAAGTATGTACACATGACTCGCATTTAGGTACCCTTCATCGATTTTTAACTGTGTCGCCTCGCTTTGGAACACAGATTTCGGCCCGCGGCCGTAAATGGTGCACCACGCGCTTCACATCCTCCGCGCACAGCATTGCAGCAAACCTCTCCACTGTGACCTGTAGCTCTATGAGGGTCACTGGAAGGGTCTCTGCTTGGGGCCTCCAAGACGACTGTCCAAAATCAGAAGTACATCGGCGAGAGATCAGGGCTCCAAGCTGGCCATGGCCGCTCAGTGAGACGGCTGATCACTCGTCTGTCAAAGTTGCCATCCAACCACTGGCGCCCAGCCGCCGTTGTCACTTCAGCGCCGTCCTGCTGAAACCAGCGGCCTTGTCTTTGAACCCCGCCAGGCACATGAGGCCAGAATTCTTCCTTGAGCACTGAGCAGCCTCAGATAAGCTGGCCCGGTCACTGATGAGCCAGAAGCGAAGCAGTGGACGAAGACACGCCCGTCGACCACGGCAGCCCAAAACATGACCTTTCGTGCGTTTTGTTCCTTGCAATCAACCGTGAGTCGTGACATTCTGGAATCTGTTCACAAGCCTGTGATCATTTTAGAGCGGACATTGTGCTTCTTTTAAAAGTGTCCCCGAATCTTACGGTGGACAGCCGTGCGCTTCAGTGAGCCGTTTCCCACGACCACCCAAAACGCCTACGTGAAAAAAAGAGCTGACCCGTGTTATAGGGGGATGCATTTCATGTCCACACAAAAGGGAAGTTTGGTGAAGTGTGGCAGTTTTAATTACATCAACAGAATTTCCAAGAAATTTGCAATAAGGTAAATACAAAAATTTATGGTTTAATTATTTACAAACACCTTCAACTTCGCGTTTTAAAAGTAACATTCATTATGAAAGACCCTATGTAGCCAAATAAAATTTGTCAGGTGGCAGCATCACTCGACATATCGATCTCTCTTGCATCGTTCCGCAATGAGCACGACAGCAAACTAATCGCAATAAACATCGGCATTCTAGCCTCAGCATCTTGTTTGAGCTAAAATCACACTGTCACACACTGTCAACAAAATCTGATCTTTCTGTTTAGCCGCGACTTACGAATGAGCAGCTGATGTAGAAGCACCTGTATCTTGCTGACATGTGTGCGGCTGGCCAGTTTGAATGCCAGCTCCTGCGGATAGATGCAGAACTGGCGCGACTTCCATCCCCTGGTGTGCGGGCCCTGCTGGTCCAGTTCCTGGCGACGTGATCCTATCAGTCAGACAGCTGTCGCCACCAGGCCACCAATCAGCGTTCGTGGCACGCTCCGCGTCTGCTGATCGAATCGCCTCCGCAGGCGCAGCCCATGTAATTACCGGAACCGTTTGATTCGCATGTTTACAGCGTCGCCAATATGAATAATGCAACTTGTTATCTCAGTAATAGCGGTGCACAAATAGAAAGTTCATATTAATGAACACGTTTAGCAAAGAATTGGCGTGACTGAACTGCATACAAAACGGCACACCGCAAACGGATTTATAAATATATAAAGTAAGACGACAAAGGATAATAATTTATCGGATTATCGGATCCCCGGAATGTGAGAAGCATCCGCTGGCGCTGTGTCGGTCACGTGATTTCTGGTGTTATCTCCTGTGGAGATATGCCCTATGGCTCTCATCATATTCTCCATGGACGGACACAAAAGTGCTGAGACATTCTCTGGCATAGAAAGACACAAAGGTGCCGCTGACAATGACCATGAACAGACACAAAGGGACCCCGCAGGCAGAATTTTCACGGCAAGCCCACACAACTCTGGCGCTCCACCTCACCTTAGCCGGGTGCTCATGATCTTCACTAGTCGAGAACGCCGCGTGGTAACCGATTCTGGTCGCCATGGCAACGGGTTACGTCTCCGTCGAGTATCGTGATCAGTCCCGGATGCGCTTCGGTGACACTGCAAATGATGGCACCAATCTGCCGGCCATTCGGAGAACGACAGATTGTCCCAAAGTCTTGTGACCTCTCAGTCGACAACACTAAATTGGACACGCTCGTATCTCTATGGAGACGGAAGTATTTTGTAACACACATATAAGGCAACATGTTGTATGTGGTAAAACCCTGGTAGGTATTTCGTTCAAAAATTCTAAGAGCGTTGCTATATGAAATAAATTCCTTGAAGCAGATGACTAATTTTAGGTCGTTGTGCCTCACAGCACTCCCCAGCAGGAACTAACTGTCTCTTTAAAAGAGCATTAAAATGCAAAGTATTTTAATAAAGACGCTTCATCATCGCCTTGATATTCTAACATGTCTGCATTTAGACTGCGCCAAGTATTATCCCGCCTCTCTTGTGCAGCAGCTTAGAATCCTGCTACTCCATTGCATAACTATGCGCTCGGTATTGGTGGCCAATACGGTAAATTTCGGACTTTTGTATTGTTTGATCAAAAGACGGATAAAAGAGACCAATGGACGGGTGGGTGTGTCACTGTCTGCTGGAAGTTGGGGGCTATGTAGCCATAGAGAAAGATATCTATGTTATACGTAGCTACGCCAAAGCTGAAGAAGAAGGCATCGGCCTCCGTCTGGCGACCCTATATGCAGTAAACATAATTTGAAGAAGATGACGTCAGTTTTGTGTGCTTCGGTGGCCCGCAATGGCTTATTTTCTAAGAGACAGGCCATAGTGGGCCTCAGTGAACGGCAAACAAAATGATTAGTGGGTATATCGAGGAAACTCAGAAGGAATTCACTCGGTATTTTCCCATTTCGCGTCGAAGGGATGACTGAGCAAATGTGCCGTGAACATTGAGTGTAAATGACAGCACCCTGAAAACAAGCTTTGAGGTGATCATAGGAACCGCACGCACTAGGAAGTTCGGAGAGATGACATAGCCAGCAGTATGATTAATCAACTGGCACCAAGTAAAAGCTACTGCATTCATTATCTGTTGGCTGTAGATATAACCCCTATGAGGCTCATATCTGATTGAGTTCGTCAAACACTACGTTCTAAAATAAACGATAGACGAACTTTGTTAGAGATACCTATGCAATCTGATGATTGGTGCTAGAAATAGCTCCTATCATCCCTACCTTCAAACCGGCTGAAAGAAGACGCAGCTACCGGTCGGTCGAAGTGGTCCTTCCAAGGTTTGGAGCCGGTCCAACCAAGTTGTCGCTAAGTCTGGTACACCTCAGCCCATGTTGTGTTGGCCAATCGTAGCACTCTTCAGTAAAGTCTGTCAGAGCCGCCTGATCGCATCAGTCACTGATTCCACCAATCTCCAACGCCAGCCACCACTCCCACCCTCTGCCAGACGCCACAGGTCTAATGGGCACCGACCGGGCGGCCCCCGGCCGTGCAGCTCCGCCGCCCCGCGGCTCGTCACTAGCCGTCACACGGCACGCGCCGAATACAAACCTCGCACGTAACCGTGCCTCACCCCTCCCTACCCTCCCCCACCCCTCCCCCGACCTCCCCGATCGGTCGCCACAGGCCACCACAGCGACCGCCGCGGGCGCCGGCCCAGCGAAACGGCCCAATCACCAACTCCAAAAGGATATCAATGTGCTCGGCTGAAGGCATGACCAGCTCCATGGGGACGAATGGATCTCAATACATGCCTGTTTAATCGCGTAAAACAGAACAGAATCGACAAAACTCAGCACACAATAACCGTTACTATCGCTAAATTAAGCATACAAATGGTTTGGCCACCGATACAGCTAGACTTAAATGACGCAGATGGCAACATATTGCCTTTCAGATTGCATGCGGGCTTGCTGAAGAGGCAATATGGGCGGGCTAAATTGTGCTAGATTTAGTTCGAGGCGCGTCCAGCTGACAGCACAATCGGCGCCATCAGTGTCGGATGTTGGCGTGGAACAGGAGTGTCGACTCGACAGGGTGCCGGCTGTGGAGGGCACCTGCGCCCCGGGGAGTGTTTCCAGAGTAGAGCGTACGGCACGGGGTCCCGGCGCGACGTCGCACCAGCTCAATCGCTGACAATCGCTGACATCTAGATACTGTTCAGAGGGCATCCACAACGTTATCTATTGCCATGTTGTTTTATGATACATAAAAGCTATCTCTCCTGTCTCTCTCTCTCTCTCTCTCTCTCTCTCTCTCTCTCTCTCTCTCTCTCTCTCTCTCTCTCTCTCTCTCTCTCTCTCTCTCTCTCTCTCTCTCTCTCTCTCTCTCTCTCTCTCTCTCTCTCTCTCTCTCTCTCTCTCTCTCTCTCTCTCCTTCTCTCTCTCTCTCTCTCTCTCTCTCTCTCTCTCTCTCTCTCTCTCTCTCTCTCTCTCTCTCTCTCTCTCTCACTTTCCATTTATCTTATTCTTACTCTTTTTCATTCTCCCTAGTCTCTCTCCTCCTGGCCTTCTTTCTTTCTTTTTGTCCCCTGCGCCCTCCGCCCCAGGTTTCTGTCATCTTTTCCCTTTCTGTCGTAAATGGTCGCGGTGGACGGTCGGCTCATTTCTCGGACAGAAGGATGGCCCTCCAAACGGTCTCAGGCACGCACCCTATCTATTCGTCTCTGATTGGAATAGCTGCCGACGGCACAAGAACCACTACGGACACGAAAAGCTCCAGCGCTAAATTCCGCAGGTGAAATGGAATTCTAAAATTAGTTGGTGTGATGTGACTTAATGTGGTCAGCTGATTAAAAGCACCCCTACCTTTACGCTAGCAGGAGGGCAATGGGCATGGTATGTGTTTTAAATTCGTTTTTAATTGTTGTAAAAAAAAAATCCGAGAAAACGATACTGCGTAACTGTATATCCATCGTTCTTGTCTGTACCAAGACTGACGCCTAGTCATTATCATCATCATCATCATCATCATAATCATCAATCAATGTGATATGGAACATTTTAACGGAATGGTAGATTAGCGGCTTACCTACATGCACTATGCAGGTTCCGTCGAGTGCAGCTAACCACTTCTTATTCAAAACACCTTAGAGCCTGCCTGGTGCTAATAAATAAATAATTCAGTAATGAAAACTCACAAGCAAATACAATTTTCTGGCATTTTTCAAGCTATTTGGACGTTCGAAACGCCAGTCCACCTGACAAGCACGCAGGCATTGGTTAGAGTGTCAGAAATGACTGAAATTGCTGTGCCCAGTAACACAATTGCTGATTTGATAGTGCATCCCAATGGCATATATTGTCATATGCATGTTGTGATGCATCATACCAATGGAGCAGAGCGCCTACAAAATTATTGACGTAATTTATTACTTCACAATCTTCGTGAGAGGTTCCGCCACTAGCACGCCAAACAGCACAAATTGCGTTAGTTTCGCTCCAGTTACTTTTAACAAACACTGGTCTCAAGAATTGTTTTCCATTGAATGGCAACGGCAGCAGCTGAGTTTTCCGTGGAATTCGCGCCGTAAACAAGATATAAAAACACGACTTGCCATCAGTGCTGACGACTCTCCTCTCCTATTCTCCAGCTGCTCCCACCCCTCCAGATCAATCGCCCCCCCCCCCCGTCCTGCGGGATGGACAGCTCTGCGACCCTTCAGCAGACCGTCGGTGGGGTCCCGTCGCACCACGAGCTGAGAGCACGACCAGCACCGTCAGTCGGTCGCTTCTCGCGGAGCGGGGCGGAGGGGAGCGGCGAGAGGTGGACGGCGAGCGGTGGACGGCGGACGGTGGACGGCGGACAGTGGACGGTGGGCGGTGGGCGTTGGACGGTGGACAGTCTGACGGCTACATGATTACCGGGCTTGGAAAACTCGCGCTGCCAGGAAAAAGACTAATGGACCTTTTTGTTCCGATGAAGTAGGGCCTGGAGCTGCTCAACTCAGATGAAAGGAAGATGCCCACGTAAAGGATTTAGAGCTGATACCAGGTATGATTTAACTTGTATATCTGCTATGCCGTTTTGTTTTTGCTTTCAGTCTATGCTGCGATTTACGTTTGCATACAAAAGGATCGTGACCGCTATAACTTTGAAATAAAAGAGGTGTTAATATCGATGAGAAAGAAAAGTAGGTTGTGCTGTGTGCAACAATTTAACGATAGACACTGTAGTATGCACCGCTTTCAATTCTTTCTTACACAGTGGTTCCCGTTCACTGTTTTTTTTTTGCGGTTGTCATAAGTCAGACCAAGGGTTAGTTCTTTTCAAGACGGAACATTGAACACCTATTTGGTCCGTTTGATCCGTTTGGTGCCTGTGAAATTAACCCGCGCACCGACGGGGGGCGGATATCCGCCCCCCCCTGAGGTTTTCCGCGAATAGCGGGAAAACCGCGGCGCGTAGCGCCACGAAATTTGGTATGACTATTCCCTCATCAATTTTACACATGGTGTGCAAGTTTGAACCTCCTACCTTTCAAGGTCAGGTCACCAGCTCACTTTGAATGACCCAACCTCAAGTCACTTTTTTGCAACTTTGTCACCGTGCCAGAGCTACAGTAGATGTCGGAGGCCTTTGAAAGTCGCAGGATGTTATTAGGTCATTAGTAGCTACAATTTGTATATCTCGGAATTTTGATGTCGGTGACCTAAGGTCAGGTCAATTTCGCGACCTCCCCATTATAAGTCAATGGGGGAAAAATCAACTCCCTGTTTTTACCACTAAAACGGGTCGGAATGGCCCCATATACCATACATGACTTCATATACGATCAACCTTTGCTACCTTGAGGTCTGTTTTGCTGTTGGGCAGCTGTGAGGTCATGTGACGTCATCAAAGGTCACCAAAGGTTTTTGGCCAATAACTCCGTACAGGAACAAGATACAGCCGCGTGGATGGTCTCATTGTGTTCAGCTCGTCAAGACGCATCGAATGATATACATGTTGACCTCGAGGTCACGTGACCTGAGGTCAACCTTTGACCTTGACCTTTCGAGGTCAACATATGTATCATTCGATGCGGATTGACGAGAGGATCACGATGATGCCCTTAGTTTGTTCCTATCTTGACTAATTCGAAAGTTATTCGAGAAAAACTCTCTCCATATCTAGCGCCGCCATTTTGACTTTTTCGACCCCTGTGACGTCATCTTTTACCTGACCTGAAAATGACCTTAGTAAAAATTGTAGATCTTGACCGTGCGTATCCGATGCCGTTTACCGCTTGTCGCTATCTTGCTTCGTTCTCGAGATCTCAGGGGGGGGGGGCGGTCATCCGCCCCCCCCCCCCCCCCCGTCGCGTCGGTGCGAAGTTGGCGCAGACCCCCGTCGGTGCGCGGGTTAAGAAGTTGTTTAGTAGCAGGGTCTCCACCTTTCAAATGAAATGCCGATTACTTTTTTCTTTGCTTTAAAACTAAAAACTAAGTTAGAAAATAGGTGCCCGTTGTTCCGTTGTGAAAGAAAAAGGCTAGCGGTGCAGCTAGTTATTCAGCATGTCAGTATCAACGCAGTGGGAATCAATAAATGCGCCCATTGGAAGAATTTAGTTTAGTGTAATGGACCAAAGGTTAACTTTTGATTCCAGTCCAACTAGCAATCAAGTAATCTCCATTGAAGTGCCGTGAACTGGAGAGCTAACACTAATTCAATTTAATCGACAGACGGTTACCGCTACGCTCTGAAAAAAGTTCTTGTTTGATATAAAGCGCGCGCGCTAGACAGGCGACCCCCGGCCGCTCCCTTGTTTTTCTTCTCTCTTAACCCGCGCCCAGCTGGGGGTCCTGGATTTCCACGCCCTGCTGGGGGGGGGGGTGTTTGAACACCCCCCCCTTCTAACTCGGCTCCTGGGCCACGTAGCGATACGCGGAAGGCGGCGTTCGAAAGAGCGTCAAAAATAATGACGAAATCACTTCGGTCAATTTTTTGGTCAGGTCAAAGGTCAGGTCACCAGAGGTCATTGAAGGCAAAATTTCGCCGATTTCCAGGTCGAATGTCGACAATTTCCAAGAAGCCAACGCATAACTCGGGAACCAATAGAGCTACAGCGCCGCGGAAAAGCGCATTCGATAGCCCTATTAACGCCCTTTCTGAGTAATTCTCTCAGATTTGACCTAACGTCAACGGTTTTGCCTGCAGGGGGCAAAAACTGCAAAAATAGCCGATTTTTTTCGGAAACAGTTTTTCTGCAATAACTTTTGACCCAAGCCTTGTACGAGCTTACTTTTACCGGCATCGTGTTTCTCTCGTCAAGACGCATCGAATGAACTATAACTTGACCTTGAAAGGTCAACCTGAAAATTTGACCTCAGGTCAAGGTCATGACCTGACCGGAAAGGGTCATGTTGCATATCAGTCGATCCGTATCGTCGATCTGAACACATCTAAGGCGTTTTCATCGCTCTAGCATGCCTCTATCAAAAGTTATTTGCGAAAAACTGTTAGATACCATTCGTGACCTTAGATGACCTCAGGGCATAAACAGGGGTCACGGACACCATTTTCATGTTCAGTGTGTCTAAACCACTTGTAATTCAGTGTTTGGGAGTGTTTATAATGTCTTTCGTCCAAAAGAGGCGCATTTCAATTTTCTCCCATTGACTTATAATGGGGAGGTCGCAAAATTGACCTGACCTTAGGTCATCGATATAAAAATTCTGAGATATACATTTTGTACATGCTGTTGCTCTTAGCAATCGCTGAAAGTTTCAAAGCGATCGGTCACTCGGTGTAGCTATGACAGACCTTGAAACTTTTTATGAGGTGAGGTCACTTCAAGTGACCTGGTGACCTGACCTTGAATGACCTTGGTCTGAAATTTTCACAACATGTGTAGAATTGATGTATGATAAGGTGTACCAAAAACGGCGGCGCTCCGCGCCGCCGTTTTTGAGATATTCGCGAAAAACCACAAGGGGGGGGGTGTTCAAACACCCCCCCCCCAGCAGGGCGCGGGTTAACGGAAAAAAGGCATTACACCTCGTGAAATCAGTGTGTGCGTGCTCGTTATCATCAGACGCATCGCCGGACACCAACAGAAGAGCCGTAAGTTCTACCTGGCACCGGAAATAAGCAAGTTTCCAGGAATAATACGCATCATCGAATTGCGACGTTTCAAGCTAGACCCTGACAGAACGGTTAACCAACTTGAAGAAATAGACTAAATCCAAGTGTCTTCCTGTGCCGCAAATCACTGTCGAACCTTAAATGTGAAACAGGACTGCTTTTCTACATTTCTACGGGAAGTTCTGCACAATTTTTTGGGAACTACTTTCTTTCCGACGCGTACTTCCGCGCGGAGTAGCAGCTCAAATCCGTCTCCCCTACCGGTAACCATGACAACCGGAGCCGCCGGAGGGAGGCCCAACGGTCAGGGGACGTCGCCCGGCTAAAGTCAACATGCCGGGCGCTCCCGAGGCGACGGGGCCCGCCGGCCCGCCCACCGCGGATGCCGTGGCGGGTGGCGAGTCCGCCGCGCCAAGGGGAGAGCGAGCGGTGACCAGCTGACCGCTCCGGACGCTGGGGAGCTACCCCGCCGTGTAGAGCGTCCACTCCGGCCGTCCGCTGACAACAGGACTCTGCGCCGTCCAACACGGCTGTCAACGGAGCAGACGCGGACGGCTGGGGTCCCGGCCCGCCCTCAAATGATCATCACTCATCTGAACATACGGTCGATGACTGCGAAATTGGAACAAATCAACGCTTTCCTGGAATCAAAACAGATTGATATTTTATGTCTGTCAGAAACATTTTTAACGGAAAGTATAAGAACGGACTTTCTAGTCTTTCCCGGCTATGCCGTCCTCCGGGCTGACCGAAGCAAGCCAAGGCGTGGTAGCTCAGTGATACGAGGAGGTGGAGTTGCTATCATCTACCGTGACTCAATAAAAATTTCGCTTTTGAAAATTCATAATACCGATCCGGTAACCGACGCACTCTGGCTGTCTGTCACCAGTCACGGTCGGTCTCTTGTTCTTGGCGTCATTTACCGGCCTCCAGACAGCTCCGTTACAGACTTCCTGGACTCCCTCAGAACTCAACTACAAGAAGCACTATCGAAAGGACAGCCAGTGGTCCTGCTCGGGGACATGAACATCGATCTATCCACCAGAGATGGCGCTGGGGTAATAAGATATGAGCAGCTTCTGGCTGAGCTCAACCTCAATCAACTGGTTAAAGAGCCAACACATCTGTTTCCACGTCCGTCAATTCTCGACCACATTATAACCAGTCTGCCAGATCTCCATGCAGCTGTCAGCGTATTAGACGACTCACTCAGTGATCATCAGCCGGTGACGTGTGTCGTGAAAATACCCAAACCGCGGAAAAAATCAAGGACTCTTCATACCAGGCGTTGGCACAAAACGGACTGGAACGCAGTTTGTCTGGATCTTTTGCTAGCGGACTGGAGTGAGATGTTAGAGACCGCTGATGTCAATAGCAAGCTTGAAAAATTCATGCGCGTCTGGAACGAGGTCATAGACCGGCACTGTCCCATGGAAAATGTACGCACAAATAGAAAACGTGGCTGTCCATGGCTCTCCAGTGAACTGCGTGACCTGATGACGAAGCGAGACCAAGCTAAAAAGGACTGGCTGAACCTCCGCACCGCAGACCGACACGTGACCTTCAGAAGACTTCACAACAGTGTTAAAAGCAAATTAGCACGTGCACGGAAAGACTTTCTATGTAACGAATTAATGCGCAAGAACTTCAGTGGCTTTTGGAAGAAGTTTAATCAGTATGTAAAAAACACGAGCGGCAACTGTCTAGATAACAACCTTGATTCAAAACAGGCCGACATGTTTAATGCGTATTTTGCGAATGTAGGCTCTAACATTGCAGCAGAACTCTTACCTCGCAGACAGGATGACACGTATGTCGATCCCCAGATACGTCCCCCTGTGGTGTGTGCCACAAGCTTTGAGCTTCAGCCCGCTACTCTACCTGAGCTGTCAACAGCGGTGCGTCTGATGAGCAATTCGAAAGCTGTCGGACTGGATGGCGTCCCCATCCTGGCCATTCGTCGTTGTTTTGCTGTGATCGGTCCGCTGCTCCTTCATATCATTAACACTTCAATATCAAGCGGCATATTTCCAGAAAAGTGGAAAATAGCGTGTGTAGTTCCTTTACATAAGAATGGTGATCACAGTCGCGCTAGCAACTATCGTCCAATTTCACTTCTGCCAGTCATGTCGAAAATCACTGAGCGTGTCGTGTGCAACCAATTAACCCACTATCTCAAAGAAAATGACTTACTAGGTAACAGCCAGTACGCTTACCGCAAGGGCCATTCAACGGAAGACGCCATCCTCGAGACCATTGCCTGGACTACTGATCAAATCGATAGGGGCCACATTGCTTCAATAACAGCAATAGACCTGAGCAAAGCGTTCGACAGCGTCAATCATGAAATTCTTTTGATGAAACTAGCGTGGCACGGCGTCCCATCACACTGGTTCAAAAGTTATCTGAGCGGTCGTGGTCAAATGGTTCGAGGTGGTTCTGAGGTTCTTCCCGTGAAATTCGGTGTCCCACAAGGATCAATCCTGGGACCTGTTCTCTTCAGTCTAGTCACTGCTGACCTACCAAATTGTATACCTCATGGCCGCGTTATATGCTATGCAGATGACACTCAGCTTTTGGACAGCTCGCCGACAGACAACGAAAGTCTCATCCAGTTCAAAAGGCGTTTGGAATCTTCCATGGCCTCAGTGCAGACATGGTTCACTACCAACTCATTCAAAATGAAGGTAGCCAAAACTGATTTCATTCTAATAGGCACATCATCAGCTTTGCAGAGAGTCTCTGATTTCAAACTTGACTTCTGTGAAAGTTCGCTTGAACCTTCAGACAACATTAAAGTATTGGGAGTGAAAATAGACCAAACGTTATCCTGGCAAAAACACGTTACAGAAGTTTTACGACGCTGCTACTCTATTCTATCGTCCTTAAACAGGTTCCGGCGTCACTTTTCTGCCGAGGCTCTTATTCTGATTATCCAGGCACACGTCTTTTCCCAGATATTGTACTGCTTGCCAGTTTGGGGTGGGGCCTGCAAAAACCAAATATCTCGCGTTCAGAAAGTAATAAACTTCGCAGCCCGTGTAGTAACCGGAACACGCCGCCATGAGCACATTACACCCACCCTAAGTGCGCTTCAGTGGCCAACAATTGAAGAGCTCATTAAGGAGCGTGATTGTTTAAAAGTATTTCGCGCTTTGAATAACTGCGACGCCCCCAAAGCTCTAAAAAGGATGTTTCACCAAAGATCAGACATAACCACTCGAGTGACCCGCCTGGCATGTACCAATCGGCTCCACCTTCCAAATGTGCGTCTGTCTATTACACAACGATCTTTCCCGTACAGAGCCGCAACTGAATGGAATCGACTTCCAATAGAAACTACACAAACAGCGTCAGAAAAAGAATTCAGGAAAAAACTTAGGTGCAAAAACGCGTGAACCATACCAGCTCACTTGCTCAGGGATAGTATCACGGATCGCGTTTACTGTGTAATGTGTAGTGTGTACTCTGTGCCTTGCTGTGCGCCATGTAGTGTATGTTACCGTACGTTGGCACCTTGCCGTGTACATCTGTGTGGAAATTTGTGTTTACATTACTGCCGTGTACACTGCCATGTTTAAAATGTCCTGAAAAACTGTGGGAACACGGACGGACATTTAATGTTAATACAATACAATGTTAATACAATACATCCAATTAGGTTGTTTGCCGTCCAGACCGTTCCTCCGGCCCGTCGGGAGAGATTGTCGGATCTTATCGCATTTATGCCACATTGGATCACAGAGGAACAGAGTTTGAGATTGAGGATGTTAGATGCTCGTGTGCGAAATCAACGGTTTATTCTTTTGGAGTGTTCATTCGTGTACTTTACAGAATGCATTCATGACGCATTCATTCAGAATGCGTCATTGTATGTATCCTTTCACATTCCCAGCTAATCTTGATTTCCATAATTTTGCCTCCCGAAGTAAACTGAACTCCTTCTATTCAATTCGCCGGTTTGTTATAGTAATACATTGTCTCTGCCTGCTTCATATTTCTTTGTTTATTACATCGAAAAAGAAATAGACAGAACAGATACGACCTTATTAAACATCGGTGATAGCGAAACAACGAACTTAAAGTAGGCTATATTTCAAGACCGCTCTGTTCGCTCTCCCAGCCACGTGGAACTAATTTGACCCTCCATCTTTGGACAGCTGGCTGGAGTTGCTGCAGCTCTAGCGCCTGTTCCAGCCCTGGTCATCATCCTGCCACCATGTTCAGACGCTGCGTGGGGCTACGACTTCTGCTGATTATTTGCGGTGAGTACTGGTCCGTGTGTCTCCCGGGTCAGTGTTAACGTAATGGGTCGGAAGTCGCGGGTCACTTTTTCGCATTGGCCATGAGGGAGTTCTGGGACTGTCGCCATATTGGCCAGGGAGTCCAGGGTCATGTCACCGTTTCGATTTGGTTATCTCAAGCCAGGTCATTGTATTAATCAGGGTCTCCCCCGGTCATGTCACCATATTGGTCGGGGAGCCCGGATCATGTCTAGGGCGGACAAACAATCCCTCCAGCGACCGCGCACCGCCGGCACCAGCTCGGTCAGATTGGTGCCCAGACAGATTGGTCGGATAGAGTGAGATCTTGTCTCAGGGGAGGTGTCGCCGGTTGGAGGCCATGAATAGCAATTGTCGAGGAGACAGACGGAGTCTCTGGCAGACGGAAGAGCCAGGGGATATGTATGCGGAATCGTGAAGTAGATTCATGTTTTGTCTGGTGTCAGACGGCTTGCTATGCTGAAAATAAAGTCAGTTATTCGCTGAAACTGATTGGGATGACGTGTGACAAATCTGCGCTCTTTTCTTCTTGTGGCAGATGATAAAATTAGGTGCGGTATTTATTGACTAAAAAATTTCAAGTGGGTTATTTGTTTATAAGAAAGTGTGTAATGGTAAACCAGTCATCAACATTCAACACAATTATTCACATGGTTCGCTTTTAAATGCAAATACTTTGTGGCAGAGGCGACAACATGCAATAGTTTAAATATGTCAACGTTTAAAATGTTCACCGGTATGTGCGCCCGGCTGATTATTAGTACATTTCATTGGTTTCAGTGCTGAGTGCCGCTGGGTCGACTACATCTCGGGATCTCTCAGTGCAGCCAGAAAAGTGGCGAGGTAATAACTACCTGCTTTGCCGCCTCGCGTCTTACGAAGGCGGAGACCTACTCAGGTATGTTTCTTTGTATGAGTGTAAGATTAAGCCGTAGAAATAATCATTTCTGAGTGACATCGAAGAGAACTGACATATTACTTACAACTGACTTGCTGCCTGCTGGCCTTTCGTTCCTTTGATATAACTTTATTACACCAATTTTGTCTCATTCGGTGAGGCTGTATTGAAAATTCAATCATCGTAGCATCTGGGAAATCGCTGCTAAATGTTAGCGGAAAATTGCTTGAGGTGACAAGAGCAGCTGCTTCATATTGCCAGCCTAAATCGAAATAATTGATAGGAGAAAACTTAAGAATATGTATACTATTAAGATATAAATTCATATTTGTAAACCGCTGATTTATGAATATCATAACACAATATCAATAATTCTCAGACAGGTGTAATGCTTCCCTGCGTGTATTTAAATTTAGGTACCGCGTCGCCCGATCATCCGTTTCTGGTCGTCGGAGATCAAAGTTAACCATACAAGTTCTACTTGTCGCTCGAAGTTGGCCGCGTGAGTCGCCGGCGCCGAGATAGGGAAGTTATCCGACCTGTTTTCGGTGGTCGCCCTAGCCACCTGCGCCGTCTCTCGGAACGGAAATTATTGATCGGTGTCGCCCACTAGCCGAAAGCCCACCCACCAAAGAAGTGAATTTATTTGTCAGGGGAATTCTTAGAGGATACGAGTCAGTTTATTGGGCGATACCAAGTTCTTTTTAATCCCTGTAAGTGCTTAATGATTCATCATAGTCGTGAACTATTTTCCGCAATTTCACACCTAGCACTGCAAACTAGAGGTGTATTGCTAGCTACTTACATATTCATTATTCAAGGTCGTCAAACAGAGAAAAGCGAAGTGAATCCACTTTCCGCTCATCCTCGGCCCCATGTATATGAGCTGTCAGCTGCGCTGCACTGGCAGACTGGACCTGGCAGCAGGGCTGGATTGAATATCACTGCACGACGTACTCAGTTTTCTTTCCCCATTCACTTGAGTTCAGTTCAACCATGCAGCAGCACGGGCTCCTTCCATCACCTCTTCCGTCTCATATTCCCTCGTCGCTGCCTCTGTAGTCCATGAGAAAAGGATTGACTCGACATTCCGGGCGACCGGCGCCCTATGCTGGGTAATGGAATAGTCCTATTGGCCAGTGAGGTCACTGTCGGCGTCCATTTGTCAAAGTGACGGCGGCGACCGATCAGTCTTTGTCCGCTATGCGTCCTGTCGGTCCGCGGTGTGGGAGAGAGAGAGAGAGAGAGAGAGAGAGAGAGAGAGAGAGAGAGAGAGAGAGAGAGAGAGAGAGAGAGAGAGAGAGAGAGAGAGAGAGAGAGAGAGAGAGAGAGAGAGAGAGAGAGAGAGGCTGCGACATAGGAGAGGAAATGTGGCCAGGAATCTGACATTGCAGGCTGTGGCAGAAAGGGTTGCCTCAGAAAGACGGGCTGGCTGGGAAACACATGGAAAATAACGATATTCAGTAATACTATAGGTGCAATGCATTTCATCCTAAACAATACACGCAGCTTGCACTGCAACAAACATAAAATCAACAGCACAGTTTCAAACATTCTGCTTCTGAATCCATAACACCCACCTTTGTGTCTCGCTTGCCTCTGTGGCTCAAAATACTCAGCCGTTATATGTTGGAGTTGGTTATGGCTGCTTCACGTTGACCCAATTTACCTCTGAAGCGGATCTAGGGATCCTGTTCCACAGGCCTCTCCCCCACAATGCCATCATGGGTCCGTTTATGGGACGACACCTACGCTTTGACGATTTTATCTCGCCCGGTAGCGACCACTCGCCGTTGGAGAGGCGTCAACACTCACAGGACATCGCTAGCAGTCGGGCAGATTCGTTCGGTCACTGGCCAGGGGCGTTCCACCGGGCTGGCCCGGGCGCCGCCGCCCGGGCGCCGGGGGCCCTTGAGTGTTCGGTACGCCCGTCGAGTGCCCAGGACGCCCGCACTGCCTCAAAGGACTTCGCTTGTGTGCAGCGGAGTGCACCCTTCAGAGAGAATGGGTCCATTAGACGCTGTAGACTGGCAGTGCCACCATTGGCGGATAGGACCGTTGGCGATGACGGAACGGGCCGAGCCGACCCACTGCCCCTTAGTCGTGATCCACACATCCAAGTACTCAGTCACGACCCCACAATCCTCAGTTTTGGCCACACTGTCCTTACCCTCACGGCACTCAATCAAGACTCACAGCCCTCAGCCGTAGTCTATGGTCCTCTGCTGTCCCCCACGATACTCAACCATGGCTCTTCGCCGCTGCCCACGACCCACTGCAAACAACTGGCGTCGCAGACGGCGGCGGCGGCTGCTGGGATGATATAGAACTGCCGGGGATAGCGACCAGATGGGCCTGCACTGCTCTTTCTCTGATGAAGGGATCATAGCCCTCCTGAAATAGCTGCCGATGAACCGTTCCGGCGATGTTTTCTGGCTGATTCATTTGATTGTCGTTGATAATGGCCATGGTGGATCTTCAGTGTAATTTGCGGTGAAGATATGAGGGCTAAAAAGGCTCATCATTTGGTGGAAATGGCTAGCCAGACGAAAGAATGGAAATTAAGTCTTTTTATTTCTAATTGTGTCTTATGATTTAACGCAGACTTCATCAGACAGCACAGTGCACAATGTAGGTAGGTACATTTGAAAAAGAAATGCACCTATGATTATCTGTGCTGGTGCTTATCTGCTTGACGCCCACATCCCGCACAAGGGTCGACGCTATACATGTCAACCAACAGTGTGTGTTCCTTAAATCAAATAGCAAAGTACAGACACCGTACCATTCCTTTTACAATCCAAAGAGCCGGCTATCCCGCAGTGCACTGAAGCCATGCGGCACAGTATCCACGCACAGTGAATATCTGAAAATCCTGCAGAAACACCGAGAATTTCTTAGCTTTTACAGATACGTATCTGCCGTCGCAATCGCTTTTTAGAACCCACAGATGACATTATCACCTTGCCTGTCTTTCTACAGCTTTAGCTGGGTGCGCCTTGATGCCAACTCGACTCGGCACATCCTAACAGCCGTCACTAGAGATAATTTCCATCGTGTTCCTCTCGGTCAACACTTCCGCGTTGGAGATCAGGTAAGAGCTAACGTTCGCACTTTCACCTGTTCGGGGCTTGATACGTGAATTTAGGAGAGTTTCTTTAACCTTTGTTATTCTTTCTCTATTTCTCTCTCTCTCTCTCTCTCTCTCTCTCTCTCTCTCTCTCTCTCTCTCTCTCTCTCTCTCTCTCTCTCTCTCTCTCTCTCTCTCTCTCTCTCTCTCTCTCTCTCTCCTCTCTCTCTCTCTCCCTCTCTCTCTCTTTCTCTCTCTCTCTCTCTCTTTCTCTCTCTCTCATCCATTTTTCTTTGGCTGTCTTTTTTGAAAAATTCCATTCGTAGTTAATTGAAAGGCACCAGCAATCTTCAATTTATTTAGTCCAGCGTTTAGTTTCGTTCAATTTCTTCGATTGACTCCGCATACCATTCCGTCTGATCGTCCGCCTTTGCTCGCTCCATCAGAGCAGATGCACGCTCTCTGTCTCTGCGATTTTCAACATCAGTCAGCGTCGTAGCTCGTGATTGAAGTCAATAATACCGGGTGGCCCAAAAAAAACGTTCCGAACTTTGGAGACCTATATCTCAAATTCGAGTGCAAATAACGAGCCAAAATTTTCATCAAGTTTGCGTCACTTCTTTGCGCATTGGTATACCAAATTATAACACTGTACCATCATTTTCAAGCCAGCAATCTTATGTTGAATTAAGTAAGACGTTTTTGCTTTTTTTGCCGTTGTTGAACGGTAGTAATGATTGGTTTAGACGTATAGTTAGAAAAAATAATAATAAATGGAACACGTGAATGATACCAGCACGTGTGTTGTTATTTTAAATATTTTTGCCCCACTTATGTGCCAAATATTCAAATGCTAAGCCAAAATTGTGTTAATGGATGTCATTCGTTTCAACACAAGTCCTGTTTCGAAGAGGAGTGGCACGGTGCATGGGTTACTGCTGATCGCCCTCCCTTCAAGAAGATCAAACAGTAAATCGACCCAATAAGGAAAAAAAGCTAGAGGGAATGTGTGACCCTGAGGCCTGAGCCATCAATGAGACTAGTTGCCACTTGCCAGTAGCAGTCATGGCTGCAGGCCGTGGTGCCGAGATGGAAGTGGCCCGTTCACTCACATTTTTAGTAAACATCTGAGCAAAAAAGTGATTTTTACATGGCTTGCTAGAAACACGAAGCGTTTAAAAAGTAATTGACCGAATAACATAAAAATCATACCATTTGCAGGAAATATATGCCGCATTAACTATTAGAAGTTTCAATGCTGTATCTTTATCACTTTCTGAGAAATATTAATTTAAAATTGGGAACGTTTTTTCTGGGCCACCCGGTATACATTCTTGGACGATACCGCGAAAACGAAATATTTCTATCGAGAGTTTTCAAAGGATTTCATGCACGAGGCCTTGGCCGAGTGCATGAAATTCTTTGAAAACTCGAGATAGAAATATTTCGTCGCGGTAGAGTCCTAGATATTATTTCCTGTATGTTTCTTAATATCTATTTATTTATTTATTTATTTCACATCATAGACCCATTCCACACAAGCGTGGCTATTCTAGGATCAGGGTCACAATTAAAAAATAAGGATAGTTGGTCACACACATCGTACACGAATTCATTCTCACAAACTCACACCCAATCACACTTCCCGCGAGCGGGTCGTCACTAGCCGGCATCGGTCTGTTGCTGGAGCAAATACCTCCGCAGCTCTCTTTTAAATGGGCTCAGGCCTAGGTCGCGAATCGTTTGTGGTAAGTCATTAAAAGCGGTCACGGCTGAGTATAAAAAGCGTCTCCTACCGGATTCTGATCTAATGGTAGGCACATTCAGCAGCTCGTTCTGTCGCGTGTCGCGCTGATGAACATGTCGTCGAAGCGTGAGGCTGGCGGATAACGTCTCGGGCTGAGAGGTAGACAGAATGCGCTTTAACAATGTCAGCGTGTGAAAAACATGTAAATTGCGCGCCGAAAGAATCGTTCGTTAATATCGTTCGTTATTTGCTTAAAAAAGGTCGAAATATGCATAAATAAAGCACAGTAACATTAACTACACGTTAAATACTGAAATACTGGCAGTTCTAATCATAGTTCTAATTGCTCAACAGTTCAGCAAAGCTTACAAATTTTCTTTAAAACAGAAGCCCTCGATGAAATCAAGCTATCCAAGAAAACCATCCAAGAAAACGTCTCGCGCGAAGTTTCTTGGATGGCTGGATTGCATTGCAAGACTGCATCAAACATACAGGAACAATGCGTCCGAGTGCTCCTAAAAGGATTCAGTGCAATGTGTTCCAGAAAATTTGTCAAATTTGTCAAAACGGTTTCGACTTTGTCTGGTGGTAATGTAAAATTATTAGTGTGATGGCGCCTTGAAGATTTGAAAGCACTGAAAGCAGGCACGATATTTGCACGATAGTAGCACGATTGATGTGTTTTATGAAAGATCTTGCTTGTTATTTTAATTAAGAAGAAAACAATGGCGGGGCATTCCTCCATGACAGAGAACTCCATGCCTTATCCATTTGATCACTTCGTATTATAGTTCGTTTTTCTTAAGTTTGCCCCTCACTGTAAACGTCTTTTTGAACATAGCACGAGAATTGCTAGCTGAATTACTGAGAAAACTGGTTGGCGCACATTGATTTGACCAGATTTCACAGACGATCAATTTCATCAAATTTGTTTGCTATTTCACAGACTCTTAGCTCGTATTTGCCAATACCTACAGCCCCACAGGGATAGACTACTTCTCAGGAATTATGTCTGAACTAATAAATAAATTGCACGGCGCTCAACATAACGTTAAATCGTCGGTGTTCAAAACTTATTTTTGAAAATATTATTCATATCTACAATACAATGTGCGCTAACCAGTTTTCTCAGTAATTCAGCTGGTAATTCTCGTGCTGTGTTCAAAAAGACGTTTACAGTGAGGGGCAAACTTAAGAAAAACGAACTATACAAAGCTTGCCTTAGTGCAATGCACGCCCAATTGAAGGTTAACCCTCGCCCATGTAGGGGGGGGGGGTGGTGCAACCCCCCCTGAGGTTTTTCTTAGCTACACGCCGAACCGTTTCAGATAGCCTGCTCAAATTTTCAGTACCCCTTGGGGCATCCTTTGCGCAACTTTTGGTAATTTTTTTTGTCAAGGTCATGTCAGGTTACGGAGTTATGAGGTCATAAAGGGAACAACCTCCGGCCAGATTTACGCTAAATTGGAGATTGCTTCACATTGGTATAAATGCCGACTGACCTGACGCACTGATGGATTGTTTTAGAATCACAACTGGCTGATTTGACATTGGCACAATGTCCGTTGACATTTTGAAGGTCACTAAGGGTCAAGGTAAGGTCAGTGACCTCGGTTGACCTGTAATGACTTCTTGCACTTGTATGCCTTTTCGGGGTATTTTGATGCCCTGAATTCGAATTTGCTATCCATTTCAGGCATCGTCAGTTGTTTCTTGTAGTTCATTTTGGGTCAGGGTCAGGTCAGTGACGTCACACGCCTGACGTGACCCAATGCACAAATGACCTTGCAGACTTCCGATGCTCCCAACGCATCATTTTTAGAGTTATGACATCGAAATACACACCAAACGATAGAGAATTGATCAAGGATCACGATAGTGAAGGTTTCAAGTCGATATCCCTTACCGTTTTGCCGCAATCGGCGCGGAACTCTGAAAAAGTTAGATTTTTCCGAAAATTTGACCTTTGACCGGTCATAAGTAGGTCAAATGTTGACCTAGGACCAAAAAATATACCACCAATCGCGAGATCTCGTTGAGAGCGATCCGTTGGTCTTTTCCGCTAAGCTCTACGACGCTTAGTTTTCAAACGCCAGGGGGGGTCGCACCACCCCCCCCCCCCCTGCATGGGCGAAGGTGGCAAAACACCGTTTACGGGCGAGGGTTAAGTAAGATGGTCAACGTTTTTGGTCTAATTCTCTACGAATCCTATACAAGTATTGTCTTATACCTAAGGTTCATAGCATGCAATTTTGAATAGTGTGTGATGAAGAGCATGACAAAAAAACTGAACATCTAAACTCTTGGTGAACGATGGCAAATACTCTCACTAAACTTCAACAGTCTCCTGTTTTCATCGCAAAACAGTCTCTTCGAGATGTAAATTTGTTGAAAGATTCCCGTCTAGCACGAACTTTGCCGAACACTCGGTAAACTTCAGCGAGCTGGCAGCACATGTCGCGAACAGATCCCCGATCCAGTATTTATGGATGGTCGCACAGCTCAGCTTTGAGTTTCCGCGGTGTGATTGGCCGCGCAGCTGCGAGAGGAGATTTGAGGGAAAAATAAATGATCCAGCTCGCAGGATCGGAGTGCACAGTGTCTGGAAGCCGGCGCAGGTGAGCTGGCGATTCCCCGGACCGGAAACGGAAATGGACCATCCGCTAGAGCCGCCGCTGAGCTGACGCGGTTTCTGTCGGAGGGTGAAGCGGCCATACCAGTCCCCAGTTGCAGGCGGAACTTAAGCCACATGAGTTAACATCGTTTATGCGCCGAACGATAGCACTGAATGATACTTGAATATCATTGGCAAATAGGTATCGGGCTGGCTGATGTTTATCATCATTTTTTTTTTGTGCCGAGCAATATTCATCGACTGCCTTGATTGTTATAAAGTAGATAATTTAAAAAGCGATGCAGAACCACCTTTTCCCGCAAGTAATATGTTTTGCTTGTTTCGCAGGTGATTTGTGAGGTCCGTCCAGCGCTGGCCGTCAGACACCCCCCTCCCCGTCCCCTGCGCTCTCCCCCCACTCGCCTGGGGGTGACCTGGAGCAGTCGGCAGACGCGGGACGGCCGGACCGACCTCACACTGACCGTCTCCGCGCCCGTGACCTGTCGACCGAGGCGGAACTGTCGGCTGCTGCTGAGACTCCAACCACTGCAAGGTGAGGTCACGGACTGGATGTAAGATAAACTGTCGGTTTTAGCCCGTGCTGAATTGAAAGCCATCACAAACCATTGTTACATCTATTGTAGGCATACAGGCACTCTGTTTTCTTGAGAGAAAGCAGGACTTTGCTGAATACTTTAAAAAGTCTTCAAAGATAATCAGCAATAAAAACGCTGGAGCTCGTGAGGAACAAACGATGGCCATTGACGGGATGAGAAGTGAGAACTATGACAGCGTCTTTCAGTGCCGGCACTCTGCTGAGATTGGCAATCAGGGCGAGCCTCCTCGATGTCTGGAACAGAAAATGGGTCATTAGTGTGGGGACGTGAGGGCAATGGCGCATTCACGATGATCGCGCTCATTCATAGCTGCTATTTGATATCCGAGATGATCAGTGAAAGATATATGTAGCGGAATCTCGTCCAAAAGTCATCTGCCGTAATTCAAAAGGTAATATCGGCGGCTAAAGACTGGATAATGAGCATATTTTTATGTGTACTGCTGGTGCAAATATGGTCCATTTAATTTTCAAGTGCGACACACTTTTGTGCTCACCCTTTTCAAGTACATGTGCTTTCCATATGGAGCTTGAAGGTTCATCTCGGTATAAGGGTCACATTGAGTAAATACCGTGGCAACAGAATCACAAACCATCGTACCTTTCCAAGTCCTTCGGTTAACCCGCGACCTGGTGGGGGGGGCTATTTTTTGCCCCCCTCCAGACTTTTCGATATATCTCCAGAACCACTGCGCCGATCGCCACCAAACTTTCAGTACCCTCCCGGACATTAATTTTACACATTGTGACCAAAAATTTTTCCAAAGGCTATGATAGGTTGGCCGGAAATGACGTCAGAGTGACGTCATGTTCTGCCGTTTTCGACCCAAAAAAGGGTTTCGCGGGAAGAGCTGTCAGGCCTATAACTTTGCAAATACAGAAAAATGATACAGACATAAAAGCTGTAGAATGGACAGGGCTACAAAACTGCTATCTCGGATTTTTGAAATTTTTTGATTTTGACCCCCAAAAATAAAAAATAGATTTTTTGAATATAATAGCCAAAAAATCCAAAAAGTTTTTTGAATTTCGAAAAAACCGGAATATATGTGATAGTCCTTGCCGCCTTCTATCTACATACCAAATTTGAGATCGATACCTCTTTTTTTGGCCAAGTTATAGCGAAAAAACTGTTCAAAATTGATGACGTCAAATTTTCAAACTCAATTTTCAGCAATTCTAGACCTTGTAGCGCAAAACAAAGACCACCATTAGACTCCCCGTGACGAGCTGCATCGAATCAATACCCATTTTATGCAAAAATATCAACTTTGAAATTTGACCTTTTTTGACCTGACCTTGACCTGACCTCCACCAGAAAGTGACCTAAACCGTACCTGATGGTCTTATAACCAACATTATTGAGTTGGAAATGAAAAACTGGCCATAAAACATGCATCGCATAACCTTAGTAAAGTTGGGTTCATGTGGTGACCCTTGGTGACCTTTGGTGACCTGACCTGTGACCTGACCTGGTATGACCAGTGACCTCTAACAGCATCATATCTACTAGGCAACTGACGCCCTATCGCTGATTCCCGACAAAATGCGTTTTCCTCGGTGTTATAGCGCATTCCCTAGAAGACCCGTGAACGGTGAAACATTTCATCTTTGACCTGACCTGTGACGTCATCGGTGACCCCGAGGTCAATAAAATTTGGTTTCCTTCGACAAATTTGACAGGCCTTTCGAACGCCGTTTGAATTTTTCGGATCCGTCCAGTAGTTTCGGAGATACGAGGGGGGCAAAAAATAGCCCCCCCCCCCACCAGGTCGCGTTATAAACAGACCCCACCAGCGGCCGATTTCATAAAAGGTAGTAAAATACATCCGGCGCAATTTCCCACCCGTTTTTGCCGGATTTTATGCCCTAGCGGTTTCATAAAGATAACGGGGTTGTATTTTGCGACCGAAATTCTACTACGTCGACTTTTATGCCCAACAGCTGTTCTTGGAGAGAAATGCAGCAGATCGGTTTCATAAAACGATGCATTTTACACTCAAGTAATTTTTCATGTTCTTGATATCCCACAAAATTCTGCGTTGCTCTGAGCTGCATAAATTTGACCAAACTTTGACATCAACAGTTGTCTTGAACATTGAAGTGTGGAAGTGAATCGAATTTTCTACCTATTTATTTTGAAATAACTATTTGACCCAGGCCCATGTCACTCCACTTTTGATGACATCATAAGGGGGCCTCAGGACAATTAATGGCGCGATGCGCCACAATCGCTCCCAAGCTACTGGCCAACAGCTGCCATTTTTGAAAATATTATTTTGAAATAAAGTTTCAATTAATGAAAATATTTCAATTAAGTTGTAACTTTAATCTATACCATATCTAAAAACTTACTGAAAAATGAATTATCCATAGTAAAAATATAAGCTCGAAGCGTTTTTATGCTGCTTTCCTGCTGCTGCAGAGGGTTTTTAAATCGTCTATATCTTCAAAACCGGCCATTTCTTAGCATATTGCTGCTCTTTTTTGTCGCTGTAAAATTAGTTGGGCTTTCCATTGACGACAACGGCTGAGCGGTATGTGTAGAGTGCCATCAATAATCTTCAAATGAAGTTACTCATTTTTACGTTACAAAGGAATGGAGTACCCCTTGCGAGCATCAGGGGTGACGTCACTCAGGATCTGTCTCTGATTGGTCGGCGGGGGAGTGACTGTACCTTCTATAGATGGCCTTGATTTGACCAAGAATCAGGAGCTTTGAAGGCACAAGGCAGTAAGTAATACTTTGTTTGTAGACCGTAAAAATGTATTGTTGGCAAATATTTGCTGTTGTAGGAGTTGATAAGATTTTGATTTGAGATTGACAGTTTGCAGGGAACCACTTGAGTGTTCTTTCTTCAACATGGTAACATATAAAATGAGTGTGATAATGCTTTTTGCCACAAGTGATGTGTAATATTGATATGTCAATTGTCAGCTACAACTACATATGTACCTATATTAATCATTTTGCCCGTCATCGTCAACAGGTTCACTGGTCTCAAGTCAAAGTTGTCAGTATTGCGAGTGCATACCTACATCAATTGAAGGTCTTCCAACCAAGGTGAGTTACTATACCCAAAGATGCTTCTGGTATTAGTATACAAAAGGTTTGTCTGAATGGGTTGTAGGTTGATAGTTTGTAGTAGGTTAGTAAGTTGGAGGTAGGTAGGTCATTGTTGCTTTTCAAATCAACGTCATTTGCAATGAGCAGCTTCTAAGTGTCATTGTATTCCTATCATTATTTTGTAGGTATTGAAAAAATGGATAGTGTAGCTTTTTTTCTATGTAGGTAACAGTCAGATATTGTAGTTTTGACATCTTTTTGCCTCACCAACTTCCGCTGTCACTGTAACAGGTGTCTCACATGCGGCCAACTGTTAATATGACATGAAGTGATTTTGATCATTTTCCAGCCCTGCATCTTGAGAAGAAAATCTGCATGTGGTAGCTCGGGCAGATTTTCTTCTCTTAACCCTGCTTCCATGTCCCATAGCAGCATCTTACACTTTTCCCGCTCTTCCAATAGAGCACGCCACAGAGCATTGCATCTTACACCTCCCTTTTTGTCCCATGATAACACGTTAGTGGATCGTCTAACTGTAACACGGTGTCCGTGTCCCACAGAGCGCGCCAGCTGTGACCAGCCAGCTGATGCAGAGGGCACATCAGGAGAAGCCGTCCTGGCTCATCACACAACGGCCGTGCCGTCCGCTGCCGGTTCCGTGTTGGAACCCGGAGCGCTGGTGTGGCCTCCGCTCGCATCTCTGAACCTCTCCAGCCGCATCCAGTCACCGGGACCGCGGCCGCCCATGAGGACGTCATTAGAGAGCAGAAGGAGCTGCGCGCACGGCTGCAGCAGTTCATGGGCGGCGGCGCTGTGGACTCTGCCGAGCACGAGAAGCTGCCGCCCCGACCGAGCTGAGCGGTCCGCTCGCCCTGGCCGAGGTGGCGAGCTAGCAGGCCGCCCAGCGGATACTGTCGCTGATCGAGCAGATCGGCGCCAGCGAGTACGTGGACGGACACGCGGCTCCGCTGCACGTGTGCCAGCACTGCGGCGCCCGCGGCAAGCGCGTCCCATAATAGTTGGACCAGACTGTGCAAAACCGCCTATATTAAACCGTTTCAGTGTCTGACACTGTGTGATGGGGCCGACTGCGTCCCCGACTGGGCGAGTGAACGATTCGCCTCCGCAGCGGGGCATATACTGCTCAGAATGGTTGGCGAGTCGTCTTCAGCGAGTTTCGAGGAAATTATTAGCGTGTTGCCATGTTGGGGGCGGATCGGCGTCTGTCTGGGTGGTTACGTTTGGAATTGTTTCATTGTTTATTTTACATCACAATGCATGAATTTCTTGGTGATAAACATATGCACGGTGTACTTCATCAGCGACACCACGACGCACCTGAACGTGCGGTCAGCGGCCGGCTGCGTCCCTTTCCTACCCCACCCGCCAAAATTTCTGAAAATGTGTGCTTTGGTCCGGTCGGAAACAATCCTTGCTTTTACAAAATTTGTGATTTATTCATAATTCATGGCCAGCAATAGCATAATTACCTTATCATTAGTAGAATAACAGCTGTTGGAATTGCATCGTAGCTATCAGAGCGATTCCGGTTAAACTTCAAACACTTGTCTCAAACGATCTCAGATGTGCGGACTAGCAAATAAAGCAACGACACACCTTCGTGGCATTCTTTGAGTAGCACGTATTACGACGAAAACAATTGTCAAGGCGTTGTCATCTGCCGCTGTGTTCAGTGTTCACTATATTCAGGAGATATTGCCATCGCAGAACTTGGCGCTCGACGATCTTGGAAATCAGTATCTCCGAATCAGTATCTCTTATACGGCGCGCGCGCGCGCAGTAATCACTCGGCCGGCCGGCTCGCGTACAAAGCCCAATGTAACAGCAACTGTTCTACGTCTTAACCGCCTTTTGACCCTGTGCTGTTGTATTATCGTAAATTTGAAAGCAAACGAACTTAAATCAAGACACTCAGCCAAAGCACGCAATAAAATCATTAGAAAAATAAATTATACCTTATAACATCACTATCACTAAAGTCTTCCCTTTTTGTCTAAAACACGTACGATTTTAAGGGCGCCGGCAGCCGCCATCGACAACCCAAGTCGGGGGCGAATGGGCCGCGCACACGGACCGACACGGCTAGAGGTCACGGGGTCACTGTGTCACGCCGCCGCCGGAATCGAGCTACCCGCGCCATATTCATAACGCACTGAAGACCTTCAATCGGTCTATGACGTGTCAGTACGCTGCTGGCTGCGTACCGACCGCTACCGCCACCTATCCTCTGGTCGAAGAGGAGCACAGCGCTCACAGCGACCTCTACAGTGAGGAGCGCCCACACGACTCAGCGAGGCAACCCTCACTGCTCGACGGCATTTACAACCCAAAGCGACGAGCGCAGCGCCTGCAGCCGGGTGTGGCCGGACGCGTCGAGAGACGCCGCCAGCCCGGTCATCGGCGCCGTCAGACGGAACGGCAGGAGCAGCAGGCTGATGAGTGGTGGCCGAGCCGCGAACACGTGTCCTGTCGATTCCGATCAGCTGCAGCTGCACGTCAGTGGCGCCGCTCTGAGTCCCATGTCGCTTCATCTGCTCCCAGTGAACAGCTCGCGCGTCTCGGCGCACTGCTGCTCGAAGTCGGGGCACGTCGAGCTGATGAACTGGTTCAGCGTGCTGGTGTTCTCGAGCCAGTCTATGATGGCCAGCTTGGGGTGGACGGTGGTGAGTGCCAGCCGGCGGTCGACAACCCCCGGCTCCGCGGTCAGCGCACCGTTTACAACGGAACGGCTGCTGCACACGCTGGTTGGTGCTCGTCAGCCACCTGCAACATGCGTGCATTACATGCATTACATTTAATTGCATTCTGAAGACCTTATAAGCTGGAACACAATTAGCACAACTGAAACACAATAAAAAAATGTGAAATGTTTGCCTCAAAACTTGAGTTTGACTGAAAACAACCGGTGCCTGTAATCAATTATGGCAGTAAGACTGTTACAGTCTGCTTAAAATGCCAGCCTGTTTAATTTGTTAGCTTCATGTCAACAAATGTACCAACCTACAATCTAATGACAAACGGTACTAGATCTTTGAATGCACTAACAATGCTATCAAGTTTTGTTAACTTCTTCCCCAATACATCACTGTAATACAGCCATACAACTAATGACTAGACATGCAAATGTTTTCCTTGGTAAAATTGGAAGTGGAAACTTGCTCTCAAAAGCCAGAGATTACTGCAAAAAGATTTTATTTAAATGTTTGCATGTTCCCTCCCATATCAACAAATTATGGGAAACTGGCTACCATACCTACCCTAGGTAATAAAGTACAGGTACATGGTCTCACCTCTTGCAGCATGGACAACATTGTTGACAAATTACTTCTAAACTTCGTCTCTGTTGTAGAGGCCAGCCAGGCAGCCTCAAGGCAGCCTTCCAAGCTCCACTGCTGCTGCTGCTAAAGGCCCTCCAGTCTTCCTTTCAGCAGCTGGAAAATAGGATTAAGGATATTAATAACAACCTTACTTTGGCTGTTGGCAATCTTATAGCTTAGCAAGTGGCTCCGGTGCTGCCACCTGTTTGTGAAGTCACCAGACTCGCCAGTTCTGAAGATATTTATACAAATTTCACCAAAAGTTGCAGTAGGTTGTAGGTTTGTAGGTTGCTGGGTGGTAGGTTGGTAGGTGGTAGGTTGTAGGTTATAAGCCATAAGGTAAAGTTGGGTCAGGTTAGATAAGGCATGTTTTGTTCTGTTAGACTATTTGATGACTTTTTAAGTAAATTTTGTGTAAATATCTCAAGAACTGACAAGTCTGGAGACTTTTTGCACAAACGGGTGACAGCACCTGAGCAGTATCCGTACTTACTACAAGCAAAATACCTGTTCAGACTACAGTGTACTTTGTCAATAGACATATTCATGGGGATTTTGACAAAAGAGTAAAAGACACAGCAATTCAAATTACCAATGAGTCATTGTAAATGCTTTTATGGAATCAGAATGACAAACACTTTTTAGTCCACTTTTGTATTGACATAGCCTGAAATAGTTTCATCATCCTTATACTCAAAACCATTCATGTTGCCACCCTGACCTTGGCAGAAGATTGATTGAGTTGTTAATTCATGGTACATAGATACTTTGCATTGCTGCATCAACTATGTCGTAACAGTAACACATGACAGTAGGCGGAACTATGGTCAAGCGTACCCATTTTCGGGAACGCATTTTCGTTCCCATGTTTGGGAACGATAAACCCAAATATGGGAACGCCATGTAGGCATTATTTAAAACAAGAAAAAGAACCGTTAAATGACGTCCAAAAAATATAAAACGATCGTGAACCGCCTGATATTTGTCTCAATATTGTTGGGAAAGAGTTTGATATTGTAAGGCCCATCGTAGTTTCAAATCGTTCCCCTATTTCTAAAGCAGTCCATCATCCGGGCCGCGAGCCCAAATTTGGGAACGCTCTCGTACACTGGCGCTGCAAGCGTTCCTTATTATGGGAACGGCGTACCCAAAATTGGGAACGATTTCACCGACGCCTTTCAGGGGCTCTTTTCATTAACAAGCATCACGTCCAACGCCGCAAATTATTGTTAACGCAACAATCATCAGATGACCTTTCCGGCAAGACCGTCGCATGTTTCGCCCGGTCTTATGCGCTTTTATTCCCGTCGATCTCGCAGCGGGCACGCCCCCCTCTGCAGGATACGTAATTCACAACGCTCAGCGATGTTCAACAAGGTCTTCCATACCTATATCCACCGTCCGCGCCGAGGGTGGAGACATGTCAAGCATCTGTCTGTTTATCACCGATAGTTGACGAGCACAAGGAAGTATCCAAAAATGGGAACGCTGAATATGTTACACCCTCAAAACACCTAGTCCCAATGAAAATCTAGTTTTTTCCTTTCTTGATGAGTGTAAGTGGCAAAAGGCCTGGTAGGATGGGCACGAGGAATGATCGAAATCAGCATAAAAACTATAAATAAGCCACACAGAGCGACCTATATAAGAGAAATTCCCCCAAAACGATCACGCTTAGAAACACGGAAGACAAAAACCACGCTCATGACGCTCCTTATAAAACAACTCTAAACAGCTAGCATCAAAAAAAAATATATCTTTCTGGGATGATAAAATACAGCTGAATAATTTTAAACCACTGAAACTGAGTTTACAACAGTAGTTCGGTAAAATCACTGACGTTCCATGCGGTCGTGCGCCCCGACACCAAATGTCACCAATATTACCCCCGGACTGTCCGCGTGTTCGCTTGCATATGTCAGCATCTGGTGTCGCTAGTATGAAACTTCATAACCAGGCGAAAATTATTATACTTGACCTCAAAATGTAAAAAACGCTTCATTTTCCTTAAAATTGCAAGTTAAATGTAGTATAACCCATGTTTTCACCATTCCGTCATTTCAAAAAATCATTAAAAATATCATTCGACGGTCAATTTCCTTGTGCAACGGTCAGATTAAAGATAATTTTATAGAGACTTAGTAGATACTTAAATTAGCGTGCACTTTTTTGAGACGTGATGCACTAATGAGTTTTAGTGGGCGAACGGCCGAAAAATTACCTTCCGTTCCCATAAATGGGAACGCCCGTTCCCATATTTGGGAACTCCGTTCCCAAAAATGGGAACGTTCCTATATTTGGGTACTCATGACCATAGTTCCACCTACTGATGAACACTGACACCAGTTGCTGTGGATTACCCAGTATAGTGTATACCCACATCGTCAATTAGCAAAAGCTGTGTGAGGCAAGTGATGTAATACTCACATTTCAGTAGTCAGCACTAGCAGTCGTCGCAATCGTTTTTGCAACTAAGGAGAGGGCAGAGGCCTGAGGCGCTATGCCTTCTGCCTTCTAACCAAACTGAAACTCAACCAAGGCCAAACCTTGGGCAGCTTAGGTATTGTTTCACTGCGACGCTCTCATCGTTTGGACACATAAAACATAAATCAAACACTGAAACATATATATCAGAAACAAATGAACACCCAAGCAATCAATGTACAAAAGGGATTTATATATCAATATCCTGAACCTAATTCAGCCGGCCGAAATGAATGCAGTAGTTTCTCTATGGCCTTGGACGATTGTTTTTGTTTACAATTCCTAATGCGAGAATAGCAAATAAATTTTTGTCTGATTACCTTTTGGTTATTGTTTTAAACATCATATTTAATTTTATTATTGATGAATTAAAACAATTAAGTCATTTTATATTAATACTTTGATAATTCACAGAATTGAAATATTTATTAAAGTTCTGTTGGTAGTAAAATGCAATCAAAGCAAGCAGAAAACTACAACTGCCGAAATTTATGCCCTCCGAGCTTTATGAAACCGCTCCCTCAGTGTGGTTGTAGTTTTGAGGGGTGAGAAATGCACCTAGTTGTAAATTACTACCAAACCTTTATGAAATCGGCCGCAGGGCGCGGGTTAACCCTATTCCTGGCGGGGGGGCCTCAGGAGCCCCCCCTGAGGTTTTTTGGTTATATCTCCCAAACGCGTTGAGCTAGGAAGCTCAAATTTTCTGACTTTTCCTAAAAGGCTTCTACGCAACATGTCTGAAAATTTTGAGTTGATCTGACCTCAGGTCAGGTCACCAGAGGCGGTTTGGTGACGCTACCTCAGAAAAGTTTGCAATCACGCCAGAGCTAGAGTTTTTGACCGATCAATTTCTTCTCTTCAGGATTTAGTTAGGGTACCAGTATGTGCAATTTGTATATCTCAGAATTTTGATATCGGTGACCTAAGGTCAGGTCAATTTCGCGACCTCCCCATTATAAGTCAATGGGGGAAAAATCAACTCCCTGTTTTTACCACTAAAACGGGTCGGAATGGCCCCATATACCATACATGACTTCATATACGATCAACCTTCACTACCTTGAGGTCTGTTTTGCTGTTGGGCAGCTGTGAGGTCATGTGACGTCATCAAAGGTCACCAAAGGTTTTTGGCCAATAACTCCGTACAGGAACAAGATACAGACGCGTGGATGGTCTCATTGTGTTCAGCTCGTCAAGACGCATCGAATGATATACATGATGACCTCGAGGTCACGTGACCTGAGGTCAACCTTTGACCTTGACCTTTCGAGGTCAACATATATATCATTCGATGCGGATTGACGAGAGGATCACGATGATGCCCTTAGTTTGTTCCTATCTTGACTAATTCGAAAGTTATACGAGAAAAACTCTCTCCATATCTAGTGCCGCCATTTTGACTTTTTCGACCCCTGTGACGTCATCTTTGACCTGACCTGAAAATGACCTTTGTAAAAATTGTAGATCTTGGCCGTGCGTATCCGATGCCGTTTACCGCTTGTCGCTATCTTGCTTCGTTCTCGAGATCTCGGGGGGGGGGGCCGAATCGGCCCCCCCCCCCGCCAGTTTCTTGTCCCGGCGGAGCCCGCCAGGAATAGGGTTAAGGGATTAGAGATACCGGGAAGGACTATTCTTTTGGCTTCTGCGTCTGAAGCTAGAGCAATGGTGCAATATGTGCAGCAAGATATAACCATTTCCATTTCTCATTCACAGGGACAGCCGGAACCCAGTTATTACTTCTCGACAAGTGTGTGGTATCTTTCAACTGTCCGGGAGGCATTTGCTGGCCTGAGATCGTCACGGCAACAATCAGCAGAGCGGTAAGTTATAACGGTTGTAAATGGGACGCACTAATGAGTTCGAGTTAGAGATGTCACTGCGCGTCTTTTAAAAGATAAGAGTTGACAGTCGCATGGTGGTGACTAATGACTGACGAGAGGCGACATGATAGGCAACTTGATTGGCGTTTCATGTGACAGACAAGTTGACAGGCGCATGACATGTCAGGCTGGTTGGCAGGCGTCTGACGCGATGTACCACGGGCCTGTCATCGGCTTCACCTGTTACCCTGACCAACCGTGCCGTCGTTTAGCGCAGCCGGCGCATCGAATTTGAATAAATGGTTAACAATCGTGCATTAATGAATTCCCTGTGTGGAAATTTGGACCACCAGTAGGGCGATTATTCACGTCGAGCAGACACGATTGAGCTATGAAAGTCACTCAGCTTAGAGTTGCTGTATTTAGTGCTCGCCATTTCGACATAATTTATTGACCACCGTCACGAACCATGGCCACCAGTATGTAGGTATCCTAGTGCTGCACCTGTAACTGTCCAGCTTACCGATATGGGGTCGATTTGTCCGAGAAATGGTCTATTTGTCCAAGACAGAGTTCCAACTTCCACCTGTCCTAAACAGGGGAAATCTTCTTGTTAAAAGAGTTCCGTCCAAGCTCTAGCAGAGAAGCGGGTCTATCCGTCCGTCGGGTACGTTCGGGGGTTCGTCTACCCAATGACCTCACAGGCCGCTCTTCTCGACAGCCTCACGATGGTCCACCGCGGCCGATCACTGCCGAGCTGCGGGTGATACTGGAGAACCGGGCAGATCTGGGGCCGGAATGGGCCGAGTACCAGCCACCGGTCATCGCACTGACGGTAAGGGTGATATTTGTGGCTGTAGACTTCACTTACACTGGTCCTGATAGGAAGATTCAGGGCGAATCATTGTCATGCCACTGGGGGTACGTTTAACATTGTTGATGCAGTAAATCATTTGTCAGTACGTCGCAGTAATAATTCAGAGCATCAAATAGTACGCCGCTGTAAACTTCACCCGGGCCACTTTGTAGGACCATTGACTGGCACAATATGGATGTATGAACCTCCTGTGGGCGGCAGGCGCTGAGAGTTTATCACGGTTACCATCTACAGGCAAATCCCGTGGATCAGGACCCCGTCTTTACGGACAATCCCTGGATTCACCGGTAGCGCGCGGTGTCTCCCCATACTGGGACAGTGACAGTCGGTGGTCGGCTATTGCTCTCATATAGACCGAACGGATTCTGGCTGTCACATGCGTCTTACAACCATACCTAATAATAGGTACTTGTACCCTTCTACACAAAGAAAAAAACAAAAATATGTGAAACACTAACAACACCATAGTAACACCAGGATTTGTAATCGCAGGACCACGCCACGCCTTGCGGTGCACAAGATGGATGTGCTATGCCTGGTCTGTTCATTACTTCCCCGGCACCATTACCGAGATGCAGCCCGTTACGAGCGTGTGCGGTATATTGGCACTCGGTATGTTATTGCCCGGGCTACACAGCCACGGTTGGGTATGTGGTGGGTTGGTGTTATACCAGAATGGTTGCACCAATGCTTATTACGACTTATTATTTAATTTGTCATTGCACTGGCACTGATAGATTTCATGCTGTCTATTTTCCGTATGCACAACATTTATTATATAGGTACCTATCACCTATCCCAGACAAAGTTCTTTATCGTCTTTGGAATAACCTTGTCACAAAAAAAATATGGAATGTTATAATCCTCAATGACAGTTTCAATGTCTGAGGAAGAGCCATATGTCTTTCACATTTCCGCCTTGTCCAAAGACCGCGGATGGCAAATAATTAATGAAACCATCCTTGGCCCCACTCCGCTCCCTTCAGCACGTGCTGAACAAAGTCACAGTTTAATTTCCGGCCGCGGCTGCGGACGTTTCGATCAAAATCTCATCAGCGGACGATTGGAGCCGAACACTGTCCGCTGACCCTTTGGCGGAGATCGGGTTTGAGGAGCACGGCCGGCCGTCTCGGCCCTCTCTCAGCGCTGACCGCCAGCAGATCCGGCCCGGATCGGGTACCCAATCAGCGACAATATGGCGTCTGTCCGTCAGACGAGGTGACAGAGGTTTCTGGGAACACTGGCCGTCACACTGAGGGCCTTTCCCGGCGCTGGGCGGTGCCGAGTTACAAACGATGTTCTGCCGCCGCCGAGACATTGTGACAAAGCGCCCGCACGACAGGCCAGCAATGCCGCTGGTGCGACCAATAAACCATACCGGGTGCAATATTGGTGGCTCCTGGGCTTTTGTGAGATTCCACTCAGCGTGGCTCGAAAGCTGGAGGTAATCCAAACTCCTGGTGACTGAGAGATGTGACACTGTTCGCACTATTAAAGTGAAACGAATCGCTGATATGGCTGATTTTTACGACAGTGACAATGAAAATGATGATGAACCAACGCAATGAAGATGTTTATTTTAACACCTTTGTAGGCTTTTGTTCTTTCGTTTACTTTTGTTTCTTATTTCAGTTTTGGTTTATTGCATACCAAATAAAATGCAGAGCTTGAGTATTTTTAGTGTTCCTTGACGTGGTACCTATACAATGGCCACCGGCAGTCATAAGTTCATGTTGGTAGACTTGTTCAAAGAAATCCCGTTCCAAGGCATCCGTTTGTCTTCTAGTTATAATACAGCTATCAGGTAAAAAGCGATCCTCAGGTTCGATTTGTCGACCATTCATCTTCAAAGACCGAGCCGGATCTGCTGCCCGCTGCTGATAATGACGAACAAAGAAATCGAGACGTGAGACACTGGCCCCATCTCCGATCGTTCTCGGACCGTAACCAGCTTCGTTACTGATCCTCAGGTGAGGCCGTCGACCCCGCTCATCTGCCAACTGATCGACGGTAGACACGTCGTCGGCTCCGACGCACGACTGCGGACTCTGAGACGCGCCGGGCAACACGTTCTGCTGGCCGGCCGCACCGACGGGGGGCGAGCGGTGTGTAACTCGAGCGGGGGAATGTTGATCGAATGTAAGGATAAATGGATAATTCAGCTGGGAGGTGGAGTAAGGGTGTTAACCCGCGCACCGACGGGGGGGGGGCGGATATCCGCCCCCCCCCCTGAGGTTTTTCGCGAATAGCGGGAAAACCGCGGCGCGTAGCGCCGCGAAATTTGGTATGACTATTCCCTCATTAATTTTACACATGGTGTGCAAGTTTGAACCTCCTACCTTTCAAGGTCAGGTCACCAGGTCACTTTGAATGACCCAGCCTCAAGTCACTTTTTTGCAACTTTGTCACCGTGCCAGAGCTACAGTAGATGTCGGAGGCCTTTGAAAGTCGCAGGATGTTATTAGGTCATTAGTAGCTACAATTTGTATATCTCGGAATTTTGATATCGGTGACCTAAGGTCAGGTCAATTTCGCGACCTCCCCATTATAAGTCAATGGGGGAAAAATCAACTCCCTGTTTTTACCACTAAAACGGGTCGGAATGGCCCCATATACCATACATGACTTCATATACGATCAACCTTCACTACCTTGAGGTCTGTTTTGCTGTTGGGCAGCTGTGAGGTCATGTGACGTCATCAAAGGTCACCAAAGGTTTTTGGCCAATAACTCCGTACAGGAACAAGATACAGACGCGTGGATGGTCTCATTGTGTTCAGCTCGTCAAGACGCATCGAATGATATACATGATGACCTCGAGGTCACGTGACCTGAGGTCAACCTTTGACCTTGACCTTTCGAGGTCAACATATATCATTCGATGCGGATTGACGAGAGGATCACGATGCTGCCCTTAGTTTGTTCCTATCTTGACTAATTCGAAAGTTATTTGAGAAAAACTCTCTCCATATCCAGCGCCGCCATTTTGACTTTTTCGACCCCTGTGACGTCATCTTTGACCTGACCTGAAAATGACCTTGGTAAAAATTGTAGATCTTGACCGTGCGTATCCGATGCCGTTTACCACTTGTCGCTATCTTGCTTCGTTCTCGAGATCTCAGGGGGGGCGGTCATCCGCCCCCCCCCCCCCCCCGTCGGTGCGAAGTTGGCGCAGACCCCCGTCGGTGCGCGGGTTAAAAAAAAAACGAGACGATAATGAATCGTTATATCTCGGAAAGTAATTATGCTAGGAGAATTATGAATAAGTATGTCATTCAAAAGGGTACATAAAAAAGAGTATGTATAGGTTTGAATGCCCATATTTTGCAAATATGTAGGTAGCATATATACATGAACGACTTGCTTCAGAATAGCTGAGTAGCTGAATGAAAACCCTCGTGTTTCAGAATATGGTGAAACCTCACACTTGCATCTCGTAGCGTGACGGTTTCGTGATTAAATAAGCATGACCGGCGTCACGCGCTGTCATTTGGTGTACCGTGGCGTTATCTGACGCGTCACGTCAGGGTTCTTTGACAGATTGACGATATTATCCTGATGGAACCCTGGAATTCCTGCGGTCATGTTCCATCCCGTGGACCCTGTTTTAGCAGGTGACTGTCAGCACTGTAGCCACACGATGCGGCGGCCGGGTCGGACACTCCTTCTGCGCCTGCGCAGTGACCGTGGACGCCGGCTCGGAGTGGATAGAGGTGGACGTATGCCCCGACCCGGTGGACAGGAGAGAGCCCACGCTGCGCCGCTCCGCGCCGGCCGGCCGCGGGCTGCAGCTTCACGTGCTGGAGACACGGCCTGACTCGGCCTGGCTGGTAGGTCTCGTCTGTGTGTACTGCGGCGGTACTGCGTATATGACAGGTATTTACGGTACCGGTTTTCTGGTACGATACGGTACTGCGAACGTAGCTTTTGTGACACTCATACATATGTAGGCAATATTGCTGAGGCGTAGCAGCCAAATTTGAAGCAGCTGGTTTCGTTTATTTTAATGATTTAAGGTGGGAATGTAGAACAGCAATCTATTCAGTTTAGTATGAGCGCCTGTGAAATAAAGTGATGCTTACAGTTGCCTCGCATTCACAGTTCAGTGTAAATCCGAGCAATGAGAACACAGCTACGGCATTTGCATTGATTGTAAATAAGGTGACCTTCGTGTTTATGGGTGTTTCTTGCACACTTTTACCTGATTACGCTTAACCCTTGCCCGCACATGCCATTTTCCCATCCTAGAACGCACATGGGGGGGGGGTGGTTGCCACCCCCCCCCCCGCGCCGTTTCGTTCCTGTTGGAGATAGAGCTTAGCGGTAAAGACCAAAAAGATTCTTTGGGAAGAGACGAATCCAATGACACCCGATTTTACCTTCTCAGGTCAGTCATTGACCTTCCCGGTCAGGTCAAACTAAAAAATGTTGCTGTTTTGGGTCACCGTTGGATATCAAGTGCGCTGCTTATCATATACCGATGACGATGCCGTTTTCTGGTGCCAAGCCAGCTAGAACCTCTTTGTCACACTACCCGACCAGATTTTTGCTGCTGAGGTCATTTCAGGTCAAGTTAGGTCAAGGTCAGTTATATGTGTTTGTATGTCTGTGTGTGTCTGTGTGTATAGGTACTGATGTGTGCACCGATTGTTTTTGTGTCCATATTACATGAAATCATGATCTGAGAAACTTTTACCAAAAATGCAGGCAAAAAACTTCACAAAAAGTAAATTCAGCTTGCCTAAAACGCAATTACCTTGGATGACCTAGGTTGACCTTGACCCTGACCTTGACCCCTGTACATCGTCGAACAACATGTTCCATGATAGTGTAATGAGATTACATTTTTTCCACCGGACTATGTATAAAAATGTTGAACCCAGTCTGGACTTCACTGGCCCAGAGGGTCCCCAGCGACAGGTGTTCCTATCCTGAATCATCCCTTCACTCTCCCACGCTACGTGCAGAACGGAGAAGCATTCCGCCCCAAGGGCGCAGAAATGGAGCAGGCACACACGCCGCCGCCGACAGATTGGAGGCGATCGGCGCGGCAGAAACGACTGTGACGAGTGTCTATGACCAGACTAACGGCCATTCAGGATGCTCCCAGTAGCAGATGCGGATCAGTTTGAGCTTCCAGTAATCACGTACTAGAAAGGCGACGCCAACAATTAGAGCGGCCCTTCTCCGGCTTCAGTCATTAAGAAAGCAGGTGGTATGCCAAATGGAAAAACAAGGGATGAGTGAGCAACAAACACGTTGCAACAGCAGTCAGCGGGCCAAATCAACAACGACAATTGCACGACTGAAACCACCATTCGAAGGCGAATCCGTAGATACCCGACAACCCACAATCAAATCCAACCCTTGCATAGAAAAAAGCCATCAGGAGGAGACAGGGATCATTGCAAGACATAAAGCAATGCAGGGAAATTGTCGGTGCTGCAAACCAAAGCTCCGAAGCTAAATGAGAACGGTATACTATTCTCTGGTTCAGGATGCTTATTAACTCAACGGAAGAAAGACAACCGGCAAGGAAGAACAGATGAATGTACAGTTGACCCAATGTACAGTTGACCCGGCTGCACGACCGCCGGCAAACAGACTGAAAAAAAAAAGATGTTTCATGATACCGGCTCGGCAGTACACAGAAAATACGCAAAACATCAGCGGAAGAGCGGTAGTATGAACGGAACCAAATTGTCTGAGTTGATGAGCGGCTTAGTAAATTACATGCAAAATAGCGAATTCACAATCAAGAACCACTAAAAGAAGAGAAATCGCCCGTGTAGCTCAAAACAGCTAAATCAACAGAGAAGGAATTCGCTGCAATTGAGTCCTCGCACAAAAAGCTCACCAAATCTGAAGAAAAGTTAACCGGAAATGAAACCAAGACGCTGCAGAATTTCACTCAACCCGCAAAAAGGGAACCGGTTAATTGCACATTGGAAGGATCCGCCGAATTTAAAGAGCGGGTCAGGTCACCAGAAGATGAACGTGGAACATATCTTTTTTACACAGCTGAAACAAATTCAGAAGGGCCCGTTATATCAACACGGATAAATGGGCATATACTTCCAATGAAGTGTCAACTAGAGATGAAATCGTTGCGCTGCAGAAAATCGCCCAACCCCAGAGCTGCAACATGTCACTTGTAAATTTGGAAGGACCTGCTGTTTACCGAATGGATCAAGTTACCAGAACGGGTCAGGTCACCAGAAGATGAACGTGGAACATATCTTTTTTACACAGCTGAAACAAATTCAGAAGGGCCCGTTATATCAACACGGATAAATGGGCATATACTTCCAATGAAGTGTCAACTAGAGATGAAATCGTTGCGCTGCAGAAAATCGCCCAACCCCAGAGCTGCAACATGTCACTTGTAAATTTGGAAGGACCTGCTGTTTACCGAATGGATCAAGTTACCAGAAGATGAACGTAAAACCCAGCGAGTGGCCGCATTCCGGACTTCTCGAAATCATCCACTTCAGAAGCCGGAACGAATAGCCACGCTAACAGTTTTCCGTTAAACCAGCAAAGATAAAACATCTGTGAGAGATGAACATCCAGGGAGCTTGACTATGCGTCAAATTGAAGATGAGGCAAATATTGGATGTCGCCATGCCGAGACACGAAAGAACAGCAATTTTCTCATCAGGAATCTGGAGCGGTTTCTGAAGAGAAGCCCAAAACAAGCAAAGATGAGAAGTGAAGACAAATTTAAAATCAACCCGAGCTGAAGTAAAATTAACGGATTACAGCACAAGAAAAACCCGATAAAGAAGGGGAAGACCACAGCTACAGCAATACTGTCAGGTCATCCGCCTACAAAACCAAACAAACGCCTCCAGAAAAGGATTTGCAATTGCAACTTTCGTGAAATGAAACAAGAAAATTGTATAACTAAAGACAGAACCAAGGGAAGGAAATTCGCCGAGAACAGAATATTCGAGCACAAGGCCCCTCGAAATCACGAAAAACCAGCAAAATGGCGTCGGTGAAAGGTGAAAGGTCGAGAGAAAGGACGGAAAGCATAAAAAAGGGGAGGAGAGACGGCGCTCGCTCTCACTGTTACTCCGGACGTCACTCCTCTCACTGCTCCTCCGGACGTCACTCGCAAACAGTGCTCCTCCGGGCGTCACCACGGCAGCCGTGATCCAGTCAACGCTACGCCTCGCAGCAGCCTCATCGGCGACCATCGGTTGCAAGTGAGTTTGAAGCGGACACATCAGAACGCATCCCCTTTCACCATGTAACCACGCCTCATATCCACCCCTAGCCGCCAGTTGCTATTACGATATCTGCTGGTTGTTCCGTTTGTGCGGGTGCCACCCCGGGTATGGTCCAACCCTTAGTAGACATTCACCGGTCGGGGGAGGGAGTACGTTTATTTAGTCAACATCGCCCACCCGGTCTAGATCATACCGTGGCGCGATAATGGCGATGTTCGACGAACTATACGTCGATCCGAGATTGTAAATACGTTGGGTCAAATGTTTTCTTTTCTTTTCGCGAGCGAGGTGAGCCCGCCCGGCTTCTCAGGCCCGGCAGGATATGTGGGCAGTGAATTTGCGCTTCAGGATTACCCTTTTTTCGGGGGGGGGGGCATCAATTATGCACCTGGCATCTGAAGTGTGCCTACTCCGTTTTTCCAGTTAGTTGGGGAGGGCTAGAATTTAAGCCTAAGCGGTTTCATCCGATACAAGGGGTCAATGCGTTTTGAGTGCAGGAAAGATTTTGTAGCCGCTTTGGGGGCTCGCTCCGCCCCAAAACTGTGTGAATAGCTTGTTAGGTTACCGGTCGATTTAGTTTTTTCCGTTCCTTTTTTTTGAATCATTTGCTTTTGTATTGCGAGTTTCATATCTTCTTGTTTGATTGAATATATCTTGGAAAAGTACTCATATCTGTTGGGGATATTAGGGAGGGAATGGTGAACGAGCAGACCCAGCGAGAGCGTTTTGGCCGTCGATACTTGAAAAACCAAGCGAAACATCACCCTTCACACTACTCTCACCCGTGAGCCTGCCGTTTCTTCGCGGAACACAAACACTGGGAAAACGCACGCAGTATCACGCCGAGTCGTTGTTGTACTAGTGACCGTCGTTAAAGCTCTAACTCGTAATAATGAGAGTGGAATAGATATTTGCCTCGGTGTTATTTTTAAACTTGATAATGATGAGTCACAGTTACCTCGATTTAGCGTGTTTTTTTTTTTTTGTAAGTTATCGTAAGTACATTAAAATCTATGTCTGTTCGCGTTCTCTTCCGAATGTACAAGGATAGGTAGGGTCCACTCTCGCTTAACATGGGCGGAGTCAGCCGGCACGGCCGTCAGTGATTGGCTCAGTATTTGGGCGGTACCGCGTAAGGGACGGGCCCAGCTACACTAATTTCGGAGAGCGCGGGAGTGACCAGGCTGACCCCGAAGCACCTGAACTGATTCCACATCCTCGTCGTCTGGCCAACTCGCGGCCGAGTTATTATCCTGCCTTAAGACACTGCAGCGCTCGAACGGGAGCTGTTTGATTGTCGCCCGGTCAGAACGGACCGGGTTATGATCCTGCCTTAAGACACTGCAGCGCTCGAACGGGAGCTGCTTGATTGTCGCCCGGTCAGAACGGACCGGGTTATGATCCTGCCTTAAGACACTGCAGCGCTCGAACGGGAGCTGTTTGTCGCCCGGTCAGAACGGACCGGGTTATTATCCTGCCTTAAGACACTGTAGCGCTCGAACGGGAGCTGTTTGTTGTCGTCCGGTCAGAACGGACCGGGTTATGATCCTGCCATAAGACACTGCAGCGCTCGAACGGGAGCTGTTTGATTGTCGTCCGGTCAGAACGGACTGGGTTATGATCCTGCCTTAAGACAATGCAGCGCTCGAACGGGAGCTGTTTGATTGTCGCCCGGTCAGAACGGACCGGGTTATTATCCTGCCTTAAGACACTGCAGCGCTCGAACGGGAGCTGTTCGATTGTCGCCCGGTCAGAACGGACCGGGTTATTATCCTGCCTTAAGACACTGCAGCGCTCGAACGGGAGCTGTTTGTTGTCGTCCGGTCAGAACGGACCGGGTTATGATCCTGCCTTAAGACAATGCAGCGCTCGAACGGGAGCTGTTTGATTGTCGTCCGGTCAGAACGGACCGGGTTATTCTCCTGCCTTAAGACACTGCAGCGCTCGAACGGGAGCTGTTTGATTGTCGCCCGGTCAGAACGGACCGGGATATTATCCTGCCTTAAGACAATGCAGCGCTCGAACGGGAGCTGTTTGATTGTCGTCCGGTCAGAACGGACCGGGTTATTATCCTGCCTTAGACAACGCAGCGCTCGCACGGGAGCTGTTCGATTGTCGCCTGGTCAGCACTGACCGGGTTATCATCCGTCCACATTTTCCAGCCCATAATAATCTCAGCACAAGGAATGCTTGCCGCTCCGCCTGGTCCGTACGGGTCGATGACTCAAATAGGGGGCGGGGACTCCGCCCGGTAGCCCGGCCGGTGGGGCCGAGCGGCGCAATTAACCCGGGGGAGGGACGCTTGGGCGGCCCGCCGCCCTGTCATGCGAGTGAACGCTTATGCCATCTAGGGAGTGAATCAGAAACGATAAGCCGAGCCCTCCTCGGTTACCGGCGTGACACGCGACCGTAGTGCCGTCTGCAGGACAGACACGACACTTTCAAGGGGGCCGAGCCGACCACGATTACGCTCAGACACTGACAGGTAGAGAATATGTATGTGAGATGCCTGATCGACGTTAAGACAAGCCGACAGGGTTAATAGTCAAGTAACATAACTTACAGAGTCTTCTATTCCCGGTTTCGCTCCATGATAGGCAGAAGGTATCATTTAGAGAATCATTTAGACAAGGGGATGCTGAATTTAAGTCTTGATTTCGCAGCCGGCAATAAATTCCCATCTAGGACATTAAAGATACGGACAGGTTTTGCATAGCTAATAATTGGTGATATCTTCAATTGAGCGCGACCCGATCAACAACTAATTAGACCGCTCTTGGCCACAAGGATCTCAGTAATAGAACACTTGTTTAGAACGGATCACCGTCAAC